TAGCAAATTATTTGATGTCAACATTAATTAGTTAATTACTGATAAAACTGACCAAAAGTCTAAGATTATGGCCAATCCCACACCACCAGAAACACCCTTCAGTCCTCTAGGGCTCTTCAGTCTTGGCCTTCTTGGACTTGGGCTCAGCATCTGATGATGGTGGATCTGATGCTGCTTCATCATTCTGCTCAGAGTCACCAAAGACCTGAGAGTCATCATCCTGCTGAGAGTCACCAAAGACCTGAGAGTCATCATCCTGCTGAGAGTCACCAAAGACCTGAGAGTCATCAGCATGCTGAGAGTCCTCAGTGACCTGCTGGGGCATCCTGCTGAGCACTTTGTCCCTGATCTCAGCAAGCTCCTCCTTGATCACATCAGCCCTGAGGTTCTCAATGTTCTGGCAATGCTGGACCCACTGATGCTGCCTGACCTCCACAAGTGCCAGCATGTTGAGCAGCTCAGCCTTGCACTTGATGAGGTTGAATCCATTTCCCTGAGACTGTCCACTGAGGGAGGCATGCACCTTGTGCAGCTCATCAAGGGAAGACCTGAGGTCCTGATGCTCCCCCATGTCGATCTCATGCCTACTGAGGAAGATAAGAGCATCCTGAGGTGTAATGCCAAGATCTGAGATGAACTTAAGGAGCTGTCCCTCTTCCTGAGTAGTAAGCTTCCCCATTGCCATGGCTGAAAAAGTTAGTGCAGTGGAACTGAGCTAAGGTTCTACTGGCTGTGTTTGATCCTTCACAAGCTCAAAAATCAACCTGAACCATTGCAAAGAAGCTGAGAGGTTGCATACAAGTTCAATCTAAGCCATAACTCATGACACCAAATCAAAGTTGAACATATTGTGATTAATTAATGAACAGTTAGTTATAGAAATGGTTGGTTCCTTCAGCTGAGTTCAACCTTAGTCATTGAAACCTTACCCAGACCCACCACTTTCCCAAACATTTTCTGGCAATGCCTTTTGCTGATAGTGCTATGCTGATGCATACTGAGCCTTGCTCAGGACAAAGTTGGAAACAACTGAGAAGCTAGCTGAGGTAGAAGATGATGTAGCTCACAGTCTGAGGTTCTACTTCATAGTGAGTCTCACTATGAAGTAGAACCTCAGTGCCTTGGCTTCTCCTTCTCCTCAGCACTGAAGATGCTCACAACTAAGAAGGATGATGTAGTCACCAGGTACTCCACTTTCTCAGGATGCTGATGTCCTGTCAGGGACAAAAAGCTGAGAGCAAAGCATACAACTATTTGACACTAATCTCAGTGTATAGTGTTCATTGAATAATTAATCAGATAAATAAGTAACTACCAATCAATATGTGTTAAACAAATTGACTAATTAATTATGCAATCAAATAATTCCAACAATTAACCTGCAGAAGAAGCCTCCACATCCCTTCAGATCTGCACACCTTTTTCCTTCATTCAAGCTGTATGGATTGCTTCTGAAAGCAAATTTAAAAAGGACACTGAGATTTCACTCAGTGATGTTCCATCTGCCTGAGGCAGCTACTTATCCTCACCATTCTGAGATTTTTGTTTCTTAGCTGGAGGACTGAGCAAATAGACAGCCCTGTCCCTTGGGATCTGGTACTTCTCTATGAAATCTTCAAGTTTCTGAGTCATGAAAGCATCCTGAGCCTCCTGAGCCTCCCTCTCAGCTTTTTCAGCCTCCTGCTGAGCCTCCTCCTCAGCTAGTACTGCCTCTTTCATTAAAACCATGTTCTCATGGGTTCCTTGGAAAGCAATGATGCTGTTTGAAATCTCCTGAGACACATCTTCCATCTTGCTGAGATCAGTCTTCAGTCTGGCCACAGTCCTTTCCTGCATTTTCTGAGCTTGTTCCATCAATTCTATGCATTCTTTGGAGCTCATCCATGTGAACTAACAGGTCCTCCAGAGGTTGATCATTCATGGAAGCATCTGAGAGAAGCAGAGCCATTGCTGAGCACCTACCCTCAGGATCCATCTGCTGGAGCTGGTTGAAGTAGTATGCTTCACCACTATGACACTCACTGGCCTGAGGTGGATCAGCTGGCCTTGCCTTAGGCATCACTGGTGTGCCTAGAGGCTCAGGAGGACGCTGAGAAGATGAAGGCCTAGAAGCAGAAGGATCTTCCATGAACTGAGCCTTACCATAATCTGCCTTCACTGACTTAGACCATGGCAATGGATCCATGCTGAGAATCCTGGTGTAGTACCACTGGATCACCCACTGAGGCCATCCATCTGAGCCCTCAATGCAAGCTGCTTTGAATGAAACAAAAAAAGTAGACTGTAATTGATCAATTAATTCATGATGTTACCAAGTAATGAACTGCTCAATTAATTAATTAATTGGCTAATTGATTAATTAATTAATTATATGATTAATGTTGTTTACTTAGTTTTGAACTGTCACTGAGGTACTTGTAATTAGCAGTAATACTTTAGTTCAAAGCACATAAAAATCAGGAACAAAAAACAGGTAAACAAAAATAACATTATTCTAAGTCCACCCAGGAACTCTGCATTTGCCACATCCTGACTGCCAAGGAATTCTGCTGAGAAAAATCTCAGCTCCACAGGAACCACAGGCAACCTTAGGCTCATCTAAGTACCTGGGGTACTTGACCATAACCTCCTTATCCTGAGTCTGGAACAGCTCAGAGATGTAAGGTCTCTTAGGATCACATGGTTGCACCAACTGAGCATGCTTTCCATTCTCTGATCTATACACCATTCCAGCAGGAATAGTGCTAAGGAGTTGCTGAGATACCCAGGGCCCATGTCTGCCCTCAGCATCCTTTTTTCCTGAGCCTTGGGCAGCTGTCTTCTGCTGCCAAGGGTGATTCTGCTGAGTTGAACTCATGGCTTGCAAGAAGTGCAGCTGAGTTGGTGGAAATCACACTGAGATCAAAGCAGCTGAGGAATCACATAGACATGCATAATTCAACACCATGCAAGCAAAATATCTAGTTGACTAATTCATTTATTACAATTATATATAATGAATCAATAAATATATACTTATTGAATATGATGCATGTGCAAGTAATTATAAGAAACTTACACATGCATAAGCATGCATTACTGATCAAGATTGCCACAAGTCTGAGGCCATGGTCAAGCTGAGCACCAATCCCACACCCCCAGAAACACCCTTCAGTCCTCTGGAGCTAAGTGATCTCATGGTGCTGAGTGATTCCAGCATGCTCTTCAGCAGCACCATTGCTGAGAAAATCAACACAGTTGGATCTGAGCCTTCACAAGCTTTGGTATATAACATCAAAACTAAGTAAAGATTTTCCAAAGGATGAGTTTCAGCCAACCAAAAAAAAACATGAATGATCATGATACAAAATAGTATGGTTTGTTTGGGGGTACACTATTGTGTCCAGCTGCTTCCTGATGTGTTTTTTTTTAACATTCTCTTTACCTTTTCCTTTGCTATTATTTTTTATTTTCTCAATTAGTTTCTTTTATTTACAATTCTCAGAAATGCACAATTTCTCAAAATATATGATGCCTTATTAAAACCCAATTAAAAAACATGACTCAAACAATTTTTCAAGAGGGTAGTCCATGAGCAACCCTGATACACAATAGTGTGGTTTGTTTGGGGGTACACTATTGTGTCCAGCTGCTTCCTGAGGTGATTGTTTTGTTTTTTCAACCATTACCTTTTCTTTTTCCTTTGCTAAAGTTTGTTTCCTTTTACTTAGCTTCATTTTTCTTGGATTCAAAACCAAAGGCTTTCCAAAGAATTAGTTTCAGCCAAGCAAAAAAAACATGAATGATCATGATACACCATAGTATGGTTTGTTTGAGGGTACACTATTGTGTCCAGCTGCTTCCTGAGGTGATTTTGTTTTTTAACATTCCCTTTACATTTTCCTTTGCTAAAGTTTATGTCTTTTATTTTCTCAATTAGTTTCTTTTATTTAGAATTCTCAGAAATGCTCAATTTCCCAAACTATATATATATAATGCCTTATTAAAACCCAATTAAAAAACATGACTCAAACAATTTTTCAAGAGGGTAGTCCATGAGCAACCCTGATACACAATAGTATGGTTTGTTTGAGGGTACACTATTGTGTCCAGCTGCTTCCTGAGGTTATATATTTTTTTTTTCAAGCATTTCCTTTCCCTTTTCCTTTACTAAAGTTTGTTTCCTTTTACTTAGCTTCATCCTTCTTGGAATCAAAACCAAAGGCTTTCCAAAGGATTAGTTTCAGCCAAGCAAAAAAAACATGAATGATCCTGATACACAATAGTATGGTTTGTTTGAGGGTACACTATTGTGTCCAGCTTCTTCCTGAGGTGAAAAAAACAATCATCCATCCAAGTAATTATTTTAAAGAATATCAAATCTAAATTGATTCACATCTGCTAAATTCAATCTTAGTCCATGCTGCTAAGTTCAATCTCAGTAATTAATTAATTATCTTAGTGCTTGCAACTCTACCCAACCCCATCACTTTCCCAGCCATCTTTTGCCAGTGTGTCCTGCTGATAGTCACATGCTGAGACATTCAAAAATCATCGAGCCTTGCTTAGCTCAATGTAAAAGAAAATCACTCAAGCTTGCTGAAGACCTTAATGCTGAGTGAGGTAGGCAGAATGCTGAGGTCCTGTCAGGGACAAGAAACTGATAGCAAAACTGAAAGACCCATTATTTGACACTAAACTCAGTGATGTTAATGTCCAACATTACCCATTACTTATGCTAAAGTAATCAATTAATTAACTAAATAATTGATTAATTATTGATTCATTAATTAGTTAATTAAGTAATTAACTAATTAAAATATTAATTAATCAATTAATTATTCTAAACTGCAACAACAACCAGCAGCAGTGGCAAAACCACCCACATCACTTCAGAGCTGCACTCATTTTTTTCTGCCAGCTAAGAAATTCTTCACAATGCCTCTGGTATAATTACTCAGGAAGTGACTAAGGCTTCTAATTGACTATATATCTGCTCAGCAGTCATGCACCTGAGTTAATTATACATCCACAACTTCCTTCACTGAGTCCTGAGGCTTGTGATCAATCTGAGGAGACTTTTGCATCAGCTGCCTGAGATCTAGTTCACTCATTTGATGAGTTTCCATGAACTTTCTCAGAGCGTCCTTATTCACAAGATCCTGAGACAGCTTCTGCTCCCAGTAGGACTGAGATCTTTTCACTGAGAGTTGAAGCTCAGCATGCAAAGCCCTGAGCTCACCTTGCTCCTCTTCCATGTTCTTAGCATCTTTCCTGAGCCTAAGCATTGTGAGCTCCTGAGATTCAAGTGCCTGCTCAAGTAGAAGAATCTTGGACTTCATGTCCTCAATCAGGTCAGGTACATTGTCCAAGTCACTGAGCTTCTGATCTGATTCTGAGCTGTCCAGGAGCTTGTCAATCTCATTGATGTTCAGCTTTTGGAGCTCAGACTTGACATAGCCCTGAGCATCATTGGCAGTCCTGATAGGCTGAGGCTTCCAAACTGAGCTTCTCTGCATATTTGATAAAGCAGCATCTAGCACATTGAAGGGCTGATGAGGTCTGCCTGAGCCCTTCCCTGTTGATGAAGAAGCAGTTGCTGCTGAGAATCCAGCTGGTGGATCAGGCTCAGGAGGCTTGAACTGAGCTTGTCTGAACTGAGGAGCTACAAATGCACCCCAAGGCAATGGGTCCATTCTGAGCACCTCAGTGTAATATCTTTGAACCACTTCCTGAGACCAGCCATTGTGTTCCTGCAGGGTTGCAAATGGTGTCCATGAAAAAAATGACAACTATATCAGTTAATTAATGCTCATTGTCCTATGCTAAAACACACAAACACACACCAACCAAAAAAAAAAAACATCCATTTCTTCAACCCAGGCACAGAGCATTCTCTACATCCTGATTGCCAGGGAATTCTGCTGAGGAAGACTTGATGGCCATTGCCACAGTCAACCTTAGGCTCCCCAAGGTATCTAGGATACTCCACAATGTTTTCTGAGTCCATGTTGTTGAAGAGTGCTAAGCATGAGGGTTCCTGAGGTGGATCATTGGGCTGAAGCTGGTAGCGCCCTTGGCCACCCTTCTGAGTCCACAAAACCTTGTCAGGCACCTCATCAGGCTTCTCTTCAAACATAGGATGAGGTTTGCCTGAGCCTCTCCCATGATAGTCAAAGAAAGACATAGCTGAGATGATATGGAGCAAAGGTTGATTAGTCCTGGCCCTTAGATTTGAGCCTTAAAAAGCTGAGGAATCACATAGACATGCACAAATATGAACATGCTACAACTTCATTGGTTAATTAATTAGCTAATTACTCAATTATAAGAAACTTAAACATGCATAAGCATGCTAATTAATTAATTAATTGATTAATTAATTAGTTAATTAATCAAAATTGCCAAAAGTCTAAGATTATGTCCAAGCTGAGCACTAATCCCACACCACCAGAAACACCCTTCAGTCCTCTAGGGCTCTTCAGTCTTGGCCTTCTTGGACTTGGGCTCAGCATCTGAGGATGGATCTGATGCTGAATCATCACTGCTCATAGGCTGAGAGTCTAGGACCTGAGAATCATCAACCAGCTCCTGGGACCCAAAGGGTGTATCTGATGGTGCTTCATCATCACTCCCCATAGGCTGAGAGTCTAAGACCTGAGAGTCCTTAGCCACCTCCATCACCTCATGGTCAGGCTGTGCATTCAACTCCTTTTCCATATCCTGAAACTTGCTGAGGGTAGCATCAAATGTATCAGACTTAGCAGGTTGGGCAGGCTGGGCAGGCTGAGGAGGAGGGATACACTCTGATGGCCAACCATCCTGAGCATCCTGAAGAGCTGTCTTGAGAATCCTAATCCATTGCCCCTGAGTGATCTTTGGGTAACCCTTGAAGTCTTTGAAGATCTGACTGAGTTCATTCCTGAAACTGAGCATCACCCAATCAGGCACAGCATCAGGATCCTCAAGCTGAACCAACTGCTGAGTGTAGTACTTCTGCAGCATGTCCACAAACTGTTCCTGAGAGCACCTGAGCTTCACCTTGATGTCAGCCATCTCAGCTGTCAGAGCCACCACCTTCATGGAGTTGCTTAAAGAACCACCCAAAAATAAAACTCATTAACTAATTCATTAATGGATTTCCCATTGGGAAACAAAAAAACAAATCCAAGCCTTAGGACTCAAAGAGAATTTCTCCAGAGTCAGGATATTCCTGAGGTTGGAAAACCATTCCACAAGATGATAATTGTACTCCTTCCTGAGCTTGTCCATCTCAGTGTTGAATTGCTCCATGGCTGAGCTGATGGGATGCAAAGAAGCTGGCTAGAATGGGCTTGAGCCTTCACAAGCAAAGAAATAAATCCCCCCATGTGAGATGAAAATGGATTGAAATCAAATGAAAAGCAATTCCTTTGTTAATTAATAAATTAAGTTGAAATCAATTCAAAGTAAAGTGAAAATCAATTGAAAAACAATTTAATTAAACAAATTGAAAATCAATCGAAATTAATTTGAAATCATTTGAAATCAATTGAACATCAGTTGAAAATGAATTGAAATCAATTGCAATCAAAACCAAAGGCTTTCCAAAGGATGAGTTTCAGCCAAGCAAAAAAAAATATGAATGATCATGATACACATTAGTATGGTTTGTTTGAGGGTACACTATTGTGTCCAGCTGCTTCCTGAGGTTATGTTTTTTTTCAAGCATTTCCTTTCCCTTTTCATTTACTAAAGTTTGTTTCCTTTTACTTAGCTTCATCCTTCTTGGAATCAAAACCAAAGGCTTTCCAAAGGATCAGTTTTAGCCAAGCAAAAAAAAACATGAATGATCCTGATACACAATAGTATGGTTTGTTTGAGGGTACACTATTGTGTCCAGCTGCTTCCGGAGGTGATGTTGTTTTTTAACATTCCCTTTGCATTTTCCTTTGCTAAAGCTTTTTTTTATTTTCTCAATTAGTTTCTTTTTTTTAGAATTCTCAGAAATGCACAATTTCCCAAAATATATGATGCCTTATTAAAACCCAATTAAAAAACATGACTCAAACAATTTTTCAAGGGGGTAGTCCATGAGCAACCCTGATACACAATAGTGTGGTTTGTTTGGGGGTACACTATTGTGTGCAGCTGCTTCCTGAGGTGATGTTGTTTTTTAACATTTCCTTTGCATTTTCCTTTGCTAAAGCTTTTTATTTTCTCAATTAGTTTCTTTTATTTAGAATTCTCAGAAATGCACAATTTCCCAAAATATATGATGCCTTATTAAAACCCAATTAAAAAACATGACTCAAACAATTTTTCAAGGTGGTAGTCCATGAGCAACCCTGATACACAATAGTGTGGTTTGTTTGGGGGTACACTATTGTGTCCAGCTGCTTCCTGAGGTGATTGTTTTTTTTCAATAATTTCCTTTTCCTTTTCCTTTGCTAAAGTTTGTTTCCTTTTACTTAGCTTCATTTTTCTTGGAATCAAAACCAAAGGCTTTCCAAAGGATTAGTTTCAGCCAAGCAAAAAAAACATGAATGATCATGATACACAATAGTCTGGTTTGTTTGAGGGTACACTATTGTGTCCAGCTGCTTCCTGATGTGATTTTGTTTTTTAACATTCCCTTTACATTTTCCTTTGCTAAAGTTTTTTTTAATATTCTCAATTAGTTTCTTTTATTTAGAGTTCTCAGAAATGCTCAATTTACCAAAATATATGATGCCTTATTAAAACCCAATTAAAAAACACCACTCAAACAATTTTTCAAGGGGGTAGTCCATGAGCAACACTGATACACAATAGTCTGGTTTGTTTGAGGGTACACTATTGTGCCCAGCTGCTTCCTGAGGTGATTGTTTTTTTTTTTCAACCATTTACCTTTTCCTTTTCCTTTGCTAAAGTTTGTTTCCTTTTACTTAGCTTCATTTTTCTTGGAATCAAAACCAAAGGCTTTCCAAAGGATTAGTTTCAGCCAAGCAAAAAAAACATGAATGATCATGATACACAATAGTATGGTTTGTTTGAGGGTACACTATTGTGTCCAGCTGCTTCCTGGGGTGATTTTTTTGAAACATTCCCTTTACCTTTTCCTTTGCTAAAGTTTGTTTCCTTTCACTTAGCTTCATTTTTCTTGGAATCAAAACCAAAGGCTTTCCAAAGGATTAGTTTCAGCCAACCAAAAAAAAACATGAATGACCATGATACACAATAGTATGGTTTGTTTGAGGGTACACTATTGTGTCCAGCTGCTTCCTGAGGTGATTTTGTTTTTTAACATTACCTTTACATTTTCCTTTGCTAAAATTTGTTTCCTTTTAGTTAGCTTCATTTTTCTTGGAATCAAAACCAAAGGCTTTCCAAAGGATTAGTTTCAGCCAACCAAAAAAAAACATGAATGATCATGATACACAATAGTATGGTTTGTTTGAGGGTACACTATTGTGTCCAGCTGCTTCCTGAGGTGATTTTGTTTTTTAACATTTCCTTTACATTTTCCTTTGCTAAAGTTTTTTTTTATTTTCTCAGTTAATTAGTTTCTTTTATTTAGAATTCGCAGAAATGCACAATTTCCCAAAATATATGATGCCTTATTAAAACCCAATTAAAAAACATGACTCAAACAATTTTTCAAGGGGGTAGTCCATGAGCAACCCTGATACACAATAGTGTGGTTTGTTTGGGGGTACACTATTGTGTCCAGCTGCTTCCTGAGGTGATTGTTTTTTTTTCAACCATTTCCTTTTCTTTTTCCTTTGCTAAAGTTTGTTTCCTTTTACTTAGCTTCATTTTTCTTGGATTCAAAACCAAAGGCTTTCCAAAGGATTAGTTTCAGCCAAGCAAAAAAAAACATAAATGATCATGATACACAATAGTATGGTTTGTTTGAGGGTACACTATTGTGTCCAGCTGCTTCCTGAGGTGATTTTGTTTTTTAACATTGAAATCAATTGCAAGTAAATTGAAATCAATTGAAAGTAAATTGAAATCAATTGAAAGTAAATTGAAATCAATTCAAAATAAATTGAAATCAATTGAAAGTAAATTAAAATCAATTCAAAATAAATTGAAATTAATTAAAAGTAATTAATTAAATTAAAATCAATTCAAAGTAAATTGAAATCAATTCAAAATAAATTGAAATCAATTGAAAGTAAATTGAAATCAATTCAAAATAAATTGAAATCAATTGAAAGTAAGTAATTAATTAATTGAATTGAAATCAATTCAAAATAAATTGAAATCAATTGAAAGTAAATTGAAATCAATTGAAAGTAAATTGAAATCAATTGAAAGTAAATTGAAATTAATTGAAAGTAAATTGAAATCAATTGAAAGTAAATTCAAATTAATTAAAAGTAAATTGAAATCAATTGAAAGTAAATTGAAATCAATTGAAAGTAAATTGAAATTAATTGAAAGTAAATTGAAATCAATTCAAAATAAATTGAAATTAATTAAAAGTAATTAATTAAATTAAAATCAATTCAAAGTAAATTGAAATCAATTCAAAATAAATTGAAATCAATTGAAAGTAAATTGAAATCAATTCAAAATAAATTGAAATCAATTGAAAGTAAATTGAAATCAATTGAAAGTAAATTGAAATCAATTCAAAATAAATTGAAATCAATTCAAAATAAATTGAAATCAATTTAAATCTATCAATTTTTTTTGATTTTACACTATTCTGTACCCGGTAATTTGTTTTTTCCACACTATTCTGTTACCCAAATTTGTTTGGGGGGGGGGCCTCCCCACACTAATCAGGAACCAACATTAGACCTAAAGTGGCGAAGCGGCGTTTAGGTTGTGTTTGGGGTAGGGCGTTGTTTTACTAGTAGCATAGTGCTTTAATCTTGCTAGTTGCGTTCTCATTGTGTTTGGGATGGTTGCTGTTGGGTTCTGCAGCTACTGGCGTCTTGCTGTTGCTGCGGCTGCTGGTTCGACGGCTGCTGCTGTTGCTGTTTCCGGGTACTTCTACACAACGCTGGGATTATCATCTCTACACTGCCATGGCTGTGTGCTGGGATTCTGCAAATTGTCATTGTTTCGCTACCAGTGATCCAAGGAAGGGCAGGTTTGCGGCTTGCGGGCCGAAGTCCATGTGTGTAGATGCGGGGCTTTTTCCGTACCTCGTTTTGGACCTCGTTTTTTTCCTTTATCAGAACCCATCCTGCAGTATACAAACTAGGAAAAGGGCCTGCTTCGCGTTTTTGTTTGTGGGCGTCAGCAGTGCCCACGAAAAAAGGCCCGTTGGAAACCGGCGTTCCGATGGGATTCGATCAAAAACGAATAGAACATAATAGAACCATGATAGTTTGGTCAAGGCTTGTTAAAGCTAGCGTTTCCAATGGGGAAAGGGGTTTTGCAAGGTCTGTGCCGGGACAGGGGTCGTGGCGAGCGTTTTGATTGGGAATAGCTGTCAAACGCAAACATTGCAAGGACTTGGGCGTATGGGTGTACCGTTTCTGCAGCCAGTTATCCCTATGTTGGTAAAATCGCTAATTAATCAACAAGAGTCTCTAAATCCATGGCTGACATTCCAGAGCTGCCCTGCCTCAGAGCATTTTTTTGCACATTGACACGTCTTTGTTTGTTTCCTTTGGGAAGACAGCCAAGTCTCAAGAATACCTTGCAGATCCTTGCTATAACCTACAACTTGAGCAGTGTTCAAAGCCCCTGTTGATGGTTGTAGGGGATTATGGCATCCAAATGTATCCAATATATTGGGGATGATCAGAAAGACATATTACCCAACCAGTATAAATGGAATGACAGAGGGTCCTGAACACTACTCCCCGGGCAATGGATACACAAAAAATCCTTGAAATATCAATGTTTAGCGGATTGTCCCATCAAAATTGGTAGATTCCCATTGTCAGTTCTTAATCCTGGAGGAAACAAATACTGATGGTTAAAGGCTTGAACAGCAGCTCGAATCTTAATTTGTGCAATTATATTTGGTTGGTTACATCACAGTGACACGTTTTGGTTTTAAAAGGGTGTTGATTTCAGCATTCTGAGTTCTGTTTCTTACTTCCACAATTAACAATATCGCTCCAACTCAGTATAGATAGATTATGCATGATTATGCTAGATTGGTCATTTTGACCATATGTTACCTGGATATTTACCTTTTTTACCTCCTTGTACCTGCATTGGTGCATCCAATCTCAGGCAGTGGCTGCTGTACAACGGTGGATAGCAACTGCCATACACTTGTGGGAGGCGCGGTGAACCAGCTGAAAGGATTCAGAAGCCGATTGGATGTGTGTAATCCTTTAGGATAACCATGGCTTGATTAGGATTGTTGATCACTACACAAGAAGTATCCCATGATAGCAGGTTGCTCAAATCCTCGTGGCACCCCCATGCTGCCATGATGAAGTCCTCATGATTCCTCATGTTTTTCATGTCATTGTTCATCCACATGTTTTTTTCGGTTCATTCTCATGGTTCCAACGAAAATGAAACACCAAACGGAAGCCGTTCGGTGCAAGGTATTCGATCTGGTCTATTCATTCTGGGGGTCTAGTCGTAGGTGTATTGAATATCGAATATCAAAAAAAGTGATTGCTTAAATCCAGCCAAATATATTTTGTCAGATTTGTTAAACGCATCATACCCTGGAAAACAACATCTAGAAAATTATGTCCGATCATTTTATTTGCCGTGAATTTTGGCTGCTGGCTTGGCAGATTGGTGGATCTGTCGGTGCTATGATGATAATGTATTAAAATTATATTAGATCCTCTTTTATACCGTACATAATATATAGATATATTACAAATATTGTATATAATGGTGTGCATATTTATATATATATATACATTTACCATGTTTGTATAGACAGAGAGAGAGAGACAAAGCAGGGACACATTTGCTCTCTATAGAATCTGTTTTTCATTGTCAACATGACTCAAACGAATTGCACGGCGCGACGCAAAAAAAAAAACGCAGCTGGCACCACCTCATGTAAGAGATGAACAAGAAGTTGCACCAATACTTCAAGAAGGAAGTTCTTTGTGAAGTTGCAAGAAACGAGAGCAACCACTTCACAACACGTTTCTGGTCTGTTTATGGCCATCCCAAGTGCGGAGCTTCGCACGTAACCAGAACGCTTAAGTGAGAACCTGATCAAATGTCGCAAAGAAATCAACTACGATTGGACTATGTTGGACTAGTAGTTTAGTCATTTAGTCCCTCAGTTTTAATGAAAAATAACCTTACATTAATTAATGATCCATAATGGCTAAAGATTCAGTTTTTGTGGACTACCATTGACCTTGACCATGATTTTAGTTGCTCCGGAGCCAGGCACCGGTGCAAAAGCCTGTCGCAACTCCCCAGCGGGTAGATGCTTGGTGAAATCCGAGCCATCCTGGTAAATGAATCAGCTACTGTAGCTTGATTTTTTTGACTGTAGCATTACATTTATATACATTTATGTGTCTTCATGCTTTGTATTCTCCATCATGTTATCATATAGATGTCTCGCTTAGTGACCAGGTCATTTTGTTGATCGTCCCAAAGCGCATCCCCAATCATGTTAGCATAGAAATACCAGCACCGGTAGGATCCGTCATGGGTTTTTTTTCACACCACACGGTATTGGCATCTATTGGCGAAACGGCCAAATTCGGCTAACCTCCCGCCTTTCTGAACGATTTGAGCCGAGCCAAAGCCACAACTGCGGGTTTCGCCTTTCTGTTGATGGTGCCATTCCTATCAGAGTTTGATGTCGTCAAATTGGTCAGAAATGGCATCCGCAGATGCAGATCATTGGTGTGTTGAACTTTTTGCTCGCCTTCCAGCCTTCCAGCCTTTGCATCCCTGAGCCACCTCTCCGTCCTCCATGTGAATGGAGGAACCAGAACCAGCTGTGCTTGTGAAAATCCCTGTGTTCAACCGTCAGATTGATGGTTAAACATGGTTAAACCACGAATGTTTCACAGCATATCCAGGGCAATAGTCCAGTGGAGCTGAACCAAAAGGTTGCGAGGTTGCACTGGTTTCCAGATGCTGAATTTGGCTTCTAAAGCATGAGGGGTAGTCGGTATATTGATGTATATTGATGTATGTTGTATACCCCCAAGTGATTGTCCCAGTAGGGACACTGACTGAGGATCAGTGGATTTAGGGCTAGCCTCATTATCCAAGGCCTCAAGAAACAATAGAACCACCAGCCTTAACGAATGCAGTCCCCATGGATTCGTTTGCCAATCCCAGGTTTGCAGAAACGGCTGGAGGCGATGTCAACAATAGCTGGACGGTTTATTTCATGGAGAATTTCCAAATACATCCAGGATGATTTGAGGGCACCTCCCATTTAAGGAAACCTCCACAATATGTTTTAGTGCTGTGTCGTAGTGTGTTGAGACCATACTTACCAGTGATTGGGATGAAATCTCCTGAGACACATCTTCCATCTTGCTGAGATCAGTCTTCAGTCTGGCCACAGTCCTTTCCTGCATTTTCTGAGCTTGTTCCATCAATTCTATGCATTCTTTGGGCTCATCCATGTGAACTAACAGGTCCTCCAGAGGTTGATCATTCATGGAAGCATCTGAGAGAAGCAGAACCATTGCTGAGCACCTACCCTCAGGATCCATCTGCTGGAGCTGGTTGAAGTAGTATGCTTCACCACTATGACACTCACTGGCCTGAGGTGGATCAGCTGGCCTTGCCTTAGGCATCTCTGGTGTGCCTAGAGGCTCAGGAGGACGCTGAGAAGATGAAGGCCTAGAAGCAGAAGGATCTTCCATGAACTGAGCCTTACCATAATCTGCCTTCACTGACTTAGACCATGGCAATGGATCCATGCTGAGAATCCTGGTGTAGTACCACTGGATCACCCACTGAGGCCATCCATCTGAGCCCTCAATGCAAGCTGCTTTGAATGAAACAAAAAAGTAGACTGTAATTGATCAATTAATTCATGATGTTACCAAGTAATGAATTGCTCAATTAATTAATTAATTGGCTAATTGATTAATTAATTAATTATATGATTAATGTTGTTTACTTAGTTTTGAACTGTCACTGAGGTACTTGTAATTAGCAGTAATACTTTAGTTCAAAGCACATAAAAATCAGGAACAAAAAACAGGTAAACAAAAATAACATTATTCTAAGTCCACCCAGGAACTCTGCATTTGCCACATCCTGACTGCCAAGGAATTCTGCTGAGAAAAATCTCAGCTCCACAGGAACCACAGGCAACCTTAGGCTCATCTAAGTACCTGGGGTACTTGACCATAACCTCCTTATCCTGAGTCTGGAACAGCTCAGAGATGTAAGGTCTCTTAGGATCACATGGTTGCACCAACTGAGCATGCTTTCCATTCTCTGATCTATACACCATTCCAGCAGGAATAGTGCTAAGGAGTTGCTGAGATACCCAGGGCCCATGTCTGCCCTCAGCATCCTTTTTTCCTGAGCCTTGGGCAGCTGTCTTCTGCTGCCAAGGGTGATTCTGCTGAGTTGAACTCATGGCTTGCAAGAAGTGCAGCTGAGTTGGTGGAAATCACACTGAGATCAAAGCAGCTGAGGAATCACATAGACATGCATAATTCAACACCATGCAAGCAAAATATCTAGTTGACTAATTCATTTATTACAATTATATATCATGAATCAATAAATATATACTTATTGAATATGATGCATGTGCAAGTAATTATAAGAAACTTACACATGCATAAGCATGCATTACTGATCAAGATTGCCACAAGTCTGAGGCCATGGTCAAGCTGAGCACCAATCCTACCCCACCAGAAACACCCTTCAGTCCTCTGGAGCTAAGTGATCTCATGGTGCTGAGTGATTCCAGCATGCTCTTCAGCAGCACCATTGCTGAGAAAATCAACACAGTTGGATCTGAGCCTTCACAAGCTTTGGTATATAACATCAAAACTAAGTAAAGATTTTCCAAAGGATGAGTTTCAGCCAACCAAAAAAACATGAATGATCATGATACAAAATAGTATGGTTTGTTTGGGGGTACACTATTGTGTCCAGCTGCTTCCTGATGTGTTTTTTTTTAAACATTCTCTTTACCTTTTCCTTTGCTATTATTTTTTATTTTCTCAATTAGTTTCTTTTATTTACAATTCTCAGAAATGCTCAATTTCTCAAAATATATGATGCCTTATTAAAACCCAATTAAAAAACATGACTCAAACACTTCTTCAAGAGGGTAGTCCATGAGCAACCCTGATACACAATAGTGTGGTTTGTTTGGGGGTACACTATTGTGCCCAGCTGCTTCCTGAGGTGATTGTTTTTTTTTCAACCATTTCCTTTTCTTTTTCCTTTGCTAAAGTTTGTTTCCTTTTACTTAGCTTCATTTTTCTTGGATTCAGAACCAAAGGCTTTCCAAAGGATTAGTTTCAGCCAAGCAAAAAAAAACATGAATGATCATGATACACAATAGTATGGTTTGTTTGAGGGTACACTATTGTGTCCAGCTGCTTCCTGAGGTGATTTTGTTTTTTAACATTCCCTTTACATTTTCCTTTGCTAAAGTTTATGTCTTTTATTTTCTCAATTAGTTTCTTTTATTTAGAATTCTCAGAAATGCCTAATTTCCCAAAATATATGATGCCTTATTAAAATCCAATTAAAAAACATGACTCAAACAATTTTTCAAGAGGGTAGTCCATGAGCAACCCTGATACACAATAGTATGGTTTGTTTGAGGGTACACTATTGTGTCCAGCTGCTTCCTGAGGTTATATTTTTTTTTCAAGCATTTCCTTTCCCTTTTCCTTTACTAAAGTTTGTTTCCTTTTACTTAGCTTCATTCTTCTTGGAATCAAAACCAAAGGCTTTCCAAAGGATTAGTTTCAGCCAAGCAAAAAAAAACATGAATGATCCTGATACACAATAGTATGGTTTGTTTGAGGGTACACTATTGTGTCCAGCTTCTTCCTGAGGTGAAAAAACAATCATCCATCCAAGTAATTATTGTAAAGAATATCAAATCTAAATTGATTCACATCTGCTAAATTCAATCTTAGTCCATGCTGCTAAGTTCAATCTCAGTAATTAATTAATTATCTTAGTGCTTGCAACTCTACCCAACCCCATCACTTTCCCAGCCATCTTTTGCCAGTGTGTCCTGCTGATAGTCACATGCTGAGACATTCAAAAATCATTAAGCCTTGCTTAGCTCAATGTAAAAGAAAATCACTCAAGCTTGCTGAAGACCTTAATGCTGAGTGAGGTAGGCAGAATGCTGAGGTCCTGTCAGGGACAAGAAACTGATAGCAAAACTGAAAGACCCATTATTTGACACTAAACTCAGTGATGTTAATGTCCAACATTACCCATTACTTATGCTAAAGTAATCAATTAATTAACTAAATAATTGATTAATTATTGATTCATTAATTAGTTAATTAAGTAATTAACTAATTAAAATATTAATTAATCAATTAATTATTCTAAACTGCAACAACAACCAGCAGCAGTGGCAAAACCACCCACATCACTTCAGAGCTGCACTCATTTTTTTCTGCCAGCTAAGAAATTCTTCACAATGCCTCTGGTATAATTACTCAGGAAGTGACTAAGGCTTCTAATTGACTATATATCTGCTCAGCAGTCATGCACCTGAGTTAATTATACATCCACAACTTCCTTCACTGAGTCCTGAGGCTTGTGATCAATCTGAGGAGACTTTTGCATCAGCTGCCTGAGATCTAGTTCACTCATTTGATGAGTTTCCATGAACTTTCTCAGAGCGTCCTTATTCACAAGATCCTGAGACAGCTTCTGCTCCCAGTAGGACTGAGATCTTTTCACTGAGAGTTGAAGCTCAGCATGCAAAGCCCTGAGCTCACCTTGCTCCTCTTCCATGTTCTTAGCATCTTTCCTGAGCCTAAGCATTGTGAGCTCCTGAGATTCAAGTGCCTGCTCAAGTAGAAGAATCTTGGACTTCATGTCCTCAATCAGGTCAGGTACATTGTCCAAGTCACTGAGCTTCTGATCTGATTCTGAGTCGTCCAGGAGCTTGTCAATCTCATTGATGTTCAGCTTTTGGAGCTCAGACTTGACATAGCCCTGAGCATCATTGGCAGTCCTGATAGGCTGAGGCTTCCAAACTGAGCTTCTCTGCATATTTGATAAAGCAGCATCTAGCACATTGAAGGGCTGATGAGGTCTGCCTGAGCCCTTCCCTGTTGATGAAGAAGCAGTTGCTGCTGAGAATCCAGCTGGTGGATCAGGCTCAGGAGGCTTGAACTGAGCTTGTCTGAACTGAGGAGCTACAAATGCACCCCAAGGCAATGGGTCCATTCTGAGCCCCTCAGTGTAATATCTTTGAACCACTTCCTGAGACCAGCCATTGTGTTCCTGCAGGGTTGCAAATGGTGTCCATGAAAAAAATGACAACTATATCAGTTAATTAATGCTCATTGTCCTATGCTAAAACACACAAACACACACCAACAAAAAAAAAAACATCCATTTGTTCAACCCAGGCACAGAGCATTCTCTACATCCTGATTGCCAGGGAATTCTGCTGAGGAAGACTTGATGGCCATTGCCACAGTCAACCTTAGGCTCCCAAAGGTATCTAGGATACTCCACAATGTTTTCTGAGTCCATGTTGTTGAAGAGTGCTCAGCATGAGGGTTCCTGAGGTGGATCATTGGGCTGAAGCTGGTAGCGCCCTTGGCCACCCTTCTGAGTCCACAAAACCTTGTCAGGCACCTCATCAGGCTTCTCTTCAAACATAGGATGAGGTTTGCCTGAGCCTCTCCCATGATAGTCAAAGAAAGACATAGCTGAGATGATATGGAGCAAAGGTTGATTAGTCCTGGCCCTTAGATTTGAGCCTTAAAAAGCTGAGGAATCACATAGACATGCACAAATATGAACATGCTACAACTTCATTGGTTAATTAATTAGCTAATTACTCAATTATAAGAAACTTAAACATGCATAAGCATGCTAATTAATTAATTAATTGATTAATTAATTAATTAATCAAAATTGCCAAAAGTCTAAGATTATGTCCAAGCTGAGCACTAATCCCACACCACCAGAAACACCCTTCAGTCCTCTAGGGCTCTTCAGTCTTGGCCTTCTTGGACTTGGGCTCAGCATCTGAGGATGGATCTGATGCTGAATCATCACTGCTCATAGGCTGAGAGTCTAAGACCTGAGAATCATCAACCAGCTCCTGGGACCCAAAGGGTGTATCTGATGGTGCTTCATCATCACTCCCCATAGGCTGAGAGTCTAAGACCTGAGAGTCCTTAGCCACCTCCATCACCTCATGGTCAGGCTGTGCATTCAACTCCTTTTCCATACCCTGAAACTTGCTGAGGGTAGCATCAAATGTATCAGACTTAGCAGGTTGGGCAGGCTGGGCAGGCTGAGGAAGAGGGATACACTCTGATGGCCAACCATCCTGAGCATCCTGAAGAGCTGTCTTGAGAATCCTAATCCATTGCCCCTGAGTGATCTTTGGGTAACCCTTGAAGTCTTTGAAGATCTGACTGAGTTCATTCCTGAAACTGAGCATCACCCAATCAGGCACAGCATCAGGATCCTCAAGCTGAACCAACTGCTGAGTGTAGTACTTCTGCAGCATGTCCACAAACTGTTCCTGAGAGCACCTGAGCTTCACCTTGATGTCAGCCATCTCAGCTGTCAGAGCCACCACCTTCATGGAGTTGCTTAAAGAACCACCCAAAAATAAAACTCATTAACTAATTCATTAATGGATTTCCCATTGGGAAAAAAAAACAAATCCAAGCCTTAGGACTCAAAGAGAATTTCTCCAGAGTCAGGATATTCCTGAGGTTGGAAAACCATTCCACAAGATGATAATTGTACTCCTTCCTGAGCTTGTCCATCTCAGTGTTGAATTGCTCCATGGCTGAGCTGATGGGATGCAAAGAAGCTGGCTAGAATGGGCTTGAGCCTTCACAAGCAAAGAAATAAATCCCCCCATGTGAGATGAAAATGGATTGAAATCAAATGAAAAGCAATTCCTTTGTTAATTAATAAATTAAGTTGAAATCAATTCAAAGTAAAGTGAAAATCAATTGAAAAACAATTTAATTAAACAAATTGAAAATCAATCGAAATTAATTTGAAATCATTTGAAATCAATTGAACATCAGTTGAAAATGAATTGAAATCAATTGCAATCAAAACCAAAGGCTTTCCAAAGGATGAGTTTCAGCCAAGCAAAAAAAAATATGAATGATCATGATACACATTAGTATGGTTTGTTTGAGGGTACACTATTGTGTCCAGCTGCTTCCTGAGGTTATGTTTTTTTTCAAGCATTTCCTTTCCCTTTTCATTTACTAAAGTTTGTTTCCTTTTACTTAGCTTCATCCTTCTTGGAATCAAAACCAAAGGCTTTCCAAAGGATCAGTTTTAGCCAAGCAAAAAAAAACATGAATGATCCTGATACACAATAGTATGGTTTGTTTGAGGGTACACTATTGTGTCCAGCTGCTTCCTGAGGTGATTTTGTTTTTTAACATTTCCTTTGCATTTTCCTTTGCTAAAGTTTTTTTATTTTCTCAATTAATTAGTTTCTTTTATTTAGAATTCTCAGAAATGCACAATTTCCCAAAATATATGATGCCTTATTAAAACCCAATTAAAAAACATGACCCAAACAATTTTTCAAGGGGGTAGTCCATGAGCAACCCTGATACACAATAGTGTGGTTTGTTTGGGGGTACACTATTGTGTCCAGCTGCTTCCTGAGGTGATGTTGTTTTTTAACATTCCCTTTGCATTTTCCTTTGCTAAAGCTTTTTTTTATTTTCTCAATTAGTTTCTTGTATTTAGAATTCTCAGAAATGCACAATTTCCCAAAATATATGATGCCTTATTAAAACCCAATTAAAAAACATGACAAACAATTTTTCAAGGGGGTAGTCCATGAGCAACCCTGATACACAATAGTGTGGTTTGTTTGGGGGTACACTATTGTGTCCAGCTGCTTCCTGAGGTGATTGCTTCCTGAGGTGATTGTTTTTTTTCAATAATTTCCTTTTCCTTTTCCTTTGCTAAAGTTTGTTTCCTTTTACTTAGCTTCATTTTTCTTGGAATCAAAACCAAAGGCTTTCCAAAGGATTAGTTTCAGCCAAGCAAAAAAAACATGAATGATCATGATACACAATAGTCTGGTTTGTTTGAGGGTACACTATTGTGTCCAGCTGCTTCCTGATGTGATTTTGTTTTTTAACATTCCCTTTACATTTTCCTTTGCTAAAGTTTTTTTTAATATTCTCAATTAGTTTCTTTTATTTAGAGTTCTCAGAAATGCTCAATTTACCAAAATATATGATGCCTTATTAAAACCCAATTAAAAAACACCACTCAAACAATTTTTCAAGGGGGTAGTCCATGAGCAACACTGATACACAATAGTCTGGTTTGTTTGAGGGTACACTATTGTGCCCAGCTGCTTCCTGAGGTGATTGTTTTTTTTTTTCAACCATTTACCTTTTCCTTTTCCTTTGCTAAAGTTTGTTTCCTTTTACTTAGCTTCATTTTTCTTGGAATCAAAACCAAAGGCTTTCCAAAGGATTAGTTTCAGCCAAGCAAAAAAAACATGAATGATCATGATACACAATAGTATGGTTTGTTTGAGGGTACACTATTGTGTCCAGCTGCTTCCTGGGGTGATTTTTTTGAAACATTCCCTTTACCTTTTCCTTTGCTAAAGTTTGTTTCCTTTCACTTAGCTTCATTTTTCTTGGAATCAAAACCAAAGGCTTTCCAAAGGATTAGTTTCAGCCAACCAAAAAAAAACATGAATGACCATGATACACAATAGTATGGTTTGTTTGAGGGTACACTATTGTGTCCAGCTGCTTCCTGAGGTGATTTTGTTTTTTAACATTACCTTTACATTTTCCTTTGCTAAAATTTGTTTCCTTTTAGTTAGCTTCATTTTTCTTGGAATCAAAACCAAAGGCTTTCCAAAGGATTAGTTTCAGCCAACCAAAAAAAAACATGAATGATCATGATACACAATAGTATGGTTTGTTTGAGGGTACACTATTGTGTCCAGCTGCTTCCTGAGGTGATTTTGTTTTTTAACATTTCCTTTACATTTTCCTTTGCTAAAGTTTTTTTTTATTTTCTCAGTTAATTAGTTTCTTTTATTTAGAATTCGCAGAAATGCACAATTTCCCAAAATATATGATGCCTTATTAAAACCCAATTAAAAAACATGACTCAAACAATTTTTCAAGGGGGTAGTCCATGAGCAACCCTGATACACAATAGTGTGGTTTGTTTGGGGGTACACTATTGTGTCCAGCTGCTTCCTGAGGTGATTGTTTTTTTTTCAACCATTTCCTTTTCTTTTTCCTTTGCTAAAGTTTGTTTCCTTTTACTTAGCTTCATTTTTCTTGGATTCAAAACCAAAGGCTTTCCAAAGGATTAGTTTCAGCCAAGCAAAAAAAAACATAAATGATCATGATACACAATAGTATGGTTTGTTTGAGGGTACACTATTGTGTCCAGCTGCTTCCTGAGGTGATTTTGTTTTTTAACATTGAAATCAATTGCAAGTAAATTGAAATCAATTGAAAGTAAATTGAAATCAATTGAAAGTAAATTGAAATCAATTCAAAATAAATTGAAATCAATTGAAAGTAAATTAAAATCAATTCAAAATAAATTGAAATTAATTAAAAGTAATTAATTAAATTAAAATCAATTCAAAGTAAATTGAAATCAATTCAAAATAAATTGAAATCAATTGAAAGTAAATTGAAATCAATTCAAAATAAATTGAAATCAATTGAAAGTAAGTAATTAATTAATTGAATTGAAATCAATTCAAAATAAATTGAAATCAATTGAAAGTAAATTGAAATCAATTGAAAGTAAATTGAAATCAATTGAAAGTAAATTGAAATTAATTGAAAGTAAATTGAAATCAATTGAAAGTAAATTCAAATTAATTAAAAGTAAATTGAAATCAATTGAAAGTAAATTGAAATCAATTGAAAGTAAATTGAAATTAATTGAAAGTAAATTGAAATCAATTCAAAATAAATTGAAATTAATTAAAAGTAATTAATTAAATTAAAATCAATTCAAAGTAAATTGAAATCAATTCAAAATAAATTGAAATCAATTGAAAGTAAATTGAAATCAATTCAAAATAAATTGAAATCAATTGAAAGTAAATTGAAATCAATTGAAAGTAAATTGAAATCAATTCAAAATAAATTGAAATCAATTCAAAATAAATTGAAATCAATTTAAATCTATCAATTTTTTTTGATTTTACACTATTCTGTACCCGGTAATTTGTTTTTTCCACACTATTCTGTTACCCAAATTTGTTTGGGGGGGGGGCCTCCCCACACTAATCAGGAACCAACATTAGACCTAAAGTGGCGAAGCGGCGTTTAGGTTGTGTTTGGGGTAGGGCGTTGTTTTACTAGTAGCATAGTGCTTTAATCTTGCTAGTTGCGTTCTCATTGTGTTTGGGATGGTTGCTGTTGGGTTCTGCAGCTACTGGCGTCTTGCTGTTGCTGCGGCTGCTGGTTCGACGGCTGCTGCTGTTGCTGTTTCCGGGTACTTCTACACAACGCTGGGATTATCATCTCTACACTGCCATGGCTGTGTGCTGGGATTCTGCAAATTGTCATTGTTTCGCTACCAGTGATCCAAGGAAGGGCAGGTTTGCGGCTTGCGGGCCGAAGTCCATGTGTGTAGATGCGGGGCTTTTTCCGTACCTCGTTTTGGACCTCGTTTTTTTCCTTTATCAGAACCCATCCTGCAGTATACAAACTAGGAAAAGGGCCTGCTTCGCGTTTTTGTTTGTGGGCGTCAGCAGTGCCCACGAAAAAAGGCCCGTTGGAAACCGGCGTTCCGATGGGATTCGATCAAAAACGAATAGAACATAATAGAACCATGATAGTTTGGTCAAGGCTTGTTAAAGCTAGCGTTTCCAATGGGGAAAGGGGTTTTGCAAGGTCTGTGCCGGGACAGGGGTCGTGGCGAGCGTTTTGATTGGGAATAGCTGTCAAACGCAAACATTGCAAGGACTTGGGCGTATGGGTGTACCGTTTCTGCAGCCAGTTATCCCTATGTTGGTAAAATCGCTAATTAATCAACAAGAGTCTCTAAATCCATGGCTGACATTCCAGAGCTGCCCTGCCTCAGAGCATTTTTTTGCACATTGACACGTCTTTGTTTGTTTCCTTTGGGAAGACAGCCAAGTCTCAAGAATACCTTGCAGATCCTTGCTATAACCTACAACTTGAGCAGTGTTCAAAGCCCCTGTTGATGGTTGTAGGGGATTATGGCATCCAAATGTATCCAATATATTGGGGATGATCAGAAAGACATATTACCCAACCAGTATAAATGGAATGACAGAGGGTCCTGAACACTACTCCCCGGGCAATGGATACACAAAAAATCCTTGAAATATCAATGTTTAGCGGATTGTCCCATCAAAATTGGTAGATTCCCATTGTCAGTTCTTAATCCTGGAGGAAACAAATACTGATGGTTAAAGGCTTGAACAGCAGCTCGAATCTTAATTTGTGCAATTATATTTGGTTGGTTACATCACAGTGACACGTTTTGGTTTTAAAAGGGTGTTGATTTCAGCATTCTGAGTTCTGTTTCTTACTTCCACAATTAACAATATCGCTCCAACTCAGTATAGATAGATTATGCATGATTATGCTAGATTGGTCATTTTGACCATATGTTACCTGGATATTTACCTTTTTTACCTCCTTGTACCTGCATTGGTGCATCCAATCTCAGGCAGTGGCTGCTGTACAACGGTGGATAGCAACTGCCATACACTTGTGGGAGGCGCGGTGAACCAGCTGAAAGGATTCAGAAGCCGATTGGATGTGTGTAATCCTTTAGGATAACCATGGCTTGATTAGGATTGTTGATCACTACACAAGAAGTATCCCATGATAGCAGGTTGCTCAAATCCTCGTGGCACCCCCATGCTGCCATGATGAAGTCCTCATGATTCCTCATGTTTTTCATGTCATTGTTCATCCACATGTTTTTTTCGGTTCATTCTCATGGTTCCAACGAAAATGAAACACCAAACGGAAGCCGTTCGGTGCAAGGTATTCGATCTGGTCTATTCATTCTGGGGGTCTAGTCGTAGGTGTATTGAATATCGAATATCAAAAAAAGTGATTGCTTAAATCCAGCCAAATATATTTTGTCAGATTTGTTAAACGCATCATACCCTGGAAAACAACATCTAGAAAATTATGTCCGATCATTTTATTTGCCGTGAATTTTGGCTGCTGGCTTGGCAGATTGGTGGATCTGTCGGTGCTATGATGATAATGTATTAAAATTATATTAGATCCTCTTTTATACCGTACATAATATATAGATATATTACAAATATTGTATATAATGGTGTGCATATTTATATATATATATACATTTACCATGTTTGTATAGACAGAGAGAGAGAGACAAAGCAGGGACACATTTGCTCTCTATAGAATCTGTTTTTCATTGTCAACATGACTCAAACGAATTGCACGGCGCGACGCAAAAAAAAAAACGCAGCTGGCACCACCTCATGTAAGAGATGAACAAGAAGTTGCACCAATACTTCAAGAAGGAAGTTCTTTGTGAAGTTGCAAGAAACGAGAGCAACCACTTCACAACACGTTTCTGGTCTGTTTATGGCCATCCCAAGTGCGGAGCTTCGCACGTAACCAGAACGCTTAAGTGAGAACCTGATCAAATGTCGCAAAGAAATCAACTACGATTGGACTATGTTGGACTAGTAGTTTAGTCATTTAGTCCCTCAGTTTTAATGAAAAATAACCTTACATTAATTAATGATCCATAATGGCTAAAGATTCAGTTTTTGTGGACTACCATTGACCTTGACCATGATTTTAGTTGCTCCGGAGCCAGGCACCGGTGCAAAAGCCTGTCGCAACTCCCCAGCGGGTAGATGCTTGGTGAAATCCGAGCCATCCTGGTAAATGAATCAGCTACTGTAGCTTGATTTTTTTGACTGTAGCATTACATTTATATACATTTATGTGTCTTCATGCTTTGTATTCTCCATCATGTTATCATATAGATGTCTCGCTTAGTGACCAGGTCATTTTGTTGATCGTCCCAAAGCGCATCCCCAATCATGTTAGCATAGAAATACCAGCACCGGTAGGATCCGTCATGGGTTTTTTTTCACACCACACGGTATTGGCATCTATTGGCGAAACGGCCAAATTCGGCTAACCTCCCGCCTTTCTGAACGATTTGAGCCGAGCCAAAGCCACAACTGCGGGTTTCGCCTTTCTGTTGATGGTGCCATTCCTATCAGAGTTTGATGTCGTCAAATTGGTCAGAAATGGCATCCGCAGATGCAGATCATTGGTGTGTTGAACTTTTTGCTCGCCTTCCAGCCTTCCAGCCTTTGCATCCCTGAGCCACCTCTCCGTCCTCCATGTGAATGGAGGAACCAGAACCAGCTGTGCTTGTGAAAATCCCTGTGTTCAACCGTCAGATTGATGGTTAAACATGGTTAAACCACGAATGTTTCACAGCATATCCAGGGCAATAGTCCAGTGGAGCTGAACCAAAAGGTTGCGAGGTTGCACTGGTTTCCAGATGCTGAATTTGGCTTCTAAAGCATGAGGGGTAGTCGGTATATTGATGTATATTGATGTATGTTGTATACCCCCAAGTGATTGTCCCAGTAGGGACACTGACTGAGGATCAGTGGATTTAGGGCTAGCCTCATTATCCAAGGCCTCAAGAAACAATAGAACCACCAGCCTTAACGAATGCAGTCCCCATGGATTCGTTTGCCAATCCCAGGTTTGCAGAAACGGCTGGAGGCGATGTCAACAATAGCTGGACGGTTTATTTCATGGAGAATTTCCAAATACATCCAGGATGATTTGAGGGCACCTCCCATTTAAGGAAACCTCCACAATATGTTTTAGTGCTGTGTCGTAGTGTGTTGAGACCATACTTACCAGTGATTGGGATGATTTGTTTCGTATTGGCTTTAATGTCCATTTTGTTGGTTGGGATGATTTGCTCACATGATTGAAGACAATGATGTTTGAAATCAAAATTTCCCCATATTGCAATATTGTTTTTCCATATTATCGAAAATAAGTTACTACATAGTATCATAGTATTCTATATAATAGATATCACTATTATATTGTTCCCAGATTGATTAATACAGATAGTTGTACAACTTCTTCTGATTTAAATAATGTGACTGATACAACTTAGTCTGATAATATCACTATCACTGATATATAAATGCTTATCACCAATAGAATTTGCATCACTAATATATTATCCCGTCTTGATTTGTCATATGATTAATTACATTTGAAACCCTATTTAACAGTTAACATAGTTAACACTGATTGGGATGATTTTCATGTTGGTTTCCCATATGAACGATTTTTTTGAGAGCCCCCAACCACGAATAGTTTGATCCCCAGCAAAGCACAGCGCACTCAGGAGGTGAATTGCAAGATGAGGGACTACAAGCCTCTCCGGCCCAATGGGGAGGTGGGGCCACCAGCGATGGGAGCCATGGCCCTTTCGTAGATGATTTACCAACATGATGATTTACCAAAACAAAAAAGGGGGTGTTTTTCGATAGCTACGTCAAATTACCAGAGAGTATATAACATTATATAACTAACTAAGTATGGTGCGATTGCACATATGAAGGGTCTCATTGAACAACTAACAGCCTTTGTTTATATCCTTTTTCCATACTATGGTACCCGGTACCGGTGTTCAGTTGGAAAGAGTTGTTGTTGTTGTCGTTGTTGTTGTTGTTGTTTTCTCGAGCTTCGGCGCATCAAATTAAACACATGAGTGGAAGCACATGTTGTTACCTTCCAATATTCTGTTCAGATTTTGTTGCATTGCTCAACTACACTTCAACTACACTTCATCTACACTTCAACTACACTTCAGGGAGCGAGTTGATGTGATACAACCTACTGGTATGGCATACATCCGCTTATTATCCGCCCATGTTTGTTGGTGACTCTTAATATCACTTTAATGTTGGTTGTGTGAGTATTCTATAATATAACAGTATACATTGTTATCATCTCTAATATAACATATAACATTATATATTGTTATCATCTCTGTGATTGTGAAAACATGGGTTGTTTCCCTTAAAAGGGGATGGCCATCAATCGATTCTTCGGGATTTGTATACCCATTGTAAGGCTTCCCATTGTTTGTAACTATATACAATGTTTTGATCATACCACATTTTGGCACAATATATTGTATTATTGTAAGTTCTTAGTCCTGTGATTGCTAGATAATATCATGTTAAATAAATGACGATATGTATTATATATATATTATATAATTGTTAGATAATAGCTAATCTGTCATCCTATTGGATATTTAATCCCATCACCCTAATATTAAGCACCCCACAAATGGTCCCAATTATTCGGAAAGTCCCTACTAAACCGAGGTTTCTAAGGGGATGTTTAATATTCGGGCAATGGGATTATTACTGGTTGGTGGTTTCGAACATTTTTTGTTTTTCCATCTATTGGGAATAATCATCCCAACTGAATTTCATATTTTTCAGAGGGATTGAAACCACCAACCAGATTAATATTAACCATCATTAACCATATAATAACCATATATGAACCATCATGAACAGTATATTAACCACATATCAACCATCATTAATAGTATATTATCAACATCGTCATACTGTTGATGATGGTTAATATATCATGTATCATCGTCATTAACAGTTAATATATTAACGATATTTATATCAACCAGATTATCATTGATATCATCGTCGTCATGTGTTCTCCTTATCTCTCCTTAAGTTTGCCGACGATGTTTTTTCGCGCCATCTTTCGCCATCTTTGTAGGCCCGGCCCTTGCGCACTGACCGTACGGAGACCCGGGGGTTCCGGACCAGGGGACACCGGGAGGATGCTGGCAGTGAGATTGACCTCACCAGTGGTAAGTTTCATCATGTTCATTGTTGAAAAATATGTTTCAATTGTTTCCTTGTCGAAATCCAGAGCTACTTTGAGGTACTAAGGTTTGTCTAAGTGTTGCTGTCAAGTTTTTTTTCGGGACCAGAGAGATGTTTGGAAATGAAATAACGCATGCAAACGAAACAACATAGGAATTTTGAATGCCTAAATCAAAGTCCCTCCACGAAACTTCAATTGAAGGAAAGTTGTTCGCACTTTCCTGCAGTCATAGCACCCCGGAGGAAGTAAATCAGTTTGAATTCAGGATGGTTCAAGATGAAAACGCGAAGCCGATGAATGGGACGGTTTTGCCATGGTTTAGCCATTGATACGACATTTGTCATAGGCGTTTGCCTCAGCACACCTCAGCAACCTGCCGGTGCGCTTTGCACGGTGAATCAACAGTATGTTAGAACCACACGAAGGCGAGAATTGTCATATAGTTGGAGTGATAATGCTGTTTGTTTTTTTGCACGGGAACCTTTTTTTTACAAGTAATGTCGTGGTTGGAAAGACTAAAGTCATAGGCCCTAAAACCTGAAATTTATCAGGCATCGATGAGTCAGAAGTTGAGTGTTTCATTCGACAGATGCATACATTGCACAGCAACTTATGTGGAATTGTGGAATACAGTACATGATGCTTCTGATGAGCTAGTTTCATTTTGATCAGACCCAGCATTATTTTAGGAACAAAAATGTTTCACTGTTGGAAGCTCAAAATGGTTCAAACCTAAAATTATGCGAAAAATGGATGGTTAATTATCTGTTGAGATCCTGAACATGATCAGCCTTTTGTGGGCCCATAATGGTACCAGTTGTTAGAGACATTTGCTGTACCAGTGTTCAAAGAGCCTAGAGCTTTGGCTCAAGCTGGCCCACCGGGCAAGTTGCTAAAACCAAGATGTTAATCTGCCATGCAGAAAGAATAATTTCAATGGGCAAACAGCAACATGGCTGTGGTCCCAATCACCGCCATACCTTTATGATGTGTGTACACTTTTGTATACGATCGGTAGGTTCCCATGTGCAAGGTACCAAGTACCCTATGCTAAACTAGCATAGCTATTGAAAATGGCCACTTGATTTACCCATTAATAGCATGGTGATTTTCCATAGTTATGTAAAAGCTTACCAGAGGCTAATTCGAAGACAACAAGAACCACCGAAATCCACTCACCACACAAAAACTGGAGCCTGCGCAGCGGAAACGGCGCGCGAGGGGCCCTTTTTACGCTGCTGGGCTGCGATGTTATGATCGCCATCAGCAGCATTGCATCACCATCACCAAGACAATCATTATCGTCATCAAAGTCATCAAAACAATACTCACAATCAGCATCATCATAATCATAACTAAAAAATAGTAATGCTAATATGATTGTAATATTAATGATAATCATAATATTAGTAATGGTAATGAACATCATCATCATCATCATCATCTCCTGAGGCTTTTTTGGTGTCGATGGCTGTAGTGATCATCGGAGATGATCCTTTCTGGTGGTTTCTTGGACGGTGATGCAAAGAATTGCACCGGTGTAACCAAAAAGGGGATGCCACGACATTTCCCTGTGCATAGAGCAAGTTTATACAGAAAATTCATGCTGTTTTCCGCACTTTGAAACGGTCTTGTTGTAGAATTGGATATTAAATATATATATATATACATACTATACAATGTTTCCACTGCCCGACAAGCGCTACACATTTAGCATGTCCCTCCTCAGATCTCACCCTAAAACCTTGTGTTACTTGAATCTAACTGACAATCAAAAGTGCAGAAGTCCATGAAATCATAATAATCATAATATATCCCTTCGTCAAGTGCGTTGGTTTACCAACTTAAAAGCGGTGAAGATTTCCAATACTCAATGGTGGAGTGGCCATTTCAGGAACCTTTTTTTGAGGGATACCTACCATATATATATATATATATACTTATCTAGATATTTTTGGCCTAAATTTCATTATCATATGACCAAAAATATGGTACAGTAGCTCCAAAAATGAGGGTCCTGAAATTCGCACCAAAAATTAGCCTCCATTCAACTAGACCCAGATAGGTAGGGCTTGGGCGAATTTCTTTGAGAAGCCCAGAATCACATGCATTGGATCAGTGGTTAAGTGTGGGGAATAGCCATATGTTATAGTAATAAATGTTCTGGGTGTTAATAATAGCCTTTATAAACTTTATAGGCCATTAACTTTATAACTGGCGATATGATTAATATTCTGTATGCAAGTCAGGTTTTTGATCATATGGGATCTAACATGGTTATAACACACTTACAATGCCTAGGATGCACAAAACAATGCCTGGGACACAGCGAAGATGATTCAATGGATCCAGGAGTTGTTTTTCAGAGTCAAACTATGACTGATTGGTGGTTTGGAACATGATTTTTCTATATTTTTATGACTTTCCATATACTGGGAATATAATCATCCCAACTGACAAACTCATTTTTTTCAGAGGGGTAGGTCAACCACCAACCAAATGAGTTTTCAGGGATGGCATGTAATAAGCTCATCCTCCACTGGGCAGAGCAAAAACTCCCCAACTTTGGTATGAATAAGTTGGACTACCCTCTGGTAAACTAACAAAAAACTATGGAAAAACGCCATTTTCAATGGGTAAATCCACTATTTCGACTGGGCCATGTTCAATAGCGATCTGTTAAATTACCAGGGTAGACTATACAGTATGGTATTTAGTAGCGTGATCAAATGAACCTGGGAAACTCAATACCATAAACCTACCATTTGGGATGAATGAAATCCCACACATCAAAATGGTCATGATTTGGGGATAGTTTATGAAATTAGGTTATCACATTGTAAAATAACACAACATCATACAACTTATAGTAGAAAGTCCCATCGTATTTCGGAATCCGGGACTGGTCCTGTTACCTGAGGTGGTGGATGCGCCTTTTCATAGCTCCTTGGCGAACAGTGTTTTCTGCCAAACAGCGGGGAGTGCCCCCTGAAAATATGGTGGTTTAATAGGGGATACTGGGATACTGATTAGTGTATGAAACTTGGTAAAGCTGGGTGAAGTTGTTTGTTTGGTTTCAAGATGTTTCAAGCTATGGTGTTTTTATCTGGCCAAACGGGGCAGCGATTGACGACCGTCCAAAGGAAGCAGGTTTGTTTAAGCATCAAACATGGTCAAAAGTGGTGTTACCCTCTGGTAATTTAACGTAGCTATGGAAAATCACCATTTTTAGTGGGGAAATCCACTATAAATCACCATTTTCAATAGCTATGTTAAATTACCAGAGGGTACAACATGTTACAATGATTATACAGGCACCTGCTAAAGTCGTGTCTGTTTGCACAGTTTTCAAGTTAGCTTCGAAACAATGTCTTGCAGAAGTCGTCTCTTTTAGGCTTCCCGCAACCCGAATGCAGTGTTTTGATGATCTGTTGACCGATTTTCCATAGATATCCATAGATAGATTGGATTTTTGATGATATTTGATGGATATTTTATGTTTATTTCCAGTCTAATCTGGCGTTCAGGTTGGTGTTTCTATGAAACCACTTGGGGTGTTGTTGCGGTGTGGCTTCATCAGCACAACTAGGCGGCTGCCTGTGCGATCTAGTGAATCTAGTGCCGGATGTAGCAAGGTTTGGGGTAGCAAAATGTGGGAAAAATATTGGTTGTACGTATGTTAATCTATTATTACCCACAGACGCCGTGTGTTGCCCAGACATTCACATTGAGAATGTCGTGCTGTCGAATATATGATAGGAGAGATTGCAGAAAATACATGAAAATACTGCGTATATGCAGTGTTTTCCAGTTTAGGATTCAAAGTTTTCAGAGCCGAGGTTTTAGGGTTTGGGGTTTTAGGGTTTAGGGTTCGCCGTCTGGGAAATCTCAAAACACCAACCCTGCGCAGACGTTTGAGCATGTTGAAGGATAATGTTTAAACATGTTCGCCCCAACCTGGACCTTGCTCCACACTCACAATCGTCATGATCATCATCATCATCATCATCATCATCATCACACTAAAATTTGCCGCCCCCCTCTGAACAATATGTTGGTTGGGGTAATAACATCAACTTTATCTTCATGGGGGATCAAAATTTGCCACCCTCTCTGAACAATATGTTAGCTGGGGCACTAACATCAACTTTATCTCCATGAGGGATCAAAAATCGCCATCACCTATGAACAATATGTTGACTGGGGTAATAGCATCAACTTTATCTTCATGAGGGATCAAACTTCGCCACCACCTATGAACAATATGTTGACTGGGGTAATAGCATCAACTTTATCTTCATGAGGGATCAAAAATTCGCCACCCTCTCTGAACAATATGTTAGTTGGGGTTTAATATCAACTTTATCTTCATGAGGGATCAAATTCGCCACCCCCTATCAACAATATGTTGACTGGGGTAATAACATCAACTTTATCTTCATAAGGGATCAAAATTCGCGACCCCCTATCAACAATATGTTGATTGATTGGGGTAATAACATCAATTTTATCTTCATAGCCACCTGAAGTCAGACGCGGAGCAACGTAAGGGTTGCAGCGAACATGTTGAAACGCCATTTGAACCTTCCAGGCAACACACGGCGCCTGGCCGTATTATTATAGATCATAAACATAAGGTTAAATGATTATTTTATTTAGACATTATTGTACTATAGAAATTACCAAAGATTTGGCATGTAAGTACTATTATATATATATATATATATTTAAAAAAAAGAATACATGAAGATATAGGCCAAAAACACCCTTTTTTTTGGTTGTTTCGAAGATGTTTTTTTTTTTGTTTCCCCATTTTTTGGATGATCATCGGCTCTCAGGTGTTTGTCTATGCGGTGTTGGCTGTATGGAAGGCTTTCTCCTGGTGCCGATCCCTCGATTTGACAGCGCCTCGGATCTAGGGATCCATCCTTTAAAACAACCCCTGGCGTTTCTGGCATGGTCCCAATGAAAAATGTGGAATTTCCCTACGAAACAAACCCATGGCGTTTTTAGGGCCTAGGCCTGGACGGGTGTTTAATAGTGGGCATCCTCATGATGGAGGTATCCATTTGTTGGTTGGAAAATGACACTAATATTGAAAAAAAACGAAGCTGCTATAGGCTCCCCCCAACAAATGCAATGTTCAAGTCTGAAACGTCATGCAGGTATATGCAGTAGGATCATTTCTCTAGAATGGAAGATTGGTTTTCTTAGAGTTCCACAGGTGCGTGCGCCCTGACACTCTTTGAAGTTAGGGTGCAAACGGATCATGGGTTGCTGCTTCTACGATATTTGTCATGACCAGAGTTCAGAATGTTGGGTAATGTGGCAAACCCAGCAATAAACCATCCCCAAGTCATCACTGTTTTTCTGGGTGCGATTTCAACCATCCCAAATGGTAGCTTTATGGCATTGGGAATCTCACATTAGCCAAGGATGCAAAGTTGCCTTACTCACAGAGTATCTGCCAGCTGTCCTGCATGTATTAAATTACCCAGCCAGAACAGCTTTCGGGTATCGAATCACATCTTTCTTGTGGACGCTCAGCAGGATTTTTTGATTGGGGATCTCTGCCGATCACTTTCTGACTGAGACTTCTATGAATGATGTTATAATAGGGGAATGATTCCGTTTCGTAGCCTTATTTCGGGTAGTGAGTTGTTATAATTTACCCAAATTGATTACTAGTGGTTAATGGTGATTGATACTGATTACTAGTGATTACTAGTGATTAAAGATGATTAATGGTGATTAATAATGATCATTTACCCAGATATTTTTTAAGATTATATCATCTGTTGTTTTGTGACGTCCCCATGTCTATTTGGGCTGTTGTATTCCCATGTTGTTCTAATAGACCCTTCCATTGCATACATTCGGATGAGCATCTCCTGTAGAACTGCGCGGAGCACGCTCCGTGGAGAATTTGCGAACTGATAGAACCATTGGATTCAGCTAGTATAATCCAACATGACTTAGACAATGAGACCCATGCTAGTGCTTATATGAATTTTGTGTACTATTGTAAGGCTCGCCATTTGTGGCGTTTGAATCAAACCATCCAGAAGTTGGAATTGTTGGTATAGCAAGACCTATTCAGGATTGGGCCCGCCAGTCATGCGTTCAGTTTCACCCACCCATCCAAATGGAGTGATACATCCACCATGGACCCAATAGTCAGCCTATTTTATCTTGCTTACTTATTTAGGGGGCCAATCATTTGCAGGGATCCTATTTTCGCAGCTAGAAACCTTCATCAGTTCGGGGGATTTCCCAGTTGCCATGTTTGATGACACCAAAGGGTATATACATTAAAAATATTAAAACCCCCTCCATGATCCCATGTTTATCCCAACAACAAAAACATCTAAAACCATATCGGGTTGGTGGTTTGGAACATGATTTTTATTTGTCCATTCATTCAGTTGGGAATTTCATAATCCCATCTGACGAACTCATATTTTTCAGAGGGGTAGGTATACCACCAACCAGATATTAAATCTTGGAACTAAATTTGGTGATATTAATGGAGGTACTGTACCATATTTCTGGCCATATTTTCTGGGGATATTCCCTGAAACTAAGGCCACAATCAGATATGAAATCACCATTTTATCCCATTTTTTGAGGCTGGAAATTCCTCCATTCCGTTGATATTTCCCTGAATCCTCCTCATGGAAAATTCTCAGGAGACCTGGACGAAGCTTAGCTCCAAAAACTTTTCCTCGGTGCCTTGATACCAACAGATACCAGGGAACTATCCCTACAGAGATTTACCAGAAAAAGATACATGAAGTGTGTATATAAATATATGTGTATTTATATATATATATGGATATGTACATATATGGATCAACTATAACCACCTCACTGTTCTCCCTCACTGGAATGATAGTAAATAAGGATCCCCGAATGGCCTTAGTTTCAGGAAATATTACAATTTACCCAGAGATTAAGAATATATATATATATAGTCATCCTGAAGTAGGTAGAATATGTACATTTCAAAAAAAATAAAACATCACAAAATAACACATGGGAATATGATGGAATATGTTGACAGTCCCATATTCTATTTACTTCAGGATTATTATACAATATGTACCCTCTGGTAATTTAACATAGCTATGGAAAATCACAATCTTTAATAGGTAAATCAACTATAAATGGTCCATTTTCCATAGCCATGTAACAAATTACCAGAGGGTATATATATATACACACATGTGACCGCATATGGATATCATCCATGATCTACGAAGCCTGGACCGCAGGACCCTGGACCCTGCACCAACTGGCCACAGTAACTAAATTTCCTCTCGGGATTTATCCTCAGGGTCCCAAGGTTAGGGAATTAGTGCATTTACCCTTTGGTAAACGTTTACATAACTATGGAAAATCACCTTGCTATTAATGGGTAAATCAACTATTTTTATGGCCATTTTCTATATAGCTTTTTGTATGTTTACCAGAGGGTACACGTACATATATCTGGGCAAATTATAACGACCTCACTGCGACCGAGCCCTGGAATCATGGTTAATACTGCAAGGGGAATCATTCCAAGATGGCCGCAAGTTTCAGGTTAGTGAATTATTATAATTTACCCAGATATATGTATATATGTATATATGTATACCTTACTTATTTAGACTGGTTAAGCCTTATCTATATATATATACCCCGACTCTAGTATGGAGAAAATTGAATACAACTATAAATATTCACAACTTATTACAACTGATAATAGATGTGCGCTAAGTTATATATATATATATGTATATACATACATCCAACTTCAACTATATCAACGTAGTTATAGTTGATTTGCACGATGATTTCCAACGAATTATATAATATTCACTGAGCATGTAGTTGATTACTATTACAACATACATATACATGTATATATATATAGATTTATGATTTATGTATCACATCATTCATATAGAGTCTAAATCATGTTATTTCATGACCATGATGTATTGCAGATTTTTCAAATATATGGCTATGATTATCTAATATGACTATGATAATCAACTTCATCACATTTTCTTTTTAAATATGATACTGGTCATATATCCATTTGTAACCATATATATATATATCCACATATATCCGTTCATTAAAATCCACTAATCATATTCCTTTTTCCAGATCCATGAAGATTGGTGTTCCCATTTGTCATAGAATTCGATGATGGGAACATTTACAGGAAACCCTCAAAATTTGATATATTTGATGGTAAAAACCATGGTTTCCTGTAGATACCCTTATATTTGATGGTAAAAACCATGGTTTCCGGTTAAGATTTTCCCAACAAAACCAATCCATTGAGTTTGTATATCCAGATTTCTACATGGATCTTCCTCCGCGGAGCAAGGTGATGCCTACACCACCGGAGAGCGAGGAAGAGGCAGTGAGCAATCGACCCTCGACGTTACCATCGACGTTTCCGCGAGGAAGTGGGCGGCCAGTTGTGATTGACCTTGGGGGATTGTGCAATACAAAGTAGATAATATAATATTTGATCAGTACTCTATATATGTATATAGATTTGAACATAAAAAATGGATGATGGAGGATGCTTTTACATATATATATATATACATACATATATATATATATACATACATATATATTATACATACTTATATATGTATTTGAAGTATTTGTATGTTATATGCAATGTATATCTTATATATATAATTATATATATATATATTTATTGTCGATCATGCAATGATAGATGGAATTGGAAAATGGAGGACCGATAGAATGGTTTAAAATGGGGGATTGGTGGGGTTCGGGGGCTTGGGCATGCCAGAAAAAAAAACATCGATTGTGACTACCCTCTGGTAAACTAACATAACTTTTGGAAAATCACCATTTTTCACGGGGTTTAATTAGATTTTACCATCTGGTAATTTGTTACATAGCTATTGAAACTGGCCATTTAGTTCGTTGAATGACCAATTTACAATGGTGATTTTCCATAGTTTTTTGTATGTTTACCAGGGGGTATCATGAAATGGAATTTGTAAGATGGTTGATCAAGCGGAAGGTCACACGTCATGAACGAACGTTTCCGAATTGCCCGTCAATTTCTGTGGGACTGGCAGCAGCAGGCTTCACAGGCATTGGTCCCAAGAAGCAGGGTCTCGGACGTGGGAATCCGATATCATTGGTAGTTAACTTAGTAACTTAGTAATTATTATTTAAAGGACCATACTATATATCATATATGATCAGGTTTCGGCAGTAGAGTCAAAAATGAAGAGTTTTTGTTTGATGATCCGATGGTGCTTGATGATGATGTTTTTTTTTAATGTTTATGGGTTTAGACTCAGACCAACTGGTCTATTGTAATCGGAATCTTGAACCAATCCAATGTTCAGTTGGTTCCATGTTGGATTGGTTCAGAATCTCAATCAAAACACATCAAACTTTGAGGCTTTGGGGCTATGATAGTTGTGATAGCCCCAATAGCCCAGTGAATAGCTGGGCTAATGACTTGGCATGCACTGGGCCTTGAGGTAGCTACAAGATTCAACTGGATGGCTTGGAATCCGAGATTGCCTATGTCTCCCTGACTCAGGTTGGGGGTGTCATCTCACCATTGAGAAGTTACATCTCCGGGATGTCGTTTTTTCAGCTTAATGAAAATGGGGGGATGAAGATCCACGAACACGCAACATAAAATAAAAATTTTGTGGCTTGCAGTCACCTTTGTCAAGAATTGTCAAAGGCACAGCAATGAGATTCTCCGCTGGATTGTGAAAATGCGTCGACCTATTACCTTCGACAATATCACCAGGTGTTTATTTCTTTCAATGCAAATTCCTCGTGGGCCACATCAAAATATAGTTGATCAAATTTAATATTCAAAATGCTGCTCGAGTAATCGCAGATGACCAGCATTTCGGGCTACTCCCCACATTTGTCATTGATTTAAGTCATGAAAGTCATACATATACTGTAAAATGGGTGTTTTATGGTGTTTTTCGTAGTGAAAAATCGTTTTTTTTTGCGGCCGTTGAAAGCTGAAACAGCCGAGACCTTTCCAGGTGATCGCACCCTTCTGCCTCTTCACCGTCGTCGTCTCGCTGGGCCGACTCTCGGCGGAGTTGGCTGGCGGCGTATGGCGCCGCGGAGTCTCGCGGCGACCGTTACGGAAAGGGTTTTTGTTATGACAAAAACCAGGGGTCAACATGGTTTAACCATGGTTTAACCATGGTTTAACCATCCTGCAATGTGTTTAGCCGCCATCCTGCAATGTGTTTAGCCATGTTTTAGCCATGTGTAGCCATTGTTTCCGGGCTCCGTCAATGTTGATAAGGTTGTTTTATAGTCCTGGCCTGTCCCATCCCGTAGGAAATCTGGACCTCGGCATGGCGGACATGGGGATTGTCGCTGGCCAGCATGAGGAGACGGGTGATTGCGTAGTTAACTGGTAGTTATATAATCCTAGCCTTCTTGAAGTGTTCATATTATGTTTACAGTATAATCATCCCAACTGACGAACTCCATCATTTTTCAGAGGGGTAGGTATACCACCAACCAGTTATGTTTACATACACTTACGGTTTGATATGTTTCTAGATGTTGATGATATATTCAATCCAGAAGAGAGGCAAATTTCGAATGATCCATCCCAGCAACGAAACTTGATCAGACGCCCTGTTGATTGGTGGGCGATTGGACCAGGTGTACGGTGACACCAATGCCATTCCGCTGATGGCCACTGGCTTTACCTGGTTCAGAGGCGATGAATGCCCGGGTGATTCCTGGTGTTGTCCCCTCGGTAGCCCATTGTCGCTGGAGGGTTTGTCTGGACAAAGACATCAATGATTTAAACATGTTTAAACATATTTAAAGATAAATGGATGATGATTTAGGACAAAGCCATCTATTTTCCCATTTATAATTCCCCATCTATATGTTTAAATGGATGATGGAAAGCTCCATCGATTAATGATCATCCCATGAGATGGGAAATCATCCCCCTTTTTTGGCCGCAAGATTCAGGTAGTGAAAGATGATAATTTACCCAGATTAATGGTGATTACTAGTGGTTAATGGTGATTGATAGTGATTACTAGTGATTACTAGTGATTAATGATGATGAATGGTGATTACTAGTGATGAATAAAGTGATTAAAGATGATTAATGGTGATTAATAATGATCATTTACCCAGATATTTTTTATGATCCATGATTTGGGTGATTTGAAACATCAACTTTCTGGATGTTCGCTGATGTGAACCCATGTGACGCCCATCGCTAGTGGTTGAGCGATTGGATGGTTGAGCAATGTAGTGGGGCGAAACTGCCAGTTTTCCAATAGGTAATTCATCCGCAAATGAGTATAAATGAGTGACATTGTGGGGTACCCGGTCATATGTTGATTTATGTTTATTTGTCATCATATTTCCGTTGATGCATCTAACAATTTACATCTATTTACTAATTGTTTGATATTGGGTATTTGTCAAGGTATTTGCCAAGCCCCAGCCGGATGCTTCCTCCATCTACCGGGACCGCCCTGTGTCTCTTTGAGTTGCTCGACGCCAGGGATACCTCCTGGTCGAAATATGCGTATCGCAATGTTTCTACTCTTGGCTTGCTGGTTCGGTCCCTTGGCGAGCAGATGGGCGTGGAAAACCCTGCCCTCTTTACCCTCTGGTGAACTAACATAGCAATGGAAAATGGCCCATTTATAGTGGATTTTCCCATTAAAAATGGTGATTTTCCATTGCTATGTTAGTTCACCAGAGGGTATATCATAATCCATGAAGTGGGAATAACGTTCGTAACCAACCAGTATCATGGAATGAAAAAAGCGCTTGAACACTGCTGAAATGTTTCGACGACTCTCGGAGAAGACCAACGAAAGAAGATGTTTGAAGATCCTCCAGCACTTTGACTTGCGATGTTTGAAGAGCCTCTGGAAATTTCTCAGATAGCTATGGAATTGTTCATTTAATAGATCATATAGACGATTTGCCTATTAAACATGGTGATTGTCCACTTCGCACACCTTAAACAAATTACCAGAGGGTAGTGGTTCATCCCAATTGGAATGGGTGATGACTATGGTGCAGACGTTCCGTTCACATGGTGATTTACAACAGAACTTAAGTTTCAAATATGGTATTGTTTTTGTTGTCCTGGAGTAGAACATGGACATGTCAAAAAATCATCACTATTTTCTTTAAATATGGTTGGTGGTTTCAAACATGTGGATTATTTTCCATTTCATATATGGGATGTCATCCTTCCCATTGACGAACTCATATTTTTCAGAGGGGTAGGTCAACCACCAACCAGTTTTTCATGGGGATATAATCTATCCAGATGGGATATTCCTGATGATATCCTAACATATCCTAACTTTTGGGGGTTATTACCATAGTTAGAGACGACTTTAGGACGGCGTTTTCGGACGCCGTCCTGGGATGGATCTGTCAATGGTGAGGTAAACATAGGCAACAAATAAGAAAAATAGTGGTAGAATGCGTAATTGTATGATGTTTATTAAAATATGGTGGGTAAATGATGTTTTTTTGGTATATGAATCAATATGAATTATAACGATCTGTATATCATATCTGGATAAATGATAGCAATCTCACGTCGCGACGGCACTGATAGCGAGTGTAAAGAGTAACTATCCTGAAATGGCCAGCCGCGGATTCAGATTTGTGAATTATTGTACTTGATCCAGATCCATCTTACAATATACCTCTGAAATATTATAAGATATGTTCCTGAACATCTTCGCAATATATTCCAAAGTCACTCAGACAGCCATATTATTGTACGGCAACGACATTTATATAAATATGTGGAGGGCGGGCCAAACCGTATATTTAAATGTAGTTACTGTATACATATATATATAAATATAGAGAGAGAGAGAAACTGAACTCGTAAACAGCTGAGTCTTTCACAAGACACCTTCACCAAGAGTTGAAACCTCCGCACCAAGGCTACACTATGGTGGCGCACCTGCTTCGAGACATGGCGAAATGGGGGTACCCCCACATCATCCATTTGTTTTTCCTGTGGGATTTTCGATGACTCTTCCATTATAAATAGTTAACTATAACCATCCAGCTATTGGGGTACTCCCATTTTAGGAACGCCCCCCATGTTTGTAGCACCGCTGCTTGAAAGATCCTTGGTTAGATAGTGAGGTGTGAATATATAGAGCCAGTGAATGTTATGTAGCTGGTTTTCAGAGAAAATCCCAATGAGCTAAGCATCATCAAATGAAAGTTTAGATTCCAGACTTCTGAATTAAGCACAAGTGGCATAGACAACCTTCACCGACTCAAGCACTCAGCAAGTTGAGAGCTTTTGGGGGTCACTAAGCCTGGTGTTCCGATTCGGATACACAGTTTTTGAGGTCACGGTTATCATTTGTGGGGGAATACACAGCTATGGATTTACATAGCCGCTATGTTTGGATTACCATGGCATGGCATGGACAACCATAACCCATATATATTGCCATATGCCATCTGTTGATTATTGCACCTCTGGGGTCTCGCCATGTTCACTTAAAGATCAAAGGTGACCATGTCTCCAGTAGCGCTGACCACGAGAAGTCACCAGCCTAGTTGAGCATCTTGTTATCATGGTGATTAATGGTGATTAAGGGTTAATAATGGTTAATAAACCCTATTAATGGTGATTAATGGTGATTAATGGTGATAAATGGACAATAATGGTCAGTCGGTTGCATCCATGGCGGATCTGTCTTTGTTCATAAATTATTCTTTCTTGAGGATCCTTTTTTGTTGCAGGACATTTTTAGCAGAATCTGAGGATACAATTGGCACTTCGTAGAAGAAGTCTGGCTGAACCACATGGTCTTCGTCACGATGATGTCATTAGCAGCGCGGCTTCGGAAGCTGACGTCCAAGGACGTCCATCGGAGTCCGGGAGCAGGGCATCCTGTTTTGTTCTCCGGGATGTGGGTTTTTCGTTTAGAAAATTTTGGGCATTCCCTGAGGTTTTTTGATCCAACATGATGAGCAAGTGGCATGTTTTTGTGGCTACATCATTGTCAAACAAAGCCATATATATTGATCATGAGGCAGTTTCCGGGACCATAGAGTGGCCAAATCCAATGGAAGATGTAAAATCCAATGGTAAAATCAGCAAGTGTATCAAGGGACATATTATGGTTGAATGTGGTTTATTTCGAATTAGCGATTATTTTTTATGGTCCAAAAAAGGCATTTGTTCGATTTGAGACATGGCGATGTGGTGCCTCCACCATGTTTTTTTTTACCAGTAGGAATGACCATGTCTCCTTACATAGCCCTTGCATAGGCACATATGCCTTTGAACTTATAGATGGTAGGTACCTCTAATTTAGGTACTACCAATTGCCTGTCCTATAGAACTTAGGTACTTCTAATTTTGATAGAACTCTTAGATGGTAGGCAATTGATAGAACTCTTAGATGGTAGGCAATCAAAAGAAATCCACCAGACAATTCTTTCAAAGTACGTATCTAGACGGGAAAAAATTAGGTGCAGTAAGAAAAACCAGAGGCAGCGAGAGTTTATTCCTCCGGTTTTTTTTTAATGCTTGTTGGATCGAAACCGTTTCGGAACAGGGACAGTTTTCCGTAAAGTTGAGCAAGGATCATCCACCAAGCATTTTGGCATCGGCATTGAGGAACCTGTGAGATACTGTAGTTGAACCCCAAAGCATCTACACTCGAAATATCTCAAAATAGTTATGAATGGGATAAATAGATGTGTAGATAGATATGTAGATAGATTTTAAACAACACCTGGGTGCCGGAGCAGATTTTGTTTACCTTATCTCATTTTGATTGATCACAGTCAATTGCATTACATATACTTGCCGTATGCAGATCGACAGATAGATAGAAAGGTAGTTACTCGTAATAGATAGCTGGAATTTTAACCCTTAATACCCATGAATTGTTCTACACCAGTATTTTGGTTCAGTTTTGAGAGATTGGATGCCCGTGTTGGTCTGCCGAGGCGTTGCGTATTTCACGTTGTTGGGTGGTGGTGAACATGTGCCATGGCTCTGGTGGCAGCGACACTGGCCTCCCGTGAAGATCTCTTTGTTTTGTGATATGCTTTTTGTTTGAATGATCATACTCTGCTATTAGTGGGGTTATAGCTTTTAACCCATGTATAAATATGTATACATGATATAAATGTGATAATCCACGAGCAGGGGACTTACTTACCAGAAATATTTTCATGACTATTCCAACCAACCATAGTGGGGATAGCATGGGATGTATAATCAACTTTATGATACTTGGGTGTGCACATGTTGTATACCACCAAAGTGCCATGTTTTTCTCGGGAAAGTTATGATTCATATGATGGGATTGCGCAGGATTTTCATGGATGTTCTGGTACCTTATCTTCAAACAAATCCAACCCAGAAAAAGCATCGCCTCGGCACATTTCAAATGGAACATGGCAATAATTCCAGTATTCATAAACTATTCATTAACTGCAGCGGAACCATCCATAGTTCATAGGCATCCTCCCCCGCAGCTGTGTGGCTCGCATGAGGAGAGCCTGGAACTGAGGCTGCTTCACACCATTTTCTTTCTGTCTTTGTTACTTGGCTGGGGGACAATGGTCATGGGTTCCTTCGATCTGTGAAGTGGTTATAAGTGGTTCAGAATATCTTCATTTAATTTATTGCTATACCATACCTAGTATTGCCAAATATTTTTACATACTATATATTATATTACATACTAAGACTATGTTTATACATAGTTTGCAATATATCTATCCCCCAGGCTCCAGTTTCCCATCACCTAGGCAACTCCAAACTCCTTTGTTCAAACCCTTCTGGTTGCCTACCTAAGAGCTTGGAAGGTAGGATAAGTTCACCTTCCTTTCACTTAGCCTATGAGTTGATTTGTTGTGGGATGGATTCCAGGTGGAAAAGACAATGTTGGTTTTACGGGGATGGGTCACAACCTTGTACTCTTTGTAGCTCCCAACGTTAAATACCTGTGATTTATGGATGTTCATCCCCCCCAATATATATATATATATGTATGTAGTATGTATATATATATAGTATGTAATAGGCTAATAGGTAACTTCATCCATCACCATATTGTCCATGGTTTGTCGTCTTCGGACATGTGGACTCCTTTTACTCTTTTCAAAGACACTCTATGAATCCAGCCGTTTTCGCAGCAGTTGTTTGGGGATCACTGTGTACATGTTGGACTGGATACATCTGAATACATCTGGATACAGCTAATACTTCGCAGCCATCACTTCAATGTGACGCGTTTGAAGCTCGGGATGAGTTTATAACTTCAATATCTTGAACTGCTGACTGGATGGTTGCTTCAAAAATATTGTGAACCCAATTGTTTCACGACTAAATGATGCCAACATATTGTTGACCAAAGCAGCCCGCATGTAACAAAAAACTATGTATAATTATACTATAATATATATATATATATACATGTGTATACCTACGCATACATCTTCCCTATATCTATACATGTTCGTTCTATATCTATGTCAGTTTTTTGCAGACTACATGCAGAATCAATTCTATATATTCGAGAAAAGCGTTGGCGCTACTTGCTCTGTCTATATCATCTGTGTCTATCTACGAATCTACATGTCAATATCATTCAATCAATACCCATATCCACATCCACATTCATCATCATTCATCTACATCTAAATCGTTAGATTGGTTTTCTATATCTAAATTATCTAGATCATATAGGGGTTTTCTGTAAATGAATCTTTAACATTGGTTGGTTTCCCCATTGTCATCCCATACGATGGAATCATCTAATCCCAGGAAATCCTATCTATAGAATCCCATGATGCTCTCATCTAAAAAAATATCATTGGTTTCCTCATTGTACCCATAATATTCCAGACAATTATCCCACTATAATCATTATCCCAGAATATTAGCAATGATCTTGCCATCAAAATCCCATCAAAATCCCCACACAAATCCATCAAAATTCCATCAAAATTCCATCATAATCCCCAGAATCTCTCCAGTTTTTGTGGGACGAACCAACATCACCCCAGGACGCTGATCAACGGCTCTGGGGAATATGGTCCGTCACCGGGGTCGCAGGTGCTGCTGGTGAGTGGCTTGCCGAAAAAGTGATTTGGACGTCAAAGAAATTGAAAGATGGGGATTTGAGGAAGAAAAAAATTGGATTTCAGAGATCATTGAGATTTAACCAAGCAAAATGTGGGTTTATCACATTTTATAACCAAGGAAAATGAAGATTTGACCAGCAATTCCATGTTTTTTTGTTCACCCTGAGAACTATGATGGAACCCAGTATAAATGAAGGAAATTATTGACCATAACTAAAGTACAACTGGGATTGTGGAGGATTTAGCCTTGGACAACAGGATACGACTGGACATATCATGGGATAGAACGGAAGATAGGTAGATTGGATTGAATTGGATTCGGTTGCCTTGGGTGGATAGATGGACAGGATAGACGGAATGACGGATAGACGGAATGACGGATAGACCCGGATAGACCTATAGGCGGATAGACGGGTAGACAGATAGATTCATGGATACATAGCATGCAAACATGTGTTTTAGCCCAAAGATGTGTTTGACATAGTTTGACCAAAAGTGTTTTGTTTGCTCCCAAGACAGGGTCATAAAGACAAGGGATTTGTTTTGTTGTCTAAGCCACTGGAAAAAGGGAGGTCCATTGGTTGCAGCGCTGAGGCCTTGTAGGTTTGTGCATCAACTATAGCCAGGCATGGGTTTGGAATGGAGGAAGGACCGGTGTTGTACTGAGTGTCCTCATGGGGGACCCCAAGTTCTCCAAGTTATTGGATGTTATTGGTTACTATCAATGGGAAGAGAAACCATTGTTTGATACTACTTGGTACCCCCTTATTCTTAGGAACCCATGAGGTGAGATGGGTTCTTGGTAGTGATAGTGGTTAGATGGTAACACTCGCCACAACTGTGGTGGTTTCTGTCAAAATCGGTAAGACAAGCATTGGTGATGTTCCTTTAACAAGCATGATAATCAGATGGTGATGATATGTGATGATGTTGTTGTTGGTGATGATGATGATGGTATTGAAAAGCAGCTAGGTAGATTCATAGATTCGTTTAAACGGTGTATTCATGTGAGTTGAAATACGTATCAGTTTTCCATTGTCAGGTACTTTCCCAGATGGTTTCCAAGAAAGCAAATGCGGAGTACAAATTGGTTTCTTGGGCTGCAGGTGGTGCCATGTGACCGTAGAGCTCACTGAGTGGCCATCATGAAAAATTCATTGGATGTTGAGGGCACTTGGGAAGGGCCTGTCATCCTATTCCATCCAGTATGTGGTACACATGATTATGCATATATACATAGATATATATATATATATACATAGATATACATAGTATATTTATACTGATATGTATACATAAAGGATACATGCCTTGCATCCCCAGTTGTGGGAACCGATGCTGGCCTGGGGACCTGGGGGCCTGGGGCCCCCAATGTTTTCAGGTTCAGGCAGAAGTTGTGCAGGTAAAGATGGAGAAACGTGCAATGGATGCGGAACAGGAGACATGCACAATGTGGAGCCCGACGGCCGACCATATGACCAAGTGCTCATATTCTGACGTTTTTCATCGGTTTTTTACTGTTGGGAATCCGATTCAGTTGCTTCATGTTATTTTTTTTCTCAGGAACTATTATATCTATTATGCCACAAGCTAGTTGATTTGAGGAAACGGCAGCTGAAACGCAACGCTGAAACGGCATTCCAGATTCGCTGTGTTCTTTGGGATGGATTCTATTCGATCTATGGGCGTTCATTGAAGGGGGGTATCTTGTATCTTCCCATTTAGCACTATTTACTATCCTGGTAATCTTCATAATACTATCCACATATATCATATAGATCCATCGGATATACTTTACTGGTTCATGATATTAGAGGATATCTGGTTGGTGGTTGGGAACATGAATGGATTATGACTTTCCAGAAACAGTTGGGAATGGAATGGAAAAATCATCCCAACTGTTACTCACTCCATCATTTTTCAGAGGGGTAGGGCGAAAAACCACCAAGCAGATACACATATTCATTTATACACATTATGTATCTATAATGTTCATTTAATGGTTAATGGGTATTATCTTCCCATTTACCATATTATTGATAAACCATATGATTCAAGATCATTAACCATATATATTTCCATATATTTCCATATATTTACCATACATTAACCACCATTTTTTGATGGGGGGATCTTGATCCTTTGGAGATTCCCGGGAAATTCGGAGGAGGCACGCGCTGGCGAAGCCAAGGAGGTGCGTTTTGGAGGACCATGGATTCCATGGATCATTGATGTACATTAACATTACCCTCTGGTAAACTAACGTAACTATGGAAAATCACCATTTTTAATGGGAAAACTCACTATAAATGACCATTTTCAATAGCTATGTTAAATTACCAGAGGGTAATATTAATACATACAAAAGTGATACATTAATATACATTGATATACATCAATATTAATTCATATACATTGACTTAGATTTACATTGATATATATATATATATAATTATATATATACATATATATACATATATATATATATATTAATGTAGTTGGATAATGATGAATGATGAAATAATAGTGATATGACTGGGGTTTAACGAGATATACAAAGCAGTTTTTTTGAGTTTTGGCAAGACAAAGGGAGTCAACCATCAAAACTGTGGATTGTCTATAGAAACATGGCGATGCTACTATCAGCAAATCAGATTTCAGTATCAAGAGCTGGGATGTAAGTATGAACCTTTTGAATCTGACGATCAACTATTTCGATTTGACTATCCAAAGTTTGGCTCTAGGATAGCACCCCCTCAGCAGCGCAGTCTGACAATTTACCATCTGATATTTGATCATGTCCAGCATTAATACTCCCATTATGACCCCATTGTCATCCCCATAAAATCCCATCATAACCCCATATACTCTGATGAAATAATATATATATGTGTGTGTATGATAATCCCATATAATGTCCATAATGATACTATATGATAATCCCCATATTTATATTTATATACATATATGTGTATATATATATTCCCATCATATACCATATATATAGATAATCCATCTATGTCCATGATAATCCCATCGCAACCCCTTGAAACCATCCCCGTTGAGATCCTTTCGAAATGTTCCAAGGCCTTGGCCCAAGCGGAGTTGGCGGATGATCGGCGCATGGCTGCAGAGGTGCTGGAGACGACCGCTGCTGCTGTGTTATGTTGGATATATATATATAATGTATACATCATGTGTACATATATATATATGTATGCATGTATACATACACGTATAGATGTGAGGTTGTATTTATATATGTGCAATAAGCTGATGTGTGCATAATGGTTCATATGTTACAATACTTAAAGTGATATATAGTGATATGGTAAAATATGTGTGTAGATATATTAAGATATGTGTCTTCAAATGATACATGAATATATATATATGTCTATATTGTTCAATTATGTGATCATCTTTTTTTCCTCATGTTACATAGTTACAATATCACATGTTTTAAGATCGTGTATTATGCCATTATATACACAGCAATACACAGCATACATTTATAGTCATCCTGAAGTAGATAGAATATGGAATGTTCAACGATATTCTATTTGTTTAGTGATTTGTTTGTTGAACATTCTACCTTCTGGTAAATAAACATAGACCCTGAAAATCACCAATTTTTAATGGAAACTAGTCTTCCACCCCCGATGACTGCCAGGGTCTATGTTAATTTACCAGAGGGTATATTCTATCTGCTCTTAATATGGTGAGATCCCATGAAAAATCACCAGAAAAAAACACCACTTAAACCGACAACAAAAAAAAAGGCAAATCTACTCCAGGATGACAAAAAAAAAACAGGGATCCCAGGCCAACTTGGTGATCAGCCCGAGATCCCAGGAGATATGGGGAGGTTCCATAGTCATGGAGGTAGGATGATTTATTTCATGGAAAATGGTTCTTGACACACTGCTATTCTTGGGATATCAAGACATTTTAGATTAGATAATCCATTGAAGACTATTAATAATCATTGCAATAATATCTGGTTATTTAGCGGTTTGCGAGCTGGAAAATCACCATGTTTGATGGGTAAAGCATCATAAATCATCGAACTAAATGGGCCATTTTCCGTAGCTATCTTGAATAAGAAGAGGGTAAGGTGTTTCCCAAAAGAGAGAACTGTGATTCCCTACTGAACTAATTCTGGAGTGTTGCTCATCTACCTGTTTGGGGGCCGCCGTCCATATGTTAAACATAGAGGCTGTCTAGGGCCTCTGTCATCAAACCTGTACGATTGTTTTCTAAATGTAGGTACATACATACATGCATGCATGCATGCATACATACATATATATCTACAGATATAGAGATAGAAATATATATTATATATATACAATTATATGGATATACAATTATATAGATACAATTATATATGTATGAAAACACATAACATAATATATATATATATTATCATTATGTGTTATATATATACATATGATTCATGTTATTTTTGATATGTATGTTTGGGGGAATCATCCAAATTCATGCGCCTACTTCGAACTTAGAGATTTTCGAATTTGAATAGATGGATGTACATAAATTGCAAAGAAAAATAGTAAACCCACAACCGCATCATAAATGGTTTCCATTCATTCTTCATCATTGTCATTGACAACCAAGAGCCCTTCCGTTTGTTTACCATCCCTGCGAATTCGGCATGCGTCTTCGAATGGGATATCCCAAAATCCATGGGCTAATCATCGTTTTCCTCATTAAAATCATCATTTTCGGGGTAAATCCGCAATTTTCAGGTACCAAAGCGTTAAAGCCATCGAACAATCGCTGTTTGACAGGCCAATTCTCGAATGGTCGAGAAGATGCATGACGCCATGCAGAATCTGCTGCTGATGCTGTGCGATGCCGTTGTGGAGTTGGATAACGAAGCTTGGCGAACGCACCACTGACCTTGATGAGTTCTGCACAGGGTCATACAACTTGCGGTTGAATCCCAAACCCCAAACAACTTATTGGTTGCATTTGGTTGGGTTGGTTTGACCTATGATTGTTTTCTGTATCTCAGTCCTTACCCCTTGGTACATAAAGTTGATCTTGAGATTTCTTGAAGTTGAAACTGCATAATTTATACAATCCCAAATGGTTCCATGCCGTATTTTTTCATGTCGAAAAAACACCCTAAAAAAAATGGTGGAATCACGACACAGCAATATATCCATAGATAGATAGATAGATAGGTAGATAGATAGATAGATAGGTAGATAGATAGATAGGTAGATAGATAGATAGATAGGATAGATAGGATAGATAGATTGATTGATTGATTTATGATGATTTATGATGATTTATGATGATTTATGATCTTTTGTGTTGGGGAAAACCCTGAAGTTGAGGCTCCAAACAGAAATCTGTGACTATTAGGCTCTTTATCTTCATGTTCATGTAGCGGTCGGTGTTGGTCGAATCAGTGGCCATTTAGATGCAGCCGTTAACGTTCAAAAAGGGGATCAAGGAACCACTATAGGCTATAGCTATTTGGAGGTTTCCATAAATGGGGGTACCCTTAGTTATCCATTTTAGATTGGGATTTTCCATGACAAAAACCATCCAGCTATTGGGGTACCCCCATGACTATGGAAACCACCATGCCATGGGGGACATGTTGAAACCGCCGAGGAACTGAGAATTTTGGATCAAGGGAAGCTGGGACTGGTACTCTATCAACACCAAAAGGACCTGGCAGAGTGGTTTTTTTCTGCTTTCCAAACAGACTTTCCAGCGAGCTGCAGAAATGGAGCCAAACGAGTTGAAGTTTTAATGGGAGAAATGGGGAAAATGAGCGACCGATTCTTGGGCAACGTTCAGTTGCCAACTCCCCGCGCATGACTGTTCATTTCCTCATTGTTATCAGTTACCTCATGGATCCGCATGTTCATCCCCACATCCAACGGAGGGACTATGGGAAAACCAAGTTCCTCATTGCAGCCTGGTAGAAAATAAATAAGTTTGTCAAACAGTACTAGTCACTAGTCCTTACATCCACCAGAAATCCGGAAGCCAAAGTCGAGGTTTTCGCATAGAAACACCACCGGAAACATGAGCAGTGTTCAAAACCTCCAGCGGTGATGAATTCGGGGATTTTACCAACCATAGAGGGGATCACCAGAGTTCATAAACGCCGTAGGACCTTGCTGCTCGACCCTTTAGCGAGTTTTTGGTAAGTGAAGACGTCTCTTGACAGCGTGCTGGTGAGGGCTGGTGTTTTTCAAAGGGTAAAGCAAAGGGACAAAGGGGAAGTGGGTGCTGTTTTTTTGCTGGGGGTTCAATCTCTTGGATTTTTGATGATTTGAAACTGTTTCAGAAAAAAAAGATCTTCAGATTGAATCTGAAGAAATTTTATTTGCTTCGGGGTTATTTATAATATTACAGTATATAATTGTATCCCAATTTTTGCGGGTTTTATTTACATAGTTCTACCCATTCATAACTTCAACGGCTTGCCAAAAATAGCCATCACAATTTTGGGCGGGCGCAGGACTGGCAAACTTTCGAAAGAAAGGTCCCTGGAGCCCAGAGTTCTATATGGAGAAGGGTCAAAACCTCTTGTTGCCATATCATTACCATATGACTGGGGGAATAAACATCCAGCTATACATGACTGATCATTACTGTAATTAACCAGCTATCTGCTGGGGTGCCGCAAACGGGTGCCGTTTGGTTTTGACTCGTTCCCTTATGAATCTCTCATGTTTTTGAATTGAACAGATAATATATTGGATAAGTTCACTTACTAGTAATGTCAACCCTGGGTACCATTTATGTACCATATTGTGACTATTTGGAGGGTACCCCCTAATTAATAAACCATGGTTTATTAATCCGGGGTTGACATTACAAAATATCTACCCTAGGCCCTAGGCTAAACGAACCTAGATTTGAAAAAGCCATGGGGAAACCCTAGGAATACACATGGCGGTTTTTCCACATCGAACCGACGCGCCGCTGGCGCAGCAGGTCCAACGCTTCAAAGATATGGTGCCTTGACGTTAGCAGATGAAAGCACCACGTGGCCAAGGGGGAAGCCAAAGACTTAACCTGCATGTATTACATGCATATTACATGTAATATTACATAATATTACATATCATATTACATGACACATGCATATTATTGTTATAGTGGTTTAACTCTATGTCCTACATCTACACAAGAGTGAAATGTTTTTGTACATAGTCCAGCAAATTCCTGGTAACCGCACATGTTGGTGGTGTTCAGGAGCAAACCAGCCCATACCTAGAATTGTTTGATGTTCGACGAACAGGAACATGGATCACAAAATGAGAATGGGCTTCAGAAACCAACTAATCTTTGCTGGGATTTTTTACCAGATATGGGTCTGTCTGAAAATTGGCGACCTCAAGATTTGATGTTTAATCTGAGGATAAGCATAGTTTTCCCTCAAATATTGTGATGTTGTTGATATGTACCCTGTTTTCAGACAACCCGATAGTCTGGCGGCGCCAGTGGCGCAAACATGATTCGGAATGTGGTTTTGGTGAAGTTTGACAATGATTAGGTTTAGATTTAGATGTCGCGCCCAGCCTAATTGTGACTTGCGACGGGTTTTCATATATGAAGATAAATTTAGACACATGGATTTTGACTGCTAAACATCACAAGTTACAAACTGTATTTTTTCTGAGTCCAGATTGTTGCAATGTTGCACCCAGGTTCAGACTTCGAGCAGACAGAGAGTCCCTGTCTCTGTCAGCATCTCAAGTTTCCCACGCCGATCCACGCCGGTTGGTTCGGGTTGGTGGTTTGGACTTGTGGGGATAACCTGGACTTGTGGGGATACCCCATCTAGCCATTGGTTGCACCACTTTGTAGGTAAATTTTGGGGATAGCCCATAGATCCATAGTAACTGTTCCGTATTTGTGGATAAAGTTGCGGGAAAGATTCATTCCGCATGAGCTGATTCAAAAAGCCAGGTGACGATTAATTCAGCTATTGTTCATGCTCACCTTTTATATATCGAAGATGATCATGGACACCAACCATTGAGGAGATGTTCCAACAAGACTCCCTGTGTCATGCAGTTCCAATCTGTTCCAATAACAACAAGTCAGTTTTCTCAGATGAATCCATCATTTCCATGGCGTAAATAAAAACCTCCAAGCCTTCTCAGGTGACAATGATAGGTTCCTACTCCATGAAGATCCGAAGCTGGGGTGGAAGGTGTGCCTGGGGTGTCAGTCATAATCCCGAAGCACCATGGTGTTGTTTTTCTTAGTTGTTGGTGTTGTTAGTGTTGTTGATTTCTTTTGGATCCCAATCTGAAACCATTCAAGAATCACATTACATATTATTACTGGGTTCCATCGGATTCTTAGAGGATTCTGTAATAACATGTAATAACCATCTATTCCATTGGAAGCCATATGATCCATATATAATAAACTATAATAATATCCTGGTAATCTTCATAATACTATCCACATATATCATATAGATCCATCGGATATACTTTACTGGTTCATGATATTAGAGGATATCTGGTTGCTAGTTTGGAACATGAATTTGATGACTTTCCATTCAGTTGGGAATGTCATCATCCCAACTGACTAAATCCATCATTTTTCAGAGGGCTAGGGCTCAACCACCAATCAGAAATGGAGCTACGTAAACGTACCATATTTCTGGCCTCATATTTTCTGGGGATATTCCCTGAAACTAAGGCCATTATCAGATATGAAATCACCATTTTACCCCATTTTTTGAGGCTGGAAAATCCATAATCAGATATACCCTCTGCTAAACATACAAAAAACTATGGAAAATCACCATTTTTCATGGGAAAACTCGCTATAAATGGTGATTTTCCATAGTTATGTTAAATTACCAGAGGGTACTTCGATGGGCCAACTGGAGGATTAGCCATTCCTGGTCGGGCGCTCCGAACAAAATCGGTCTGAACTCTTTGGGATTCGCTGTGTTTTTTGACAAAAAAAAAGAGGGAAATCGAAGTTATAGATGGATAATTACATTGTTATATAACTTAGATATAGATGGAAAATCCAACTAAGTTATGATTTCATAACAAATATCTAAGGACATTAGATGGATTATTACCCATGACGGATCCATGGTGCTGGTATATGCTAACATGACTCGGGTATATTGATTGGATCCATGTTACCATATATAGCAGCACCACGGATCCTATGGGTAAAAAATGTGATATATTTTGAGATCCGACTAAAAGTCAAACACATCCCACTACACTCCATCTGACAATATACCACCTATTTCTATACCATAAAATAGAATGGGGTGAATAATTGAATAGGTTAGGGTTGACTGTTATACACCAGTAATGTCCCATTACACACAATTCTATTTTGTTTAAAAACTCCCAGCTAGCAATCTATTCCATTATATTGGAGATTGCAAATGTATGTAAATATATCATTATATAATGTTTATATAGTATGTTTTTGATATCCCTATATAAATAGTTCCCTCTGTAAATGCCATCTAATAGCAATATCATGCAATAAATAGCATAGCATCACCATAAAAATCCCATTCGCCATTTGGGGATCTATGATGAATCATCCCGAGGTATACCCCATAGCCTCTGGCAAACGTAAAAACAGTTTGCGAACTTGAAAATTGCCATTTAGATCCATTTAGTTCGTTCTTTTACCCACTGAAAATTGTTATGTTCCTTGTTTTTTTGAGAGGGTATCTCCTCTGATATATCTATAAATCTACAGTAATCCACTATAAATATACAGTTTCTATATATCTGATGGTTATCCGAAAATTCCCAAAAATTGGGGCTGGTAAACCAAGGAATGACCGTGTATCTCTCCCAGATCGATCAGCCGGACGGCTCTTGCACCTCGAAAAATGTGGGTGGACCAAATTTGACACAAAAATTGGGGGGAGTTGGCCATGGAATCCGGGATTTCATGGTGATTTCATGGTGATTTCTTGGGATTTCATGGCTTCTTTCATGGCGAATGCAGAGGTTTTTCCAACCAATCCTTAGGGGCTTAGGTAGTCTTCCAAGCGAAGGGTAGCAGGGTCGATTTCTTCCTCTGCAGGATGGTGAAGCTATGTGCTCTCTATGTTTTTTTACACACTGGAAGTGATATACCCTCTGGTAATTTGTTACACAGCTATTGAAAATGGCCATTTGTTTTGGATTTACCCGTACAAACTGGTGATTTCCCATGGTTGTTCATCCCCTTGATAAATCCGTGGTTTTCATGCACAGTATCTATACATAAACTGAAAATTACTGGAGATATTTTACAAACTCGGAGAAATCAACATGTTTGAAACAAGATACTGGAATGCAACCTGTCTGAAACATTCGGATAAAAAATGGGATTGAATCCATGGTTGGGAAAAGACTACATGCATATGGGCCGCGTGAGTTTGTGGGAACATGGAACAGCCCCAATTCCGAAGGATTTGAACATCATGTTTCCCATTCAGATGACAATTTTACAGTGTACCTTATACCTCATGTTTGTTTCAACCAATATTGGTATCCATATTAGTGTAATTTGGAAAGCACTAATAAATTCAGCAACTTGGTGGTGAAGTACCCCAGAATCCTGTCAGTGGGCTGGTTCACCCAACTTATAAGACCCATGACTTTGGTGGTTTGGAACCATGGAATTTTCTGACTTTCCATTCAGTTGGGAATGGAAAAATCATCCCAACTGACGAACTCCATCATTTTTCAGAGGGGTAGGGCTCAACCACCAACCAGTAGAAGTAGGATAAGTAGGGACAATGTCCGGTTATAACTGGAGTCGGCTAAGCCGACTTACAATTCCTATCTAGTTCACCACCAAGCATATGAGGGGGTTTACCAGCGATGGTTTCCGGCTTCGTCTTTCCCAAACCAATAGAAATGTCAGCACATCAACTTATCAAGTTATTATATTGGTCATTATTTATGGGGGCTCCAAAATGCTTCAGTGGGGTAGCCCAATTTTGAAGAACACCCATTTTTTGCATGTCCCTTTTTTTACTTTATGAGAAAAGACCTAAAAGGTTCATGCAGAAACCTCTACATGAGAGGTCCTATGGTTGAAAACGTGTCGCAAACGATGGAAAGCGATATAGCGAACTACCTAAAACGATAGCTTTTGCTCATGACCGCATATATGGTGACCCTTTGCTTGGGTCCCTTCGTGGATATCCACATGATATGAAATACGTTCATGAAAATCATATCAAAGATGTACCCTCTTGGTAAACTAACACAACTATGGAAAATCTCATCATTTTTAATGGGAAAACTCACTATAAATGGCCATTTTCAATAGCTATGTTAGTTTACCAGAGGGTACTACACAAAAATTGAATCCTCACATCATGTTTGATTCATTTGTTCCTCGGTCATTGTGCGTGAGCACTGGATATCACTGGATTCCAGGTACTTACGTCGTGGGCATTTGTGAATCTCAAGTGCCCTGGCGATTTCGTCGATGATGGCAAGCCCGAAATCCATTTTTGACATGGAAATCCATGGAAAACTTATTTTCAACATGGAGGTGAAAACTCCTATGTTATGATATGGACGTTTTCCTAAAATGTTGGTATCCACAAATCTATAAACCATGTTATTTGGGATATCCCCATTTATGGAACCACCCCATATGATACTGTGGTATGTAATTGTCTTCATACAATCTTGAAATTTCTTGGTACATGCATGGTGTAGTATATATATATATACATACATATTCATCGTAGTAGACATATGATACGTAATACCAAAAAAATAAAGGAACAACATTTCTCCGCCATAGTATGCAACTGGTGGATATTTGTTATATTTTGTTATACATATTACATATATATATATAATATGGTACAACGAAGAGGGGTTATCCAAAAAATAGGCCTGACCCAACCGACTGGTTCGGTAAGTCAATGGGTCAGCAGTCATCATGTGTTTTGCCATTTACATTCTGGCTATCAAATCCAACATATCCTGGCTTATCTAAGATTAGCCATGATATATGACTCCCAAAGTGAGATTGTGTATGTAATTTACCCTCTGGTACTGTAAGTAAACATAGACCCTGAAAATCACCAATTTTTAATGGAAACTAATCTTCCAACCCCTATCTGGCAGGGTCTATGTTAATTTACTGGAGGGTAATGCAATGTAGTACGATGTGATGTTCATTTTGTTTAATCTATGGTAGGTCAATGGCTCGAGGCCTATGGGACCATCCTTGGTAGCAGGGCTATTTCCATAAAGGGGGTACCCCTTTATCGTCGCTGCTGGATGGTTTTGGTTAGGGAAAATCCCAATCCAAAATGGATGATAACTAGGGGTACCCCCATTTATGGAAACCAATATATATATATATATGTATAGCATATATATATATATATATAGCATAGATGATATGTATCAAATTCTTCGGCGATCAGCCCTCGATGATGAATCCCTTGGATGTTGAGAGTCAGATGTGGGAGAAAAAACACGAGTTATGTTGATCATTATTCCAGGGAGAAAACATATTAATCCATGTGACTTTCATAAAAATATGGGAAAATCATATATTTATATCATTGTGATATCATGTTTTTTCCATTTATATATCATTTTGATATCATTTTCCTAGGCATACTATGGGTTTTCCAAGGCTTCACCATGGCTGCCATCTGCCGCCTCTTTGTGTTTCGCGGATTTTGCGGTCTCGCCAGGAAGAGAACCGGCCCGTTCTCGGGGAAGGCAACGAAGGCAACGACTCCGAGAACTTGGGCCAGCCGCGATTTCAGGCGCCGAACGACTCGTTTACCGCAAAGAAGTCATTGGACTATTATATACTACTATTATTAGTATATGGTGATATATATATATATGATATGTAACTGTGGACTACAGTATTAATATAGATGCCATTGACTATATGTATATATATCTGGGTAAATTATAACGACCTCACTGTTCTCCCTCACTGGAAATCATAGTTAGTAAGGGGAATCATCCCCAAATGGCCTAAAAAATCAGGTTAGTGAAATATTATAATTTACCCATATATATATATATATGACAATAGTATATTAGTATATGTATATATTAGTAATTGGACTATTATATATTACTATTATTAGTATATAGTGACAAGATATATGTAACTGTGGACTGCAGTATTAATATAGATGCCATTGACTATATGTATATATATATATATATATATGTGACTTTACATCTGTAAACAGATACATAGATATATATAGTAATTACTGTGTATATATATATACATATGCATTACATTGTATATGTTATGTATATATATATATAGATGCTGCCAGATGCTATATTCATGTAAAAAGAATGATGTGTGTAATATTGTGTAGTGAAAGATACTGTTGAATACTAGTACTTTAGTCCTTGGAAATTCTATTTCCATTATACCATCAATTGGTCTGTGTTATTAAATATGGTTGGTTACCCTAGGGTAAGCGTACTACAAGATGTGGGAAACCCATAGGGAACTCGTTGGCAAAATTATCTACATTGTCTTGGTCAACCTTGGGTGGGTCCTTTAGTGGTTTTCTTCATTTGTGGCATACATGGGAATGTATCGAATATTTTACATATATATGTATTATATGTATACATATGTTTGCTTGCCAACTAAAGAAAAACACATGCATTGTATCCAAAATTGACCATGTTGTAGTCACATCGCACACATACGCCACTCACAGCCCCCCCAAAAAAACATGGAACACCGGGAAAATAGTTTGGACATGTTTGGAAGATGATGTTCCGCACTTGGATATGGTCATTTGTTTCCATCAGACAGGCTTACAAGATATCCCACTAAAAGTTGTTGTTTGCAAGAGATCAACAAGCCACCAACATGACATTTCTGGAGGTAGAACATGGTAGAGCATGGTAGAACATGGTAGAATATGGTAGAACATGGTAGAACATGGTAGAACATGGTAGAATCGGGTGAAGTTCAGCCTGAATGAGGCAGCAAGATTCAACCCTCCCAGCGATGGAGATTGCTTGGATCCTCATATTTGCAGGACCTCAATGGTATGTCTAGGTATGTTTAGGTAAATAATTGCCAGAAGAGGTACCCTCTGCTTATTTAACATAGCCATGGAATAGATGGCCTATTTATAGATGGTTTACCGTTCTTAATAGCATGGTGGATCTTTCCATGGCTGGCCCTGTGAATGTCATAACCAGATGGTCTTTGGGCTGGGAGAAAGCCTGGATTCCAATTGGCTTCTCTGGGGGTCTGGATGATCATGGATTACCACTGCCTTCTAAGATAAAATAAGATAATCCATGAAATTATAACATTTATTAATGTTCAGGCATTGCTGCATACCAAATGCCCAAATGCAATCCATATCTCACAGAAAGACCAATTTGGGTATGTGTCATAAATAATTCACACCTCTTCAAATGATATCAACCCAAGTTTAACAAACCCCTAGTTTACTAATTGGGAACCCCCATATAAATAATATTAAATAATAAACTGGTGGTTTATTCATCTGTGGTTAACATTACTCTTCTTTCCCGTGCAGTCTTTCGATGCCGACGTTCCTGACATCGACTACTTTGGGGCCAAGGCGCCGTTTGCCGGTCATGGGGATAGACCCCCAAGTAGCCATCAAATGATAGGGAACATGGTGAGAATCTATTGACTTCGGGGTAGCCTATTTTTTCAGTATGTGAGTCTTCACTATGTATATTTATGTAATTATATAGCATTATGTATATATTGGTATTATATATATATATATGTACATATAACTTAACTATTTCAGTAGCTTGAAAGGCTCACCCCAGGAATCGCAAGTGGGTTATGATCCCACTCAATCCAATAGGCTACGGACTGTAGGGGCAATCTTCGATTCACGCAAATTGTCATCCACATACGATTCGTGGGTAGTTCACCATCAGCTTGAACCGCTTGAATGGTGATGGGGGGCCGGTACTTATAAGTTGGGCTATTGACTATTGATGTGTACTCTCATCTTTCTCAGACGTTAGATGAACCCAGAATCGGGAGCTCCATTTTGAGACAAACCCAACCTGGCAATGGTGATATAGCCTTGATAAAGCCAGTCACCGGAGTGCAAGAAAGGTCAAATTATATAACTATATAACATTATATAACTATATACACTGTATAATTATATAACTTGTTCGGGGGTCAAATTTTAGTTTCTAAGGTCCATCCTATTTGGTCCTATTTGGTATGATAATCCGAAGTGACTAGTATGATTGGGATATATAAGTTGACACCAACCAGTACACAGTATAATTGTTACCCTTTTGTACTCCAACGTAGGAAGGGACAACCATGGAATATCATGGACACTCCCTATGTTTCATAGGAAGATCATGGATAAGTGGGTGATTTCCATTTCTTGCCAAGGAGAATTGATTGCTTGTTGTCAAGCTATGCTACAAGAAACTTTCGGGAATTGCCGATCTTGTTTGAATCAAGTGGGCTTTCAAAATAAGAGGATTTAATACAGATGACCATTTCAGTTTGTAGAGAGAATGTTGTTGCCCCAAAAGGCGTGCAAGTTTTCTCACAGGGCAACCAGGAAAGGTTTTTTTAGCCCCTCGTTTTCCAGCGATTCATGGACACGCTTCAGCGTCATCTCCACAGATTGAGTGCTTATCCAATTGTTTGGGTCAACCTTGAATGGACTAAATGGGGACCTGTTACCCAAACGCTGCACTTTGAGTGGGGATATCTAGCCAGCCATGCCAGTAAAACATAGTAAAACATGGGCCAATATTACCCGATTCTGGATGAACAAGCCAATCATTATCCTGTTCAGTGAATATGTGTCGCATTCTTAACCACCATGCTGTTAGGCATGAATTTGCCAGCCTGCCCGCGACGTGCTGTGAAAAGAAAACGTGTGTAATCGTGCAACACCTTATCCATGAGGGCAACATGTTGGAGGCAAAGGTGGTATGATACTGCAACGTACTGATACATACTGAGTAGGATGGTTCTGAAAGTATCCTCCCATGTTATTTGTTTTAATTTGTTATGTCATTTGTAAGGTTTTGGGTCAAGCCTAGTTCCCCCGCTCCCAATAACCTTAGCGGTACTCGCGCCATCGAGTTCCGCGGGCTACTTTGCTGTAGCCTTGCGCCGCTGCTACCTGGAAGTGCGCTGCTTGGTCCTGTGCAGGCCAAGTATCACCTGGGTTTGAGCAACCCGCGCTTGCCTCTGGCTCGGTTCTATTGGTGCGGCCCCACTGCAGTTTAATCCGCTGGCGTCGCCCAATCATTATTTGGTTTGCAATTCTACTTCTTTGAATTTGTGGCCACCTGCATTTTGTGATTTCGCTGTGGACTGCCATTGATTTTTCTGGTTTTCGTATGCGATTCATTTTTTGCTGCCTATTGGCCCTTATTCATCATCAATTCATCTTTGAGACGCACATTGAGAAGGAAACGAGCCAAAGCACGCCTTGCTTGGCATCTGCACTGTCGTGGAATAGTCAGATTGTCCAAAAGTGCCCTGCTTCGACTCAGATCCATCCTTGCAGCACATCATTCTCGAGACTGATCTTTTCTGAAGCAGATCAAGTTTCATTCAAACATGGAGCCCTGGCAGTGTGGATACTGTCGGAAGATAGCAAAGGCAACTGCTTATCATTGTGCCCACTGCGGGGCCAGTTGGGAGGATGCAAACCCCCATTTTGTGCCACCAGAAAGATCGAAGTCCAAGAAGAAACATCAATCAGACTGGGAACAGAATTGGGACGTAGCCGATTATGGGCGAAGTCCTCGGAGCCAACGTCAGGATGCCAATTGGAATCAGAGGCCCCAGTCGCCCAGACAGCAGCGGCATCGGATTGGGAAATCTGGTCACAAAGGCCAAGCCAAGCAGAAGTCCAATTCCAAGGGCAAAGGAAAGCAAGAGACGCCCACTGCGAACCACGAGGGGTATGCAGCAGTGCAGGGATCCACCAGGACTCTCCCGCCGGAGCCGCCCTGGAACTATACCGCTCCCAATATGCCGTCATTGCCGCCGATGCCGCCGCCAGCGACACCTCATCCAGATTTACAAGCTGCTCAGACTCTTTCGAAGTTGACAGCGGTCATCAAGAAAAGGCCCGACCAGTACGACCCAGAAGTCCATGCGATACTTCAAGGTGCTGCTATGATCGAGGGTCTGAACGCCAAGGACCAGATGTTGAAAGCTGTGGACGACCTTGGTGGAGCCCGAGAAGCCCTAGACGCTGCTCGTCTCGGCCAATACCAGAACCATGTGAGATGGAGGGATTTTCTTGCTTCAGCGGTTACCCGCTGGCAGGAGTACACTGCCGATTTCCAGAAGCAGGAGAAGGAATTCCAAGACGCCATCGAGCAGGCGAAAATGGTCATGGCAAATGCCAGAGAGCGGTTCGAGAGCAGCAAGCAGGCGCTGTCCGAGGACGACCTCCACGCTTTCTGTGGCACAGTCGCACCAGACGATGCTATGACAGACAAAGCGCCCGAGAACATGTCTGGCAAGGCACTCCAGGAGAATTTGGAGCAGATGGCAGCAAATCTGGTCTCACTGAGGACCTCTGCCGAGCAATCAGTTGCGGCAGAAGAGCAAGCAGCCAAGCGACAACGTGTGGCAGAAGGGGATGGCTTTGGCGCCTCTGCTGCAGTGCAGTCGTCAGCTGCCAGGCCACCGGGCAGTGGTGCCCTCGAACCATTTGCCCCACGTTCAGAGAAGGCTCATTTTCAAGAGCCCGGCAAGTAGTGACAAATGTGTACACTTGTCAAGGGCGAGCCCAAGCGCATTTTGCGCTACCATGGATTACTATGAAGTGGACTCATCGAATTTGCTATAAGCACGATTTCCTCAGTGAGTGGCAAGCAGTTGAAGACGCATGTGAACTTGCCATGGATTTTGACTGCTACACCAGTACACACTTTTGTGCATCCCAGCGCTGCAACCGTAACCTCCCTGCCTTGAGGGTTTGTCAGGTGAAGTTCGATGATGCAGTTGAGGTTGCAATTGGTGATGATGATTCTTTTTCATTTTCCATTCAAAAGATGCTGGAGTCCCAGTTTTGTGCTTGGACAAGGAAACCATGGGCCCTACGTGCCCCGAAATCTTCAGTCCAATGCAGGGCTACAGACGCATTCTATGACATTCCCTCCAGACAACAAGGCTCTGATGAGGAACCAGATGGCCATGACCATGCAGAAGGAGGCAGTGATGAAGATGCTGGAGGTGAGGAAGGTGATGACCTGGGTGGAGATGATCCTGACGGCTCCCACCCTGGTGATGGTCCCCCCACAGCAGATGATGACTTCAGTTCTGATGAGGATCCGCAAGCACTCCATGTTTACAGGCTCGGCAGACCTCATCTTTTCGGCCATGTAGACTGGAGCACATACCATACTGTCCTCAGAGATGCATCGCGGTTAGCCAGCATGCCATTGAACGTCCTGACAGGTTTTCATTACATGCGAGTTCGTTTGGATGGCTTGCAAGAAGCTGAAGATGCCATTATTCTCCAGCACATCCACGACCTTGCGGTAGGTTCTACGGAGAAGCTTGTGGTTTTTGATATCATCATGCATAGCCGCCCAATGACAGGACAAGTGCCGCCAGCACCAACAGTGGTTCGGGTAGTCCACAAAGTTTTGCCGCAGGTGGCCCGACGGCATCTCTTGGCCATTGCAGGTGTTGATGAATACTGCGAATGGGTCCAGCAGCAGTGCATTGTTTACTTCAACAACCAGCCCTGGCCCCTTCGAGATACTGCCCTGCGGGACACCTTACATGGCATGTACATCAAGATTCTCCTGCCGCCTCCGCCTACGCCGCATTGGAACACAGCAGCTGCGGTACGTGTAGCTCAAGATGTTGGTTCTCTTTTTGGATTTCCTGAAGCTCATGAACTTGCCTCACAAATCCTGGAGCATGAGTATGAAAGTGATCCACCTCCAGTAGCGGCTCCACGGCAATCACGCCCCTGCGACCAGGAAGATGATATTGATGTGCCCATGACTTTCCCACCGGGAGCACGACTACCCCGACTTCGACCACGTCACGACGGAAACATGCAATGGCTGGATCAGCTTGCTGAAATTTTCCGTGCGGAAGCTGTCAGTGAGGTACATGGTGGGGCGCCCCTTCTCTATGTCCAGACGTGGTACGTGCACCATGTGCATCATGCAAGATGTGAGGCACCACGCCCCATCAGGCTTGACAATGCGATGATTACCTGGTTAGAAGAATTCCGCTTTGCTTGGAGGGATCGGTGGGACCGTAGACTCCCATTTGCAGTACATTTGGTGTTGCCTCGTCCTCCACAACCGCGGTACCAAGGTTACGCATGTCACATTCTTTTTGAACAAGCCCAACCACCACATCGCGTTGCTGGCGTCATCACCAACCTTTTTGAAGGTGAAGGACATGACGCTCTACAGCAGTTTGCGACAACGATGCCTCGGATAGTCCGATCTGCCGATGTCATTGATGAGCTGGGCTTGAACATATTTTGTGACACACGCCGGTGCACCACTACAGTAAATGGCCAACCCTTACACCTCATTATTGCCCAAGACTTGAACTCTGGCTTCAATATGTGCACACGGATCGCACCACCACGAAGTCTGCGACAGCTTCCTGTCCCACCAGGCGATGAAGCGGATGAACATTTTGCCGACCTTGCTCTTCTGCAGATTGTATCCCTACCTCGTCCTGGGTCTCTTCCTGCTGATACTATTGAAGGTGTGCCACATGAACGGAGTTCCTCAGGAAGCCAGAAACCCCGCATGAATGCTGATGCAAGAGCCTTTGTGCCGGGGCAATCACATCAACTTGTCCCCAGTGCCTTTATGCAAAGCTTGCGTTTCGCGTGGATGGCAGCCGCTGCAAGTTGGGGAGATGAGCCCCTCTCAGGTGAAATTCTTGTTTGGTTTGCAGACCACTCGGCGGTAGTGCCACATGGACTCTTTCCAAGACGCTTGCGATTGTGGGCTACTTCAGCCAACTGGGAAGATGATATCAAACAAGTTTGGCAAGATTATGTTCAAGTTGGCGCACCGTTGGAACTCCATCATGTCCAACCACACCCTCCACGCCTTGAGCAAGGCATTTTTGCACACGTCATTGTCATCCAACATGCACGTGAAGATTGGATCACATCATTGGTGACATTGTTTGATTTGGTTGACACTGAAGATGAAGACCGTTTTTTCCGCCGCGCAGTTACCACGACGGAGCAGATCTACCTTGAGCATCTGGCTCTCGCCATGGGCTATGCTGATCAATGTGTATTGCGAGCTTCTCAATTCCTCTGTTTGGCATGGCACCGAAACGCCTTCCTACGATTGGGCCAGCCATTACAAGGTCAAAACGGTTTTGGCATTGTCATCCAAGTCAGAAGAACCCCAGTTTGGCGAGACAATGAGCTTCATTATCATGCAGTCCCGCTTCGTTCAGAGGACGCCGCCTGTGATCTGGAAGTTTCACACCAAACAGCAAACCTCATGATTTTCATTGACACGTTCCTTGAGAAGCTCAAGCCGCTCCCTGGTTTTGATCTCCAGCCGCTGATAGCTACTGTTGAGAGCCCAGAGGTACCTGCTGAGCAAGTTGTCCCACTCTCCATGGAAAAGGTGCGACACTCATTTGACATCTACGACCAGATCTACCTCCTACCCAGCTATGATTTGGCGCAATGGGCTGATGTTACCACGTGGCTTGATAGCTGGTGGGATTGTCAATCACCCATTTCAGATGTTTGGATCTATCATGATGGCTCGCGGCGTGCCGAGGGGGTTGGAGCAGCTGCTGTTGCATTTGTGCGGCAATGTGACAAAGGATGGCTTTTTGGTGGCGCGGTTTCCATTGCCCTTGATGCGGAGGTGACCTCTTATGGTGCTGAATTGAGAGGAGGAATTTTGGCTGTGCAATTTGGGATTGACATCCTTAAGATTGCTACCATTATTCAGCCAGAGGCCCCTTCAGTTTGTCTTCTACATGACAACACAGCGGTTGGTAACCAGATTATCGGTAACTGGAATGCCCATGCAGACTTTTGCACTGCCAGACTTGCTCGGCATCTTCTGGTCTATGCAGAGCATCGTTTTGGTAAGAAGTGGACTTCACATTACACTGCTGCACATCGAGGTGATATTGGCAATGAGATTGCAGATACCCTTGCAGGTGATGCGGCTGAAGGAAGACCACTTTCTGACCTTCAACAATGGCAAGATGTTCTTTTTGACCCTTCCTTTGCCACTCATGCTGCCTGGTTTTGGACTTTCTACAGTGAAGCCATCAAAAGCTGGTGGCGCAATGGTGACATTTGTCTTCCGCTTGAAGCCGATGGTCCACCTGCAGCAGATGTTCTACCAGACCCATCTACTATCACTGAGTGTGCAGAAACAGCGACTTTTGACTGCACCTTCGGCACATGCAATGTGCTGACCTTGCGTTCAGCACACAAAGCTGATGATGGCGACCTTGGCCTGACTGGCCCTACTAGACAGCAAATTGTCTTTCAGCAGTTTCGTGACACCCGGACTTGTATCTTTGCGCTGCAAGAGACTCGTCTCAGGCAGTGCAGCAAGACCCTTCTTGACTACCTAGTCTTCAAGGGTGATGCAACTCCGCAAGGGCACCACGGCGTCCTCATTGCTATCAGCACTGTTATTCCATATGGATACTACACCGATCGAAGTGGACAGCAACATGACCTCTGTTTTACTGCCCAAGATGTTTCCCTTGTTGTGGCCACTGCGCGATATGTCATCCTGCGCTTGAAGACACCATGGCTTCGTTGTGTCCTCATTGCAGGCCATGCTCCACATTCGGGATACGCTCTATCTGAGATCGAAGCTTGGCGGGCAGCCCTCAGTGATGCAATTCCCTTGGTGCTTCGTGACTGGCCGATTGTCTTGATGGTTGATGCGAATGCAAAGGTTGGAGATGATGTATGCCATTGCATTGGCCATGTTGGGGCAGAGACTGGAGGTGACAAAGCGATTCCCTTTACTTCATTTGTGAGAGCGCAAGGGCTATGGCTTCCTTGTTCATTTGACTGCCACACTGGAGAAACTGGTACCTGGCGGCATCATTCAGGAGTATGGACACGGAATGACTATATTGCCCTACCCACTGCATGGCCAGCCACCAGTTGCCAATCATGGCTCCCAGATGACATTGATGTCTCGCTTCATCACGAAGATCATCGAGCTGCTCTGGTTCGCCTGCATATGGACCTCCAGAAGACCACTACTGCACGCCACCACTCCATCCAGAAGCTTCGGGCAGAAACAGCTGATCTTGGACCTCTGCGCAATTATGCTCCGATTGCACCTGGCTTGGACGTCCATTCGCAAGCCCGACAACTACAAGAGCAGATCGTAGCGTGCCTTCCCAGATCCACTTCAAGGGGCCCCACACGGCTGAAGAAGACTATGTCAGATGAAACATGGAGCCTTGTTTTAGCTAAGCGCCAGTGGCGATCGGCTCTTCGAGAAGCCAATGACCTTCAGAGATCAACATGCCTGCAAATCTTGTTCGCCAACTGGCGTATGGCTGTGACTCCAGATCACCAAGAGCTTCAACCAGTTTGGCCCCATGATGGCGACCGTATCCTAGCAGACCAGGACAAGTTCATCGCCAAGGCGCTTCATGAATTTCGTAACTTGGGTAGACTTGTCACGAAGTCAAGCCGAGCCGATGATGTACGATTCTTCCAGGAAGTCCTTGCTGAAGGCGCTCAGTTCCTTCAACCGCATCAATCTCGTGACCTCTGGAAGACAATCAAGAAGGCGCTGCCCAAGTATCGGCAACGGCGCATCGCTGTTGACCCTTTGAAAATTATGGCCCTTGAAGAGGAGTGGAATCCGCACTTCACCTCCCTCGAAGCAGGTTGCATTCTTGACCCCAGTCACCTCCTCGCAGAGGCCAAGTGTACTCATGTGAAAGCACGACAAGACCAGCCGCCCACTATTGCTGACATACCTACCCTCTTTGACCTAGAGCACTCCTTGCGGGCGAACAAACCTGGGCGTGCCACAGGCCATGATCCGGTATCATCGGCGCTGTACCACAACCATGCCGCAGAGCTGGCGGAGCATGCTTTTCCACTGATGATGAAGATGTGGATGTGGGGTGAGGAGCCCCTTCAATACAAAGGAGGTCCTATGGCCCTGATCCCGAAACGTGTTCATCCCACGATGGCACAACATTTTCGAGGCATTTTACTGCTCCCTACGCTGGCCAAGAGTTTTCACTCCTTGCTGCGCAGGCGCATCATTGGGCTCCTTTCACCACAACGACTCCCTGGCCAACTTGGAGGCTTTAGCCAACAGGAAGTTCTCTTTGGGTCACAGGCATTGAGGATTGCGGGTCGAACAGCAGCTGCCAAAAATCTCAGTTTTGGTGTCCTTTTTGTTGATTTGACGACCGCCTTCCATTGCTTGATTCGAGAAATGGTGGTTGGTATTGGCGATCACGACAAGCTGCAGTATGTCATGGAGGCACTTGCGTGGAGCAGCGATGCGCAACAAAGAATCCAGCTCGGACAGGCCTTGCCATGCCTTCTGGAACAACTGGGTGCTCCTGCCTATTTGGTCCGGCTCATGCGGAACATCCATGATTCAACATGGACTACGGTCAATGGCCATGATACCCTGCGTACCCATAGAGGGACAAGACCAGGTTCGCCTTTGGCAGATGCGATTTTTCATTACATCATGTACGACTTCTCTTTAGAGCTGAAGAAGTATCTTGATACCCAAGGCCACACGACTGTCTTTGCGACCCACCTTGACATGGACATTGACATGGTCATCTGGAGTGACGACCTTGCAGTCCCCATCCTTACTGTGAGTGCAGAGGAATTGGTTCCACAGATGCTGCAGCTCTTGGACTTTGTTCAGGTGGAGTTTGCCAAGCGTGGCTTTATCCTCAACTTGGCGAAGGGTAAGACTGGGATAGTGGCAACTTTTGGAGGGCCAGGGTCTGCTGCAATGCGCAAGCGATTTCAGCTGACACCCCAGCCGGGGACTTTGCACGCCTTTTCTGATAGTCAAGAACATTTTGTCCATATGACTCCCTCATACCGGCATTTGGGTACCCTCTTCACTTCGATGCAGAGATCTCGTTCCGCATCGGGACATCAAGGGCAGCGTTTGATCAGATACGCCGCCGGATTTTAGCCAATCGACGTCTCCCTCTGCCATTGCGTTTGCAACTCTTTCGCTCGCTGATCCTCTCCAAGCTTTACTTTGCAGTTGGCTCTTGGCACACCCCTACGGGTCGACAAATCGCCAAATTGCGGAATGCGGTTGCTCGGATGGTGAAGATCGTCTATGGGCCGGCCCTTCCGACCAAATCGACCAGCCAACTATTGACCCATGCAGGTGTCCTTGACCCTAGAGCCAAAATTGCTGTTGAACGTCTAGCCTATGCACAACGTGTTTTTCATCATGGTCCAGCGTTCCTGCAATTGATGGTTCATGCGGAAGCTGAACAGCATGAGCATTCTTGGCTTGTGGGCTTGCAGTATGACATGCAGTGGATGCACGGGGTTGAAGCTGAGCCTGATCCCATGCTATTGGACGAAGACCTCACATTGCTCATTGATTATTGGCAGCGAGATCAGGGCCGCTGGAAGTCCAGAGTCCGGCGAGCAGCCCAGCGACATCTTTATCAGGAAGCCATGATGCATGAAGTCCAGCAATGGCATGCGGATATCTTTAAGATTCTCCGCAACAATGCCTTTACCTTCCAGCCTGACCCTTTGCAGCTGAATTTGCAGGAAAATATTTTTCCCTGTCCAGACTGCAACAAATGGTTTAGCACTCCTCAGGGTGTACATACTCACAGACGGAAGATGCATGGTGTTTACAGCTTGGAGCACCACCTCCTTGATTCAGCAACTTGCCCGGCATGTTTGACTTATTTGTGGAATACCCAGCGTCTTCAGCAACATCTTGCGTATATGCCACGGAGTGGTGCACCGAACCCTTGCTTTGCGTATCTCCAGCAGATGGGCTACTCCGTTTCCTATTGCGTATCTCCAGCAGATGGGCTACTCCGTTTCCTATGCAGTGGAGCACCTGCCACGTGCTATGAAAGGACAGTCGAGGTTGGACGCACTCCCTGCTGCTGGACCCTATGGTTGTGGCCCCCCAGCCAGAGACAAGCACCTGGCTGAGTTGCGAGCCCGCAAGCTTGCCTTAGAGACTGAGTTCTTTGACTACGTGCAACCTCAGGATTCCGAAGGAGCAGGCGAAAGGCTGGGTGACCTTTTGTCGGCCACAACTTGGGCATGGTTTCGCGATTTTGAAGAGGCGCACCACAGGATCGATGCAGTTGAGAAACCGCAAGATCGTTGGTTGGATGTCCTATGTCGGCTCCCTGCTGAATTTGAATCATGGACGGCGCGTGTCTTCATTTTGTGGGGGCGTCACCTGCTTCCGGACATCATCGGCAACCTTTTTGATGGTGCCGCTGAAGCATATCTGGATGCGGAGTATGCGGACTTGGCTGCAGAGTTCGATGAGTTTTGGCTGGAGGGGCGCTTGCAAGCTCTTGATCGACAGCTAGCAGCGGCAATGCAGCCGCCCCCCCCTGCGGAACCGCATCGCCCTGTCCGACCTCCACAGCGAGATGCACGGCCACGATCCGTTCCTCTCCAAGTTGTGCCTCGTCTATTCCATGACCAGGAAAAGTGGCATCAGGATTTGGAGCGTGTCCAATGGCAAGATTTGCCGTCAGACCCATACGTTCCCTATGTGAGAGGGCTTCAACCCCGACCGACCTTCATCATTGTCCACCTCTTTGCAGGACGTCGTCGCAGCACTGACCTGCACGCTTGGTTGGACCAATGGGCTTTGCAGCACAACATCTCGTTCACCATCTTATCACTGGATACGGCGATCTCTCCCGTCCTCGGTAATTTGGAGGCCAAGGGCGAGACTTGGGCGCGTTTGGAAGAGCTCTACATGCAGGGCTATATCGCGGCGACGATCTCGGGGCACCCTTGCGAGACCTTCTCATCAGCAAGGTGGACGGACCCACCACAGGAGCTGCAGCATGTTCGCTGGCCGCGGCCTTTGCGCACTGCGCTCAGGCTCTTCGGCTTGGACCACCGCCGACTCCGTGAGCTCCGCCGAACACGACTTGGCAGTGCATTTTTCCTCCAGACAGTTTGGACGCTGGCGTGCCATGTGGCCTTCGGAGGACTTTACCTTGAGGAGCACCCCGGTATTCCGCTCCAACCACACCATCCTTCTATCTGGAAGAGCGCGATCCTACGGCTTTTTCGACGTCATCCAGACATCAAATTGCACGAGATCGGGCAATGGCACTTTGGGGCTTCGACTGTTAAGCCTACAGGACTCTTGGCGCTGAGGATGCCACATTTTCTGGGCGATCTCTTTGCACATGCAGATCCGCAAGCAGTACGACCTTCTAGCCATGCAATTGGTGTTGATAGTGAGGGGAATTTTCGCACGTCATGTCACAAAGAGTATCCCAGCAGACTCTCTGCTGGGTTTGCCAGTGCGATCGCAAAGCAACTGATGCGCAACCTTCGCGCCCGTTTGCTGCGTACGCCACCTGAACTGCCGTCTCCCCAGTCTGGTTGGGTGCACGAAGTTGCACGTAATTGCCAAGACATCCGCAATGATGCTGTCTGGCTCCCAGATTTCCAAGGGTAGAGATTTTTGGCACCCAATTAGATTTGCATCTTAGGCTGCAAGGTATAGCACCTTTGTCCGCCAGTGAAAGTGAAAAAGTATGTCATTTGTTACATAGCAATGGAAGCCATGGCCCATTGATCAGCATAGTCTCCGGGTGACCCTGGGATTCCACAGCAGGAGTTGCAATCTCCATCCACGAGCAGCGCTCCGATGAGAGGCTGGGCGAGTTGATGTGTTTTTTTGATCGAGGTTTATTAACCATCAACATTCACTGAGGGTTTATTGGCAACCAACCATCATGAAAATAAGGGTTTATGAAAACCATCTATCATTAGATATCATTAGTGACATTAGTGGTTGGTGGTTGTTGCTGGTAGCATTTCAGACTTTGATTCATGGATAATCTTGAGTGTTTCAGAAGTGCCTCGCCAAGCTTTACAGAGCCTAGCTCAGGAACGCTGATCCTCCCAGCAGGGTGGTGGGAATCATCCATTGTTGGTCCGGTCATTTCCCCGGGTTTGTGGTTGCTACCGTTGCTACCTTCCCACGGCTTCCAACAATTACGAATCTGGAAAAGGGTCCATCCACTTCCGAAAAATTGTGTTATTTCATGTTATTTCGTAATATACATTTTTTTTAGCAAATTCCTTATTCTTGTTCTACTACAAGTACAGTCGTATATGACACATATTCACATATTGATTTGATACTCTTGAACGTGTTCTGTTCCTGCCCATATATTAGATTGTGTTATATCAGCTATATCTCACTTATGAACATATTAATCATACTAAAACCATCCTTTCTGCCATGATTTCTGGTGAAGACCCCCATATAAGGCTCGAGTTCCTCGCGGTATGAAGCCATCCAGCCCATGCTGGAGGAGGAACGGATGCAGTCGCAGCTCGGCGAGTCCGGGAGATGTTTAAAAACGTCGTCACTAAAATGTACTAAAACTATCTACTTCAGGTTTATTTTGTTTATATTATGCATATAATATCATATAATTATATAATTGTTATAATAATATATATATATAGATAGATAGATATATGTGTATATAATTACATTCCATGTGCAATAATACATATAGAGAGAGAGGTCGTAGACATGTAGGTTATACTATGGTTATGGGATGCACTTCCCATTTCCATTCCTGGCGCAACGGGTGACCCTTTCATGATTCAGGGACGCTCTTAACATAATATAGAACCCAACAAAAAGAGATGCCAACAAGTGCTTCCAGGATTGTATAAATGATGTGTTCCCCAGAATTTCCAGGTTTCAATTGTTTTTGTTTACTGGTATTGTTTCGGGGGTCGCTATACTTTACTGTAACATAGAAGTGAACAAACCCTATCTTCCAGCATGTTCAATGGTAATAACTGGTTGCATATTTAACTTCTGGGTCAATCTCCGGGTTTTCCTTTGTTTTCCTTTCGCTGGGATGATGAGCCACTAGGATGGGAGCATTTTATTGGTTGAAATCTCCATGATTGTGCCCAATTCTCTGTGAAAAGATACAGGATATAGGCTTCACCCCTAATTTTTTTGTTTGGACAAAGCAGCTATTGGTTTCCTTTAAAACTTCCCCTGTATTCTCGGATTGAAGGTTGGATCCCCAATTGTTGTTGGTGAAATCCCATTCATTTCTTCATCCACTAGCACACTTGTTGAGTTGAACCATTGAATTTTCTGGATCTCAGTTTCATTTCGTGTTCGCGCCATTGTTTCTCCCCTTGCGGGTGCATCCCACTTAGTAAACGGGTTGTACCCCCAGTTATATATGGGATTATATGGATTATCCATATAATTATATATATATAATACATATAAATATGGATTATACACCAGAGATCTGATCCGTGGGGCCCGCACCAAGCACCGAGGCTTTTGCCTTTGCTTTGGTCCTGGCCAGTGCCTTCCGAGCGCTCAGGCTGCTGCGAAACGCATCGTCTGCTGGACGAGGACGGAGAACCAACGACCAACGCAACGGGAGGACCTGGATCATACGAACTGAAATGGGATTTCGATGGAGGAAAAATGTATTGTACCCTCTGGTAAACTAACGGTTTGCTATTGAAAATGGCCATAGAAATAGTTGGTTTACCCATTAATATCAGGGTGATTTTCCATAGTTATGTAAACGTTTACCAGAGGCTACATCATGGTACCTGGAACGTGTCAGTTGCCTGTAAGTTAATGGTCCACAACTTGAGCTAGTGACCATTTCTTGGAGGTTGCCCACCCCACAAGACTCCGTTGTGACACCAAAAATGGTGCACTTTGTGACGCACCAAAAAAGTGGTACACTATGCTTTCCAGGTACGTATGACAATATAGCCATATTATAGCAATATAATATATATATATGGCTACTTAGCTCATATACATACATATACATATATATATATACATATATATACATACATACATACATACATACATACATACATACATACATACATACATACATACATACATACATACATACATACATACATACATACATACATACATACATACATACATACATACATACATACATACATACATACATACATACATACATACATGATATATATATATATATGCATTATATATATATAGTCATCCTAACATATATCGCAAAGATATTTTTTAGAAACCATGTTACAATGGCAAATCATTGGTAACAATTCTTGATACCCCGTTTTTTACGGCTAAATGGTCTATCATCAGCTAACCAGTGGTTAGTGGTGGTTAGTGGGGAGCTAAGGGGAGCCGGTTGGGAGCTACAATCAGAGTTTCCCAGCAAAATGTATGAGAAAAGCTGGGAAACTACATACATTCTTTGGGAAACCGGTTGATAAAAGGCTAGTAATGATTATCCCAAGGATAGTTTCTCATAGCTCTGGGAAGACCGGTTGGGCTTCAGAGCTGGTGAAGGGTGTCTGAACGTCGAATGCCGATGCAAGACTTCAGGATGACTACATCATCTTATGACTACACCCATTTTTGATGCGAAACCCGGTGGCCATAAACCCACAAAACCTATGGACAAATACCCTTGATGATGATTGGTTATGAAATAGGGGATTATACTACCTGGTTTAATTGGGATTATGATCCATGGCAGGGAAACTGATTAACCAACTAGTACTCGTATGATGTGAAAACGTCGTATTTTTAATGCCTCGCGCGTGCCTTTGGCCCCTACGTTTCGACCTAAAAAGAAAAAAACAAGTTGTTCGTGAATCACAGCCATCAATTGGGGTACTTCCGTTTTGAGACAAACCCACATGCTGTTGGTTTATATATATATATTAATATATATATATATAAATGATATCAATGATATCAATGACATATCAATGATATCGATATCCAACTAGTCTCCATGATTCCTATCCCATTCTATCTTCATCACTTGCTTTCCCCATCCCCTTGATTTCACAGTTGGAGGCGGCTTCAGTGGTGGAGAAACTTAAAGGCCTGGAATGTCAAGCAGCGCCTGGATGTTTGGTCTGGCAATGCCCCGGCTGCCACTGGGCCACGTTGCGATGTGGCGTGGGGTGAACTTGGGTTCCCAGATTCTGATGCGACAGCTGTGGCCGACCCAGTAGATGTTCCATCTACCAGGCTTCATACTTGGGGGTGAAAAGGGACTTGCAACGTCCGACTATCAACATCTTCCCGAAAATTTTGAGCAGTGATATCCCCCATGTTCAGACACACCCATTGATGCGTTGACTTCACATTTCGAAGACTTTGGATTTGTTGAAAAAAAGGCGTCCCTTGGAAAAAAACACAACAAGACGGTGCCTAAAACCAGGTTAGTTGCAGGATGCTGCAGGCTGCAGGTGTTCACTGTAGTTTTGCATGGCTAAAATGAACTGGAGAATCTGCAAATAGGCAAGTGATGTACCCACTGAAAGTGTGGGCTTCCCATCAGCAGAGGTTGAATCTCTTCAAGGGTATGAAGTCCACAAGGGGATTCTCAAGTTTTGCATGATCAGTGGCCAATTGACTTCCTGTAGATTGATGGTTACAATGTTTACAGTACAAAGTTTGCCAGAAGTCGAAAGATATGTCACACATCCACAAGTTGCATGGTTTTCAAGGCTTTCAGATTACTGGATCAAGATTTGGAAACGTGTTATATTTGTGTTTTTTTTTTGATACTACTTAAATTGAATAGAACTAAAGTACTAAAGGATTAAATATGTTTAAATCCTGGCTTTGGGGTTGAACGCCCAGAGTAGCTATGAGTCGTTGTTCTTACCACGTGACGCTCCGTGCTAAGGCAAGTTAAAAGGAGTACCAGGGGATCGCGATTTGTTCAATGCTTCTCTGGGTATTTGCGGACGATGTGCCGCATGGGACATGCTCATGTAGGAGATGAGCCGGGCCGCTGCCTCGAAACCGACTCCAAGACTATGATTTTTTTCATCCAAGCTTCGGGGTTGAAGACAGATCCGAAAAAGGCAAAGCTGAAGTTGAATGAAATTTGTTTAGCAAGACATCAATTTTGTATAATTTACTATAATTTACTAATGACTTTAGGGGGGTGATTAAGGTGATTAATAGCTAACAGAAATAGTCATCACCAGAAATTGTGCCGGTGGAAAGCGGATCTTTCTAGGTAGAGCCATGTAGAGCCCATACTACCCAAGAGCCCGCGCGATACTCAAGCTTATTGGTCACATGGTATGTTTTATCCTTTGACCATCTTTGACCTCAATGTTGATTGGTAAGCATAGTTCTCCAAGACTACCCTGACAGGGTTCTTGTAATGTAGTTATACCCATATGCGAACCATGGTGCTGGTATATTTACCTACATGACTGGGTGATTTTCTTCGGGCAGTCATGTAGGTAAATATACCAGCACCATGGTTCGCATCGGATTCCCAAGGACCAACATGTCTGCACATGCAGAGGCGGTTTTCGAAGAGTTGGGGGATGGAATCATATGTTGTATATTATATAAATATACAATTATACATATATAAATATGTACATATATACATATGCATCTATTTGAAGCCAGATCGCAAAAGCTCCCATTTGCAGATGATTTTTGCACTGAAACATGTTCTGAAACCTTCCCATAAATGGAACATTCCCTATAAAGTACGGCAATTGAAAATAGACATAAATACAGAAAAAAAACACCCCAATGTTAGTAAAGCACTAGGTCTACCAAATCCAAAAAAATAGATACTATTTTTGTGTGTGGTACAAATCAAAATATGGATGGTTTCTGGCATTGCTTTACTAACATTATATAAGTATTGCCCGTTTCAACAGATCTCGACGTTGAACTCCGCCTTAACAACCCCCTTGCATTTGTCCACCACGTCAACGACACCTCAGCGTGCGGACGTGAGTCTGCACGGTTAATGGAGAAACTGTAGCCCCACATGACAACCAGTGGGTGAGGTCTATTCTGCATTTGGATTAGCAACAAAAAGTGAATGTGTTTCACTGATTCCAAACGACTGGTTCCAAGTGATGTGGGCTACTGTCACTTTGAGGGTTACGATCCCCAACGTTAGTGACGTGTCCGAGCCATTGACACTTTTGGCCGCATAGATTGGTTAGAATTTTCAACGTGTTCCCCCAACTACTGTAGGCCAAATTGTGAGAAGTATGCCATCTGCCATGCATATATATAAATATAACAATATCACATATGTCATACTAAATACATACATGAATATGTATTATGTTTGCTTTTGATTAGAGATGAATGTGACAGGCTACATGTTTTCCTTGACTCAAATGTGAAGTCGGGTGCTCGAGTCCAATCCCGTTTGTTTGGATTTCCCTATTTCTTGTACCTTCCAGAATGAATAGAGTTAGATACAGTAGCACATAGTCGCACCCTTCACTACATGACGACTGTGCTGAAACTATGCTGAGATGTTTGATGGATTTCGGATTTCTGATGCCGATTCAGGAAGCAAGCTTCAGTCGTAAAGACATATATGTTGGATCATGGAGTTACTTTTGAAATGGGATCCGGCCTGAACATACACCTGAACCAGGATTTAGATACTTGGTTGTTCGGAAGATTTGCAGGAGCCGCTCTTGATGACAGATCGAACGAATATCATTTGAATATCAAGGAAATGCTGTCAATGCTCGATTTGTAATTACACATATGGATGTCCTTAGTTTTCATCCTTCCGGCATCTGTACAGCTTGGAGGCTTTTTGATGGCAATGAGGCCATTGGCTACCAAAATTTGAGCAGACTTTGCCGAAAATCCAGGTAAGGTTTGATCTTATTCAGAATAACTTATTCAACAAATATAGATACATAAATATGTATATGATACACCTAATGACTTTCTTTGGGCTTGCATTTTTTTTGTGAAATTTACCGGGAAAAGGGTGGATTTAGCAGCCTGCTTTTGGTTGGCGGATATCCTGTAGATTCCTTAATCCAACTCCGGGAACGAAGGTCAATTGGGACCTGGAAGTGTATTTCCCATAGGAGAGTACAATCGACCTGGCTGAAATCTGCAAACTAAGCCATTGCTGGCATACAATTGTGCATTATATATATTATATTACATTATATCTATATATTATGTATATACATATATTTACTAATACAGATTGTATATACAGCACATGAAATGACAAGTATGTAGACTGAATGGACCAGGAAATGTCCGACTGTCGCGGTTGTGCTACCTATCCCTGAGGCCCAACGCTCTTGAGTCCACGGGTGCCAATGGTTGGAGGACACAGGAACACGTCGGACAGGGACGGACTCCAGCAACGAAAACACATGGTTTTCAATAGATATAGTAACCCCCAAAAGATTAGGTTTTATCTAATGGAACATGAGTTTTGTGAGGGTTACTAGATCAAATCACATCTAATCAAAGTTTTGTAACTATTTCCCCAACCTGCCAGGTGAGGGTCTCTAGTTTTGATTAGAGTTGCTTTCTCCTCCTTGTCCTTGTCCTTCTCCTCAACCGCGACCGCGAGCGCCAGATCTCAGTGGGCACTGCCAGATAAGAATGCCAGAATAGAATGTTAGATAGAATGGCAGAATAGATGCCAGATAGAATGCCAGAAAGAATGTCAGAGTAGATGCTAGAAAAATGTCAGATAGAATGTCAGAATATGTATACATAATAAATATAAATATATATGTAATATATATATATACCCAATATTTACTATGTCAGAATAATGTGGCAGGGTGGGGATCACTCGAAGAAAGTAATTGAGTACGATCAATGACTTTTCTGCATCTTGTTTGGAGTTATCAAATGTTATTAACTATAAACTTGGCAACTCGGGTGGAATTGGCTTGACTGATGCAGAGCTTCAGAATTTTGAACTTCAGACGTGGCAACGAAGATGGAAGCGGTGCAAGCAAAGTACATACCCTGTAGCCAAAATTGTGTATTTCAACATCCCAACAAAATCTTCTCTGCTCATTCTAGAGAGATTCATCCGAGTACCAGGGTGCAAACAACCCCTATTGCTCAAACATGTTTAGTTTCCGCACCAAAACTGAGGTACTGATCCACAATTCATTCGATCAGTGCTTTTCAATTGGTTTGAAACATGTTGAGCCGTTGAAACTAGCAATCAGGTAGATTTTTTGTAAGATTTGGCTGGTCTAATTTTGAAAAATGACCAGCCGCCCCACGTTTGGCCGCCATCCCGCTGGATAATCCTTGAAGTTCCTTAAAGATGTATTTTCTCATTGAGCCCCCATTTCAATCTATCCACATGGGAAAAACTCCCAACGTTTTCTGAGGTGCAGCCTGCTGCTGCAAAGGCTGCAGGCGCCCCCATGTCGTGGCCATTATGGTGAGAGTTATGATCAACCACTATTTCTGGTTGGTGGTTTGAAATTTGTATCTCTGCAGGTTATGGCCAGTTTATGGCGATATAAGAGAAGTGAGAATATATTGGTAAGAATATACGTGGGAATATAATGTATGATATCACCCATTTTTTGGGAGGTTGTGATACAGTGGTTCAAACCAGCTGAGGACTGAACCAGCCAAACAGGTGTGCATAGAACCAACCCGTCTCTGGTTATATAAGAGGGATAGAAATAATATGTTTGTACGCTGGTGATATAATTGCGATATAATGGTGATACCATCGGGTGATATGATGGTGATATATATATATATATAATGGGATATGAAAATGAGATTCATTTTTATCGGATGTACAATTTTCATGGGGATGATTTTAAGGGTTTCTAGCCATTTTTTTTGCAGAAAATGAGATTTTTTATTGGGATATCATTGGATGCACCATCCATTTGATGACTGGGTTTGTCGTTCATCAAGGATTTACCCAGGCACCAACCGGGCATCGCCGTTTCGCCCATCACCAAATTTGGTTTGAGGTTTCGATGGGTTTCGGAATTATTGCGGGTATACGGTATATAGGATATATAGGTGTTTTGCCTTTACGGTTTTTCCCCAGGTGTTCTCGTGAAATTCAGGGCTTAGGGCTTTGGGATTTAGGTTTTAACGGCTTTAGGGCTCAACTGCTTCGGAATTTAGGCTTTACTAAACACAAGGCTATCCATGTACTTTTTTTCATACACCCAAAATGGGTCCAAATGGGGGTTGGTTGCTGAATTTGGATGAATTTGAGTAAACACCTGCAATAATTCCCAGCCATCCTCTCAGATTTGTAGTATGTTTAGGGGGATAACGGTACTTTGTATACATAATCATTAGAAGTTAAACTTTCAGGGCAGTGGGAACCACCCAGGTGTGTATTGATTAGCACGGCCAGAGATATTGAGGTGGTTTTGTCCTCGTTCACTAAGGTTAGCCCATGCTTAGGGAACGTTAGTTTTCACCTATTCCTGGATCGTCCAAAAAATGACGAACATCGGTCCAGCTTTTTGGATTCCGGCCAAGGAGACGCGGCAAATGCTGTTGAGAACTACTTGGATCATCCCACTATTCGCCCCCATTTCGTGGATTATTCTATTTGCAATGTTCCATGTATACATGGGTGAACTAAGCCCAGTTCCATCCTGTTACTAAAGACGAGCACGAGTCGTGGGATGATCCGAACACTGTAAAAACAGCACTCAAAACTTGATCCATGTTCATGTGCCTTCCCTGATGGATGCTCATGCAAGAAGGTCGAAGCATTCCAGTCCGACAAGTTCCTCGTGGGCGATGATTGTGCGGCCTGGGGAATGGGGATATTGATGATCTTGATGATCATGATGATCATGATGATCATGAGGTCCAGGTTGAAGTGTTGGAGTGTTGAGGAGGGTGAACCTTCAACCCGGACATGTCCCTTGCCATTAATTATATTAATTGGCTGATGAATCGATTGACTAACATCTATTTAAATCTATTTAAATCTATAAAAAACAACCAATCTTGAGATGTCTTGAGTATATTATACGAGGCCGACCATCAAAAAACCCTTCTTTTCTTCCCAGCCAGAAACCGCCACAGTTTCCACCGGTTCATTCCGTTGTTGGAGCTTTTGCTGAGATCCCCAGCCGGTTGATATACCCTTTGTTGTTCTTCCTCTACTCACTATGTTTGGGTGAAATTTCTCATAATTCAACATGTTGGCCATGTCAAATCAATTTGTTTGTCCCGATCTTCTTTGATTAGTTTCCCATGTTTGATAGATGAAATTCATTGATTTTATTCCTGGCGTAATCCCGAATTCGCATCTAAATTATGTGAATGCAGTGTGCCATGCAGAGTGCCAGGAAGGGTGCCATGAAAGAAAAGATGGAAAAGAAAGAAAAGAAAGAGCAGGAAGAAAAGATAGAAAAAAGAGAAAGGAGAAGAAGGAAAAGAAACAAATAAAGGACAAAAGGTGGAAAAGGAATATTAGGGAGACAGCCAAAACAACCCCAGCTCGGTGCCAGGCATGGCTGAGGAAACATTAGCATTTCCAGCTGCAACCAGAAGCACCTCCAGCACGAGCACAGCCACCACAAGCACCTGTTGCCCTGGCCCCAAGGAGGTGGACATGAAAGATCACAGGGCCAGAAAAGAAATTGCGAGAAACGTGATGCAATTCCAGTACCTAGTAGGATATGGGCCAGGAACAGGAGGTTTTTTTTAGTTTCCTACACCAATCCAGAAACAGCATCCAGGGCATTGTGGGCTTGGGCTGGGGTGGAAGGACCAGGAACAAGGGGACATCCTTTTAGTTTTCTATTAACAGCATGCAGGGCATTGTGGGTTTTGGCTGTGGTGGAATGGTCAGCGAGGAGCTGAAAAAGACAAAAAAAAAAAAGCTCCCCTTCCACAAGCACCGCCACTGCCAGAACAAGCAGAGGCAAAAGGGCACAATCTTTACAAGAAGCTTTTTGGCCCAGGGGAGAAGGTAGAACCAGTCCCACTCGTACCAAAGCAAGGAGATGGCAGCACGGGCTTTATACATGTGGGCCAAGCCACAAAGAGCCCTCACCATGCAAGGTTTCCTTCTCAAGCAAACAGACCCTGAGGCTGAGGAGGACAAGTTCATTTTCAGGTGAGGCAAATGAGGCATGTGTATGCCGAATGGCTGCAAAAGCAGCTGACGCCTGACCCCCTCCAGCGGATCAAGGAAAGTGCTGCAAGCAGTGCGGTCACAGCAAGTAGCCTGTGAATACATGAGGGGGGCGGTGAAGATGTTTTTCTGCCCCTTCACCACGCCCATTGGGTGCCAGCTTGGGCCCCAACTTTTCATGGGTGTATTGGAGTAGGCCCTGGCTGCCAAGGAAGCCTATGAAGGGTTTGCCCAGCCTTACACAGATGTGGCCAGCCACGGGCGGCACCTAGACACCACCACCGTTGGTTGTCTTCAGGGATTTGATGGCCCAGGACCCACCAGAAGAGGAGTAGTAAGAAGTGAGTTGATCAGCCAAGAGGGGCGGCTTTCACCTGGAAACATGATTCTTTCCATCAAATCGAATACACAATATTAAGGGTTGGGGGTATGGAAGTTCACGTCTTGGAAAAGAGATGAAATAAGGTGTGATGGGATGAGATGGCAGTGGAGGAGGTAATGTGGGATGAAATGAACTTAAATGGGATGAGATGTGGTGGCATGGAAGGAGATGGCATGAGAGGTGAGATGAGCGGAGATGGCATGGGTTGAGATGGGGTGGCGTGAGACAGGGTGAAAGCAGCTGCCAGCGTGTTTTTAGACATGCTTTGGTTTTGGAAATTCAAGAGCCATGTAGGACACACAGTTTGAGATATGGTGCAAGCTAGTTGAAGGCTGAAGGATGGGTTTGTTGTATGCTGAAATCATTTGCTGAAATTTGAAAATTGCAAGGATATACAATTCATCATCCAGCAGTAAATCTGTTGCACAACCGGCTTAGTGTGAAATGTGTGTAATTATATATAATTATATACATAGTTCTTTATTTCTTATATTTGTATTAAGTCAGGTATCATGGAAGCAACAAATACATTAAATACATAGAAAATATGTAAGAACAGGTATTATCAGAATTTAGGTGTTCGTGTCGGTCACCATCACTGAGGTTGGCTCCGTGGCGGCTCCGCCCGGCGCCCCGCGACGCATGGCGATGGGACAAGGCGTTTCACATGGGGTTCCCATAGAAGGGGATGGTCATCCACCCATTCCACTGGAACCAAAAAGTGTTCAACATGGAGAATTAAACAGACAAACATGGGGATTGAATGGGATTTATATAGTTGATTTAAGTGACAGCTAAGTTGTGGCACATCATTTGTTTAACCATAGTTTTTATGGGATATAATGAACTACTCCTATGTTGGTGGGTTTACAAATGTTGTTTTCATGAACTGGGGGGCCTCACCTTGTAGGGTTTCATATGCTTTACCATGTTGCGTGATAACCATAACCCCTTTACCATGTTTTGACTATGGCACATATCATGAAAAATGTCTTTCTTCGCTTCCAAAAAAAGATCCTCTGGAGCCCAAGATGAAACAAAAAACCTACCCCTGATAATCAATCCATTCCCCCCACTACATACCCCCCATTAGAGCGATCCCAGGTCATGAATAGAGCCAAAACACTCCACCACCGGGTGTAGACTGGTGTCGATTCTGAGGGGGAACGGATTACAAGGGATTACTTGATACATCCACCATTTGGGGAACCTATAAAGCAATAGGAATGTGTTTTTTCCCCAAACAAAGAGTGTGGCCACACTGAGGGTTCTTACGGTAACTGTTAAGGCCCGGTGTTCAATCGAGGTGGTATCCTTAGCGTTTGGCATTTGTCCTTTAAAAATAGCTTTTCGACTGCGCAGGCTCGCAGAAAACGAGAAATCTCGCACAGACATCTTGCCAAGACACTTCTTGTAGGGAGCTTGTACAGAGATCTTGCCAAGAGACCCCTTCTGGAATTTTTGGAGATCTTGTCCGGGAGATCTTGCCAACAGAGCTCTTATAGAGTTCTTGCACGAGATCTTGCCAGAGGACCTCTGATAGAGATCTTGTACAGAGGCCTGGTGAAGAGAGCAGCGATCCTGCTCAGACATCTTTTAAAGCGATCTTCTACAGAGATCTTTCCAGGATACCTCTGATGGAGATCTTGTACAGAGGCATTGCATAGAGATCTGTTGCAGAGATCTTGCCAAGAGGTCTTTTACATAAATCTTCCCAAGAGAATTCTTCTAGAGAGCTTGTACAGAGGTTTCATACAGAGATCTTGTACAGAGACCTTGCCAGGACACCTCTTATGGAGACCTTGGTACAAAGACATTGCATAGAGATCTGATGCAGAGGTCTTGCCAAGAGGTCTCTTACATGAATCTTGCCAAGAGAGCTTTTATAGCGAGCTTGTACAGAGATCTAATAAAGAGATCTTGCCAAGAGATCTCTTATAGAGATCTTGTCCGGGAGGTCTTGCCAACAGAGCTCTTATAGAGATCTTGTACAGAGATCTTGCCAGGAGACCTCTTTTGGAGATCTTGTACGCAGACCTGGTGAAGAGAGCAAAGGTCTTGCTCGGAGATCATTATTACATAGTTTGAACAAAGATCTTGCTTTGAGATCCCTTACACAGATAGATCTTCTGTGGAGATCTCCTATAGACACCTTGTACAGCGCTTTGTTACTGGGTAAACTTAGGTTGTCGCGAGAATTCGTTTTGGGGTTTTATGAGTCTTATGTTATTTTGGACCATTTCGCTTTGGGATACCGTATTTTGGAGGTCTATCTTGTATCATGATTGTTGTTAGCAATTCTCAGATGTGCGTTCATGATTCAATCATTTTTTTATGCTACACCCCAAGAACTGACCCTAAGTTCACTGGATCAGTTTAAGGGAAAAATTTCAGAAATCATTTGAAAGCCATGGTTTCATGTAATTAGGACTTCCCTTAATCCAATCCATTGATACCTTCCAGAATCCTTCGATCACTGGTCGCCAGGCGAATCTTGTGGCCTTCGTTCCTCCAAGAGCCAGGATGTTCGCCCCGCCACTGCCCGCGCCGCCAGCCCCGCGCAGCCACGGCAGGTCTCGCCGCGGCCGGCACCCCGCCGGACCGGGCAGAGCCTCACAGCGCCCGCCAGCAGACCTGCGGCCGTAACCCCCACCCCGCCAGCGCCGGCTGCCCGGGGCGTGCGGGAAAGGAGTTTGGGCAGCAGCCAACGCAATTTGGCGAGACCTCAAACTGCCAGGGCCGCCAGACCTCAGAGTGCTAGGAGAACTCAAACTCCGACGGTAAGACCACAGAGTGTGAGAAGATCTGATGGTGACACGCTGGGTCGAAGCCAATCTCGAGTTTCACCAAGGCACCAGCGGGTTGAGTTGCAGTGAAGGGTTGAGATTGGTGGGTATAGCTATGGTTGGGTTTGTTGCCTGCTGTGCGTTGTTTATGTGAATTAAACTCTTCGCATTCATCCACCTACATAATACACGTGTGGCACGTGTTTACACAGACAGACTTCCAGAAAGCATCGCCCAAAGATCAAATATGCAGCCAAAAGATGCCAAAAGCATACACGGGCCAATAGTGCATGATATGAGCAGGTAATACCAATAGGCGACCATTTTTTCGTTGAAAAAATCTTGGAAATCATCTATCCGCGCAGTCCCATTGATGTACCTAGCTGGGTGGGTTGTCATTTAAAATTTGACAAGTGATAGACAACATGGGTAATAGTGCAAACATGTGATACCATATCAAAAAGACAATCTAAAATTCATGTGTCAATTTCCGTTGTTAACTTTCCATGTTGGTTGTTTGTTTGTTTCACAACGCTTCAAATAGTTTGTTTCCAAATGTTTCCAAATATTTTCATTTTTTTTGGAATCCTACAGTATCTGGCATGATCATCCCATTTCACACTGTTGTAAATAGATATGAATTTAGCTGTATAATATAAGTAGGTTTTAGAGGATAGATTAAAAACAAAGCAACTAGTTTTCTTGGAAGTGCAACGATGGTTCAGTACCTCCACTTTTTTGCTGAATGTTTTAGCCATTTCGCGCGCAAAACATTTCGACACGCAACTCTGTTCGTAATCATATATAATGATCCAAGGAAAGCATGGTCATATGTGTGTTACCTCTTTTTTCCCCTCAGGTTTAAAACATGGCACACAATCCACCATGTATCATTTAATCCTTTCCCCCTAATACTAAACGCCCTCCCCTCAATAAACACCTCAGGTAGTTTTTGGGGGAGGTTTAGTAACTTTAGTAATACAGGATGGTGCCCCCCAGTTATAAGTTGGTTTATAAACCCATCTAAATATAGTTATATCTGCCATAAACCATAGGTTTTATGGGCACCACCTTGTAGGGGGAAGGGATTGTGGATGAGTTTCCCAACGACCTCCATCCAGGCCTACAAGGTCCTCGAGCACGACGCTGTCGTCCCGTGGGACCCTTGGGACCTCCAAGAGCGCCAGCCAGTTGATGCGCACTGGTAGCGGGACACCAGGACGGCGTCCCAAAAACGTGGTACGTGTGGGGGTGATGTTGTGGGGGTTGGGTGTGTTTCTGGTTGGTGGTTTGGAACATGAATTTTATTTTCCCAAAAAATTAGGAATAATAATCCCAACTGACTTTCATATTTTTCAAAGGGGTAGGTATACCACCAACGAGGTTTTGTTTTTTGTTCTGTGCCAAGATTTTTCAAGATGGGTTTGAGGTGACTTCAAAGGTTCAAATACGGGTGATTTGAGGATGTTCAAGTTGGATTTCTGGTAGCCAGAAGATTTGGAGTTTACACATGTTTACACCAGTCTTGGCTAATTCTCTGATGGTGTAATATATCAGTGGGGTTAGACATGCGAAAAAAAAAATGATGCTGTTGATGCGTGAACGTGTGCGGTTAATTAGGTAATGAAATCTTCAGGGGGTACCCCATGGTACCCCCAAATCATCAATTTTAGTAGGATTTTCCATTGTAAACCAACCATTTTGGGGTACCCCCATTTCAGGAAGACTCCAAATTGAGCATGACAAAGATTTCATGAGGTTTCTTATGTGATTAGTTCCTCCAGAGAGTTACGGATTTGTTTTGTCAGAAAAAGCTACGGTTTGGAGTTGTTCAAAGATCATTTCATTGATACAACCAGTGCAAAGCGATGACTGGTGGTTGTTTGACATCCACCCTAGAAACAAACCGAAGTTGATCAGATAATTGGCAAAATGGTTTTCCAAGAATAGAGACGGACAAATGTTATTATGTTAATTATTGGGCTGAAATGTTCTTTATTCTCAGTATCATTTCCCAATGAGTATGACTAACAACACGGTTTTCCAATGCTGTGCGCATAGATGATTTTCCCATGGAAACCTCCATGCAGCACTTGGGGATATCCTTATTTTTTTCTATGTTTGATGACACCGGACAAGTCACGATGATCAATCATGTTAAACCCATTACAATATCATTACAAGCATTACAAGACATCATTTTCACCATTTCTAACCATCATTTCTTACCAACCATGGTTTTTGTGGCCAACGTGGCAAAAATCCGAGCCGTTTCTTTCAGGATCTCCTGCAACAGCCATGGACTTGCCATCGGTGGAGGACATCCACCAGAACGGGAACGGGATAGCACTTATAAGTATGAACGTACTTACAAGATCTTATAAGTATGAAATTGTATGAATGTATATTATATATATATGAATATTATATATATAATTATATATTTAATTATATATATATACATTATGAGTATTGTTCATGGTATCGTACTGTATTATATATGTTCTATATTATATTTTGTTCTATGATGCTTTCTATATATGTCATTATATGTAAATTACATATGCATGTACACATACTTAGATACACATATACACATGTACACATATACATACAGATATGCAAACATATAGGCCTACATTCTACTTGCCTGCCTGTCTGCCTGCCCACCGAGCTACCTGCATACATAAACATACATACTGTAATACATACACACCTACATGCATGCATGCAAGCATACATGCATACATACCTAAAGATATACACATATGTATGCTATCCAATGGGTATATCATGAAGATTCATGAAGTGGGTTGGACAGAAGCTTTGCATGTATCACTGATCTAGTCTCTTGCCCATGCCAAAGTGATGGATCTGTGCAGGAATTGAAACGAATGATCGCAGAAACTAAGAAGGAGGTGCTTGGAAGTGCTGCTTGGGGGAGTCTCAGTGTATAGTGTAAGTATCACGTGACTCAAATTTTCAGAAACTACCAGCAATCAGAGACATGTTGGCATGATAAATCCTTTGCGTGCCTTGTGAGCAGCCAGCAGTCACCAGTTTCTCCAGGTGCGCGAAATCCGTGCCGCGGGGCCCTGAGATCACTGTTACGACACCAGAAAACATCCAGGCCTTTGACCCACCAGGTATGTAGCTGGCAGGTTATGATATCCAGATTATAAAATGACACTACCAGATGTTAATATCCAGATTATGATAATTATATCATCCAGATTTATTGAATGATGATACAAAAGTATACAAAAGTATTAGATATATAATTATAACTGATGATGTTCTGATGATGTGCTGATTTGTAATAAAAGTCGGTATGTTCTGATGATGTTCTGAGACTATATATATTATGTTATAAGTTACCCTTGTCCGTATGGCCCTGTTAGTGCTCATGATGCCAATGTTAGTGCAGTGGTATATGCTGCCGCCAAGCTCTGCACGTTAAATGGCCCCCCTGGATAGCCTGGGTGTTTTTATGGCTTTGATTCATTTTAGAGGCCCCTTAGGCCTTGCTGGGGGGTACTTAATGTGGGGGCCTGGAATCACCTGGTTTGTCCTGAAGATAGTTGACAACCAGACGAGCTAAACTCCACTGATGCCACGAAGGTTTATGATGGTATTGTGTCAATTCATCATCGATTGATCATACAAAAAATCACCAATAATATTCCCTCAATCATCATGAATCCTTAGTTATCATCAATCATCATTAATCAATCATCATTATATAATCATCATTCATCATCATTAATCATCATAGGACTCCTAGGTTGAATCATGGTTTTGGGACCCCCAAACGGTGCGAAATCTGGACTCTGACACGGACCTGAAGAGAAGACCCAGAGATCTATCATCCAGGATGGGGATTCCCATGAGAAAACGCACTTCAGTTGGGATTTCGTGCGAATCACATGGACGAAAACATACGAACACAGGGATTTGTATGGATTTGTTTTGGTGGAATCGCAACGGATTTCCATGGATTTTCATGGTGGTTCAAGCGGTTTGTTTCGCCATGGGATATTTCAGAAGCAGATCATTTTACCATAATTGACCGCTCTCGGGCAAGCGGATGGAAACGAGGTGGAATCAAAGACCAAGTGGCAGGTGAATCGAGAGGTGCGATGGGGCCAGAACAACTGAGGCTGCTTTCCAGCAGAATTCCATCGCGTTTGGGGGATAAATTTACAGATTTTTGGGACCGTAACGGGGATGTGGAATAACCAGGAGGAAGGGATTAGAACTGCAGTTGGGTAATAAACCACCTGATGGGTATTCAGTAGATGGTTCTTCTGGGTCACATCCCATGGAATTCCCGCCACAAAATAGCTGGGATTGATGGAAAAACGATGAAAAATTGATGGAAAAAACAATACTAAACCATACTAAACCATCCCCCCAAATCACGATCTCTCGTTGCCAGGAGCGGAAGGACAAGCTGGCGCAGACGATTGCCACCCAAAGTGAGCTTCGCGAATGGCGCTGGAAGCAGGCGCGCTGTGTGTTTCGGTGTTTGAAGTGCCGGATGTTTTTTTGCGACCTCCTCACCATAAAACGATTTCATATGATGTTCAGAATTGGAAATGAGAAAATCTGCAGGAAACCCTTACATATGGCAAGATTGTACATGACATATATCTGATGGTAAAAAGTAAAAACCATGCTTTCTTATAGCCTTAAACCAATCCATTGAATATCATTTAATGATGATTCGTGATGGAAAAGCACCCCAGTTGACGGTCCCTGCTGGAAGTCTGGGAGATGAGATACAGCTGGAAAGCCCGGGGCTTCTGCCAGGGGATCTCCAGTGTGTTTGTTGTGGGATGAAGCAAGTTGACAAAAGCTCCAGGTTGAAAAACGGTGTGATCTGAGGGGTCCACAATTTTTTGAGCTGCTGGAAGAAAGTCATGAACGAAAGGATATTTGTTGAGTAATTATGGCATTATATGGCCCCATTATGGCCTATGGATGCCTATGGCACGAATGATATTTCCACAAGCTTCCACATAGTTCTTATTAATTCTTCCAATTCGGAGGCCAAAAAAACTGTCGGTTTCGTGGTCAGATCTTCCTAGAGCTCTGGCCGTTGGACGACCGCTCGACGAAAACAACTGAGGATGATGTTTGACCTTGCTCAATGGTTGACAACGGCGCGATTTTCGGGTCCCTATCTCTATATATATATATATATCTGGGAGATACACAGTCTTCATAGGGGAGAAGAAGCGTCGGATCCTGCACTCGATTCATCATCCAACCAATCGGAAGGACACGATTCCTCCCCATGCCAGTAGTATTTCCAAGTCCTTCCAAGGAATAGAACCCCCTCACATGTTTGTTTACCGTATCATGCTTGGTTATTTATGTTTTTGTTGAGAAACATGATTGATTAATGATTCATGTAGATAATTTTGGTGAATATAGGTATTCCTTAATATGAACTATACATAAATACACTATAATAAATATATATATATAGATAGATAGAAATTTTGTTTATTCGCGAAGAATGGCCGTTCCCGGATAAAGGAATTTTGATTAACAACCATTTTTGTATATATACACGATATATAGTGTTGCCTCCTATTTCTTGCCTTAAAGCTCAGCATCCCTTTTATGCGTCGTTCAGGCTGAAGGAATGAAGGCCTTGGCAGTGCAAAGGGCGCAGGAAGCCAAGGTGAACGATCTCCAGGTCCGATGGTCCGTCTCTCGTTTCTGACCTGGTGAAGATGGTCAGCTTTGTTGTGATGGAATATTTGGATCCGCGTTTAAGTGGAAAATCTTAGGCAGCTTTAGATCTATTTTGAAGAATGATGTAGAAAGTGGTAGCGTAAGTAAGAGAGGAGAACTGCGAAGTGTTGCTGTTTTGCCAAAGGCATACTACTGTAGCATGGATGACTCATGTTTGTGTTTCTACCACTGACAGAAGGTACCATAGGCCGAACACAGTGCCGGGCTGATGAAGAAATCCACCAACACCTTTGAAATCCTTTGGGTTTTTCAAGAATCAAGCCAGATTATAGCAGCTTATGCCAGTTTCATCACTTGATCTTGGTTGACTAACTAAACACCCATCATCTAAAAAGATATATCAACCCACTGAGGTGGGTGGTGGATGGTGGTGGTAATTTTGCCATCATGGCTGTGCAAACCACCAGTGGCGTCACGTCCAGGAGTCCAAAGACTTTTTGAAATTCAAGCGCGAAGCAAAGCTCAGGAGACGCGGGAGGAAGAATAGAGGAGGTCTTGAAAAAGTTGTGTGCTTAGTTTTCTGCAGTGAATCGATTGCTGGTCAGGGAATTTCGCGAATCATGTTCAAACATCTGTGTCGAGGATTTCTGTTTCATTCCTTGGAATGATCAATGATGGGCTGATTGTGTTCAAGTGGGTCCAACCAGGATGTTTTCAAGAATCTTGCCAAAAAGATGGGGATAGGTTGATGATGGTCCATGGTTGGTTTTCAATACACCAGCAAACATCAGACAGTGAGATTGGGATATGACATTCTCATTCTAGAGCTCGTTGTGGCATCATATTTTTTATACGCACAGACCCCGGTGGTTTGCCCGGCAAGATTGAGGATTCCCTGTCGTCGAACAGAAGAGAAACTGCAGAAAATACTGCGTAGACCGCAGTGTTTTCTGCTTTCGGATTCAGAGTTTTCAGGGTTTTAGGGTTTCAGTGTTTTAGGGTTTTAGGGTTTTAGGGTTCGTCGTCTCGCAAATACCAAAACACTGGCCAACCGCGCAGGTTTGTGAGCATGTCGAAATTGAACATGGTTGAGCTCCGTTCTAACCTTGCGGGCAAACCATAGGGTCTTGCCGTAATTACCCTCTGGTTATTTAACATAGCCATGGAAAATGGTCCATTTATAGATGATTTTCCCATTAAAACCTCCATTTATCAGGGATTTTCCATGGCTATGTTAAATAACCAGATGGTATATGATATGTTGTGTCCGTCTCAAGTTTCAAGGATTCGAACTACCGCAGCGTGAGACCAGTGAAGTGCATGGCCGCTGCGTGGGACACCCCTGTTGGTTGATTCCGTCCAGCTTTATTAACCTATTACCCTTTATATATTGGGGAATATCATCATCCATAAACTTGGAATCCCGTTCTTAACCAAGATAATCGAATAACATGAATCAACGTCGCATACACACTGCTGATGTGCTTCATGTGGTGTAGTTGCAAAGAGGATTCCTCACATGAAGCATTTGTAAAATGTGCGTGTATGCATCATTGGTTTGTTGATCAAATGTGAGTATTGATCAAAATGGTGCGTCGGTAAAAATGAACCATGTGACCATAATATTTGTCCATTCAGTTGGGAATCATCATCCCAAGTGACGAACTCATATTTTTCAGAGGGGTAGGTTGAAACCACCAACCAGTTATTCCTTCGTTATTGTTGTTTTTTCCCCATTGGTCGACAATCATTCACCAGATGTTTGATGAACAAATGAAGGATCCCTGGGGCTCGGCGGTACCCATTCTGTCGCCGTTTCGAATATGAGTTGATTCTTATCCAAGAATCCATGAGCAGTTGTGGGGTTTATCATAGTTTAATTTTGGATAATTTAAATAATTTAGGATAATCCATGATGATAAACAATGTCTTCAATATTTGGGATCTTAATCCATGATTTTGGGGATGTTCGTGACATATTTTCCCCAGTAGGAATGGCACCTTTTCCCATCCAGGACCAAAGAGGAAGAGTTGCAGCTGCAAACTGAGGTCAGTGGCAGACTTGGGAGATGATGGGAGGTTAGCTGCGTTAGCTAAGATTGGTGCAAATAACTATTGGTTATCAATAACAATAGTGTATAATAATATCAATAGCTAGGTTGGGGTCTATGTTATAACAATAGTGTATGATATGCAAATAACTTATACTATTTCAAGACTTGGGGACTGCAGATTTTGGTTTAGTTGTGTAGTATTAGCGATCTATCTCTGGGTACCCCAATGCCGACAGCCATATGTACGTGGGCCAGATTTGGTGGTTAGCCCCCGATTCTTTGCAAAACCTTTGAGAGCAGGGTCACTTGAATTCCAGATATTATCTTTATATATATATGTATACATATATTTATATGGATTGATATATATATATATAATTATAGAGATAGAATTATATATAATTATATATATTGGTATATGAAATCTATGTATCTTGGTGATGTCGCCCAAATAGTGACATTGACCGCTTTTCTGTTTTTTGTTGAGGCCATCCGATGAAGATATCATCGGATTTCCGAAACGCATAGCTGGCGTAGCCCATCCCAGAATTTTTCGGCACAGGACTTGATACGAACCCGCCACTGGGGCGAAGCCGTTGGCTTTTGGAAGTGCAGTTCCAGTTCTAGATTAAGATATAACCATCATGAACCATACTTACATAGGCTATAGTGCGGCTATAGGCTATAGCTGACTAGGCCCCCCCCAAGTGTCATCATAGTTTTATACCTATTAATAGCTTCAACTGCGCGGTATCCCGAGTTGCCCAGCTCCAGGTCTACCACGACCGCAAGAAGGACAGCTGGTAGCACACCTGGAATCCATGGGGCTTGTTAATGGTTATTACGTGGCATAGAACTAGCACGTTTCCTACGTAACTTGACTTGAAGCATTGGGGAAATCCCAGCCAGGCTGATTGAGACACCTTCTTTCGGGGACTTTCAAAGAAGAGTTACCTTCTGGTAAACAAACATAGCTATTGAAAATGGCCATTTATAGTGGATTTTCCCATTAAAAATGGTGATTTTCCATAATTATGTATACGTTTACCAGAGGGTATGTGGGAAATAGCCCAAAACCATCCTAACTCCGTTGCTCCAAAGATCTCCCACAGCCATTTTTGGGGTAAATCTTCGCCACCTCGGTGCAGGACTCTGCATGGAATGTCGCCAGGGCGCAAGAAGCCGTGGAACAAGAACAGGTCTGGGATCGGACCCCCTTGGTCTGACATTGGCTTCAAAACTGCAGAAACTTAGCAGAAACTACTAAGCATCCAGACTATCCTTGGATAGCTTTAGTCATCCTTTAGTCATCCTTTAGTTCTCTTTCGTTGCAAAAAAGTTTTTGTAAAAAATCCTACGACCATCAACAGCACAATTTTTGTCACTAATCTGGGCTCGGACCGGATCGTCGGATCCATTTTTTTGGTTTTTTCCACTGGAAAATCACCAGGTTATAGCTGGGTAAATCCATGTTGCAATATGTTGCAATATCCACTATTTCTATGGCTGGTTGGTGGTTTCAAACATGAATGTTATATTTTCCATCATATATGGGATGTCATCCGCAACCCATTGACGAACTCATATTTTCAAGATGGTTAAAACCACCAACCAGTATAAATAATCATAATTATTTATATATATACAATATGTAAAAGGGCCAAGCGGCCAAGCAACTGATTGCTTGTTTGCCGCTAAGTCTCTAAGATTAGCCATGGAAATGGACTAATGTTTAACGTACTACAGTGACTGCTGATTTTCATGGCTGGTCATTCTACAAGGTGGCGCTTTTGAGTGATGTGTATTTTGGTTTATAGAGCCATCTAAGGGTAGATAAGGTAGATATATCTACCATACACCCAACACTCAACCAAGTTATAACCAACTTCCAAATGGCGAGGAGAAACACATTTTGTTCATCCAGTTGTGAGAGTTTTGCACCAGTTAACAATGGCTTAAGTTCACCACTTACCAACACGTCACATAGTTTTTTAACATAGTCAAATCATTATTAACTTGTGTCACATCATAGCTAAATCATGCTTAAAGATCATAATAATCATAGTTAGATCATATCAAAACATAGGTAAATCATGTCAAACGAGTCATGTCAAAAAGTCAAGTCAAGTCCCGTTATTTCTATGGCTTGCGCCAGGCCTTAGTGCGTGAGAAGGTGGATCATGTCCAGCACCTGCGGGAGGCCTTTTTATGGGAATCCATGGGATAAATGTTTGGAATTCAGCGGGAAAATTATGGGATAATCAGGGGATAAAATGACGACAAGATTAGTGATGAGAAATGGAACTTCTTTTGTCAACCATTGTTGGATTTACCCAGAATTCGAGGGAGGTGTCACTAAAATATGCTAAATTAGCATAAATAGGTTTGCCATTGTAGGTCGTCCATATGTGTTTTGTGAAAAAACTCTCAATATTTCTCTGTTTACCATTTGTCTTTCGGATGTTTATTGGGAATACAAAATGCAGTAGATATTTTTTCAGGAAAATTTCGATTAACAATATAATTTCAGCACAAGATCCCTAAGTCTTGTCAGGTTTTAGGTATTACAGAATCCCAAAAAGAAATTTGGATCAATTTGGGGTATTTCTGCATGGGATTGGGAAAACTTGAGAAAACTTTTTTTTGATAGGGAGGGCAGAAATTGCGTATCAAGAGAAGACTAAGGGTCGACCATGAAGCCCGGATACCCCATTCATAGATGATTTCCGCGGAAAAAAAACATGTCTATCCATGGATTTTCTATGATTTCATCCACTGCAAAAGTCCAAGGAACTCGGGACTGCCAACTGGTCAGTGGTTTCAGTGTTGCGATGTTGTTGTAACCATGGTGCGTACAATCAACGATTCATAATGGGGACAACAGCTGCAAAATAGTGCCCCAATTGATACAGAAGAATGCCAAAAAGTTACTACAGAATGCAGTGTAGGACCTCGCGGTTGGCATCAGCTCAACAGGAGAAGAAGCAAAGAGTGGAGCAGGAGAAAGTCTCCACAGCGCAGGACCTAAAAACTGGACTGATGGGGAAGAGAAGCGACCACTCGGTAAAGCGGGGCTGGTTCAATGTTGTGATTTTCATATTGTGAGATATTTCATACAAAGCTGAACCGAGACCAAGATATATAGATCCATTAAGGGCTTGTACCCTTCATTAGGAGAGAACTGGATGATTGAGATCTCCTATCTACAAAGCCCTGTGATGCAGTTTCAGCAGGGGGTTCTTCCGCTGCTCACTTTTCACCCTTTGTGGTTCTATCCTCCAACAAGAGGCTCTTACAACCACAACGAGGTAGTTTCATATTTTATCACGATGTTCCACATTTGGTTCCCCAGTTTGAAGGGCTTCTCACACTATGCTTGGGTGGTTCTTAACTTTATCGTTATTTACGAGGGCTAGGAACTTTAAAGAGGCACCAAGAAAAAACGGCGATAGATACTTCAGAAAAATTCATGGCTGTCTCAGCCTGCTTTTGTTAGAGCCCCGTGCCAGTTCCCATCCCAAAGAGCCGCCCTGGGGCCCTTGATGTGTCCTTTTGGTCCACCATATCACCATCAAAATAGGGAGGTGACCAGCGCCTTATTTGTGCCAGTCGATTGGCTGGTGATTTTTGTCGATTTCACGGGAAGATGCCAGTTGAAGATTTGAAGGGATCAGGGCCACAATCGCCTCACTGCGAACTCACTACATCTAGGAAATGGTTAAAAAATGTTAAAAAATGTACGGGAAACTCTCCCGTACCACGTAGAAATTCGAGAGTCCGGACATATTTGAATTTGAAGGCTATATAAAAATAAAATATAGAATAATACTCGGAAACTTAGATAGGGGAAATGATCTCAGCCCTAATCCTTGATGTTCATGTCATAGGTTGGCAACATGTGTGCAAATATGTGCAAATATGCACTCAATAAATCATAGTTCAGTAGAATTTGAATATAGTCCTATTTATATGAATTTACATATTCCTATGTTTGCCAAAGTTTCAGAGTTTGTCATTCCCCCCTTTATTGGTTGTGTCAAATGCGTGTGTCAGAAAATAGGGTATACGCATTTATATATATATACCCTCTGGAAAATTTACTTGTTGACCATGAAGTTGACCAATTTATAGTGGTTTCACTAGTCTTCCAACCCCGATGACTGCCAGGGTCTATGTTAATATACCAGAGGGATCCAGAGGGTAATATATAATGGCCATGTCAATGGGGATGGTACTAAAAAACATCCGTTGGAATCGGGGGATCCGTTTTCTTCAGAGTCGCCAACGAGCCTTTATCGGATCCCGGTGCTTGCTAAACGTAGGGTTGCTGGGACATTCATCATCCCAGCAACCCCCAGCAACCCTACGTTTAGCACGCACCAGGATCCGATTTTCAGTGGGGTGTGTCTAAAATCCCCGTAAGTTTGTTCTCTGTGTAACTTTAAGTCATCATGAATCATGTTTGATGGTCACATCCCCACGACAAAGTCGATTGGATCTCCATGGTGCTGCTGAAAAGACTCCCTGTTGTAGCTGGTTTTTGCTGGTTTGCCATGTTTCTTAGGAAAAATCCCAGTGGTTGAAAAACCACCTGGTTTTTGTCAAGGTGTTTTGTTGGTTATCCGCTAAATCACAATCATTTCATGATGGGTAAGTCCTCTAAATCACCATCATTCATGATGGGTTTTTGTTGCTTGAATCCCCGTAAGTTCAGTGTCTAACTGTTGTTCACGCGTCGACGTCGGAAAGGAACACGCGCTGCAAGAGCACCTGGACGTGGCGCACTTGGCCAGACAGCTGGCCGCCGAGAAGGCGAAGCTGCCGTATTTCCACTGGGGGAATGACTTGAGTCCCAAATGGAGGTTTCCATAAATGGGGATACCCGAAATGGATGGTTTATAAATCCTATTAAAATTGATGATCTGGGGGCACCTCCATTTCAGGAAACCATCAAAATTATCCCGGCAAGAGACCCCAAACATGGCCCAAACAGTGTGTAGGCGGACCTAAAAGCATCAGTGGCTGCAAGCTAGCAGGACCAGAGCGACCCTAGTAGTGAAAAGAAGAGATACCAGGTAAGATTCTGCAAGTTCCCTTTGCGAAGATCTCTGTAGAAGATCGTGCGCAAGATCTCCTTAACAGGTTCTCTGTAGAAGCTGCTGTGCAAGATCCCTGTGTAGGGCTGTACAAAGTGTCTATAGGAGATCTCCACAGGAGATCTTTGTAAGGGATCTCAAAGCAAGATCTCTGTTTAAGCTACTATCTAATTATAAATGATCTCCGAGCAAGACCTTTGCTCTCTTCACCAGGTCTCTGCACGAGATCTCCAAAAGAGGTCTCCTGGCAAAACCCCTGTACAAGATCCCTATAAGAGCTCTGTTGGCAAGATCTCTGTAAGAGACCTCTTGGCATGATCTCTGCACAGATCTCTACCAGAGGTTTCTTGGCGACCTCCTGGACAAGATCTCTATAAGAGATCTCTTGGCAAGATCTCTTTTTGAAATTCCTGCACAAACTCTCTATAAAGGCTCTCTCTTGGTAGGATTTATGTAAGAGACCTCTTGGCAAGATCTCCGCAACAGATCTCTATGCAATGTCTCAGTACAAGGTCTCCATGAGAGGTATCCTGGCAAGATCTCCGTACAAGATCTCTATAAGAGGTCTCTTGTCAGGATCTCTGTAAGGGGCCTCTTGGCAAGATAATTGCAACAGATCTCCATAAGAGGTCTCTTGGCAAGAGCTTTGGACAAGATCTCTAAAAGAGACCTCTTGGCAAGATCTCTGCACAAGATCTCTATGAGAGCTCTGTTGGCAAGATCTCGCTAAGAGACCTCTTGGCAAGATCTCTGTACAGATATCTAGAAGAGGTGTCTTGGCAAGACCTCCTGGACAAGATCTCTATAAGAGATCCTTGGCAAGATCTCTTTGTGAGATCCCTGTGCAAGTTCTCTGTAAAATCTCTCTTGGCAAGATTTATGTAAGAGACCTCTTGGCAAGATCTCTGCAACAGATCTCTATGCAATGTCTCAGTACAAGCTCTCCATAAGAGGTGTCCTGGCAAGATCCCTGTACAAGATCTTTATAAGATGTCTCTTGGCAAGATCTCTGCAACAGATCTCTATGCAATGTCTCCGTACAAGATCTCTTTATGAAACCTCTGTACAAGCTCTCTAGAAGAGTTCTCTTGGCAAGATTTATGTAAGAGACCTCTTGGCAAGATCTCTGCAACAGATCTCTATGGAATGTCTCAGTACAAGGTCTCCATAAGAGGTGTCCTGGCAAGATCCCTGCAACAGATCTCTATGCAATGTCTCCGTACAAGATCTCTTTATGAAACCTCTGTACAAGCTCTCTAGAAGAGTTCTCTTGGCAAGATTTATGTAAGAGACCTCTTGGCAAGATCTCTGCAACAGATCTCTATGGAATGTCTCTGCACGAGGTCTCCATAAGAGGTGTCCTGGCAAGATCCCTGTACAAGATCTCTATAAGAGGTCTCTTGGCAAGATCTCTGCAACAGATCTCTATGCAATGTCTCCGTACACGATCTCTTTATGAAACCTCTGTACAAGCTCTCTAGAAGAGTTCTCTTAGCAAGAATTATGTAAGAGACCTCTTGGCAAGATCTCTGCAACAGATCTCTATGCAGTGTCTCTGTACAAGGTCTGCGTAAGAGGTGTCCTGGCAAGATCTCTGTACAAGATCTCTATAAAAAGTCTCTTGGAAAGACTCTTGAAGAATTCTCTCTATAAGAGATCTCCATAGAAGATCTCTGTGGGGGATCTCAAAGTAAGATCTCTGTTCAAGCTCTCTAGAGAAGGTCTCTGAGCAAGATCGCTGCTCTCTGCACCAGGTCTCTGTACAAGATCTCTATAAGAGGTCTTCTGGCAAGATCTCTGCACAAGATTTCAAAAAGAGCTCTGTTGGCAAGATCTTTGTACAGACTCCCTATAAGAGATCTCTTGGCAAGATGTCTGTGCGAGATTTCTCGTTTTGCGCGAGCCGGCGCAGTCGAAATCATATGAATATGTCACAAGAGCCATTTTATTTGGAAATTTACAAGGAAAATGCCGGATGCGAATCCCGCGGCCACCGTTTCGTGCGAGCCTGCGCACTCGAAATGCACATGGACATTTCACAAGAGCCATTTGGCATCAAAATTTACACGGAAAATGCCGTACGCGACGACCATGGACATCGTTTTGTGCGAGTTTTTGCAGTCGAAATGCACATGGACATTTCACAAGAACCATTTTGCTTGGAGATTTACAGGGACTTGGCCGGACACGGATGATACCACCTCGACTAAACACCGGGCCTTAACACTTACCGTAAGAACCCCTCAGCGTGGCCTTTGGGGAATATAGCGCAATGATTGGGGTAACCACCATCACATGATTGGGGTAATCCGACGAAAATAGCGTTAAGCCAACTTAGAAGGAAAATAGATATGACTTACATGGATTTCAATGGTTTTAACCTGGAAATAACCCTGCCGCAGCATGGTGAAGAATAAATAAGTGGATGCAACCATTTGTAAATGTAGACCTGGATATTGTTCATGAAATCGATGGCATGCAATGGCGATGGGTCAAAACTAGCTATTGGCCCTCGCCAAGCAGTAACATGAAATATTCATCCTGTAATTTGGATGCGTGCCGCATGCCCAAATACTGGGAGAGATGACAAGTCTAAACTCTTGATATCCCTTGGGAATCCCTTGATCAATGTTGATCAATAAAATGTGGTGCGGAGAAGCAAACAGCGAAAGAGCTGGTGGATCTCCTGCCATCCATACCAAGTGTTTGCAGTTCTTTGGTGTCGTGAATGCCCAAGAAATATGAAGAACCCGAGAACCCGATTCCCCACCCACACAGATTTTTGCTGTGCATGTGGCACTTTCCATGATGTGACAGTAATTTTATCAAATCCGTGGCACAGTTTCCCAGCTGTTTGAAAAGTCGCCGCGTCAGGAGCGGCTGCTGGAGAATTTGCAGTTCAGCCGCAGCTGTTTGCAAGCTCCCCTGAGGCGTAACCGCGGCTGGGGGGTTGAAGCTTAGGATCCTCCACAAGACATCGCGCAAGTTCCGAGTTTTTTGGGTACCAACATGCACCAACTGTTTCACCATGTATACTTAAAGATTTTTTCAAGATATCTTCTAATATTTTTTTGTTTGGTGTTTTTTAATATAGTGTTTGTGTTTATTCAAGTACATAAGATATGCCTTATTATTCAATATTTTCCAACATTTATGATATCAGATCATGGATGGAACATAAGATAATAGGATGTTCCTTCCATGATGAACTGTGAAACTGGTGAACTGTTTGACCTCCTCGTGCAGGCGAAGGTAGATCGCTGCCGATCGTTGCGTGTCTCCTTGAATTGTCAATGCTTACAGGCCATCGCCAGGGCGATCCGTAGCGGTCCCAAATTTTGTTGTCTTGATGTGTCTTGGTAGAATTTGATTTCGGAAGATTGTGGAAAAGCCAGACCAGTGTGTGTATTGCGGTGTCCACAGATTTGTTATGCATCTTATTTGTTGGCCGTTTCCTCGACGCAGGTACCCAGGTGTTGATCCCCAGAACGATCGGAACGATGGCTGGGCTGATGGCTGATGGTTCGCACAAGACGCGCAGAAAACGCGAGCTGCTTTAGGTCAAAGGCAGATGTGTTTCTGGTTCCAAGAGATTAATAGCCCCGCAAAATTCGAGTGTTACACTAAAAGTGACCAAACTTGTTTGTGTTTGATCGCTGTCTCAAATTTTGGAAGAAGGGTTTGATGATGTTTGATATCTGAGGAGGGAAGTGTCTTAATATATATATGATATAACAGTGTGGTATAATATAGTATGTTCAAGGGTTTCAATGGTCAATACAGTGGAGACTTTTCCCACTTCACGAATCATCGAGTCACCATGCTGGGATGCCCTTCCCTTCGCACATGGCGAAGGATGTTGATGTACTCAGAGATGCCCTTGGGTTCGATCGATCGATAGAATTTTCCATTATTTTCTCCATGGTTTCCAATGTTTAGATATGTTTATATAGATATGTTCGATCGTTCTCTGACAATCCAATTTATTGAGAAACGGAAAAAGTTGGTAGGGTGATTGTCCCATTGGGAAATGCCCATGTTTGATTGAAAGTCACCTATACATCGGAATCTTCACAGCCAGGCTAGATTATCGGAGGCAGCTAGCGATCATAGTTCTGTTCAATGATGATCATGAAGCTATGTGTTACGCTTTCTATAAACTGGGACCCCTATGGATCCCTGAACTCAAGCACCATGGACCACCTGATTAGGAAATAGAAATAATTGAAAAAAATACTCTCTATGTGTTGGCTAAGCCAATGAGAAGTCTCACCATCGCGAATCACCACCATTACGCATGTGACGTCCTGGCTCGAGTTGCTCAAGTCACCGGTTGGTTTATCATTGAGTTTACCACGGAATAGATTCAGCTGCTGAAGGTTTGCCCCCTGTCGCAGAATCATTCAACATGTAAAAGTGTTCAATTCTAGCCAGAGATATCAAAGCCTCTACATCTCAATAAATAGTATTTTGCCATTAGAAGCCTGCCAAAACCAACCAAAACCATCCAGCCCTCGAAAGATCCCTTGATTATTAGCATTCGGAGAAACTGCCACATGTTCCTGACAGCAAGCGAAGCAGTGGTATCTCCAGATGACAGGCGCCAGAGATTGCTCGCTCTGACACAAGCAGGTCTTGAATGATGACCTCCCAAGGTAGAGGCAAAATTTGGAACCATCGGATGGTTGGCAGGTTCAACTCGTAATTTTCAAAGTGACTTCAACTTGAGGTCGCCACCATTTGCTTTTTTTGTTAACCATGCGTTTGTTTGTTGTGTCTAGGAACCCTGCTTGAATATCTGGTGCTGGTGATAATTGATAATATATGATAATATACTTGTTTTCACCCATATCCCCTGGGGTGTCCGTACGTATGAACGCAGCAATTAACATAGTATCTCTGCTGTACCGTATCTCTCTTTTTGCTTCATTCCCTTTCTTTATTCGCCTGGTTGACATGATATTATCAATATTAGACGATTCAATCCTGTTTGGGCATAAAATGGAGGTTTCCTGAAATGGGGTACCCAAATCATCCCAAATTAGACCATCTTAAAATCATTTTAGATAATTTTAGTATTGAAACCCAAGGTGTTTGGGATCACGACATCATGCTCAGGCGCCACTATGCTGGCCGCAGCTGATGTATGTCGCCACTTCTTGGAGGGAAAGTGTAGCTACGGCCAGAACCTTAGAGATAGGTGAGATGATGCCTGAGGTTGGGAGATGTTGGCAGCATTCAGGAGCTATGGGAATCCAACGTGGCAGGATTTCTCCCTGTGAAACAAGGGGCTAATTGCCAGTCAACCGTGATATCACAGTGATTACAGTAGGCCCTCACCAAATCCTCGGGATGACTGGTGACTGTTGCTTGGAGTTCGCAGAGAATTCGCAGGACCCTGGACTCATTATCTCATCGTGTTGAGAAGTGGGCCATGTGCAACCACGCTTCGTGCTGTTTCCTGAGTTAGCTGAATGATTGGTAGTTAGAATCAACACACCAAACCACACCAGGATATATATATATGTATGTGTGTCTGAAAATGGGCTATGCTCCCAATAGATACCCATCATCATTTGTGCCACAGTTGAGACTTGGATTATACACCCATATTGAGAGGATGGTCATCAATCCATGTTCATAACAGGGATCAATAACTCATCAAATCATATTATAGTAAATCGAATCCTGATGGTGGGATGACCATAAAAATATTTGAGTTGACCTTGGCAGCCATAGCACATCTGAAACAACAGCCTGGTAGCACCGTTTCTTGTGCCTCAGCTTAGGTGATACGTGCAACTTCAAGCATTTCACCGATGACAGGCGTGGGGTCCCAAAAGGCATGGGGGGATCCCCAGTCGTCACCATGGTTTCAATACTAAGTCATGATCATCCATGACAACTGGATGAATTTGGGGTGCCCCCATGACTTCGGAAAGCTCCGTTCTGAGTTCTGGGATGATCCTCGCATTCGGAGTCTGTACAGTTAGTAGATCAAGGCCTGGTAATGGTTGATGATCCTAATGAAGTTGTGTATGTTGGGAGTCCCCAAATTTTGGATATGGGTCGAGCATGATTTATCCAGAAATTGGGTATACCTCGAAAAATAGCGATGTGAAAAGCCATGGGATTTGGGGGTAGCCTATCTGCTGATACTTCATCCAACGCAGAGAGGTCCATAGCTACTAAAAGAGGCCTCACGGATTCAATCGTTATGTGAGCCATTTGGATATAACCCAATAGTTGATATAATATATAGCTGGGGTCTTTAGAACTGCATCCCAACACTAGCATTTTATCTTATTTCCTGCTTTTGTAAAGACTGGTACGTGTTTGACTTTCATGGTACATGTAGTTTGATATCCAAACCACACAATGCCCCCATGGAAATTAAGCAACAACAATCATACCATGCTTTGAGAGATCATTGAATATTACTTGGGAGTGCATCCCTCTTCGTACGTTGGTAGTAAGCGAATTATACCGAGTTATGTGTGTGTGTATTATTACATATATATATATAATATATGTGTGTGCAATATACCCAGCTATCATTATATATATAATATACACATGTACGTAGATAGGTTTTATACGGGGTATAAATCTTATACGGGGTATAAATCACTTTGAAACTGAAATCTACATATAACCTATTTTGTAGCCACATGTAAAAAGCCATAAAACGATATCATTTGACACGCCCTTTTTTTTTGCCTGATGGGTTTTACGTACCCCAAAACAGGCTGATGGAATGCATGGCCGAAAAAAACTATGATCCCATCCCATCCCATCTCACAGCTTGCAGGCCGGTCTGTCGACATTTTCTGCAGGGCAAGTGCACCTACGGCGACGGCTGTGGTTTCAGCCACCAAGGAGATCCTACGGCATCGGGGAAACAACGGGGTGTTTCCACCTGGAGTTCCGCCTGATTCTGGTGGTCATTTTCTGAGGATTCCAGTGAGAAAATGCAGTTTAACATGGTTTGAGTGGTCCACCTCGAAATCATGAAAGTAGATGATAGCAGGCAGAATGCCAAGTTTTTTTGGGCATCCTTGGGATGATTTTAGGGACAGGCCACACCAATCAGCTGGTGCTTAAACATCAGAATTTCGCAGTCTGTGTCAGGTCGGAGTGCAGTTAAATCACCAAATGGCGCAAGGAATATCAAGGAATTGACAACGACGAAAAACATCGAAAAATCCGAATGGATCCAAGCAAGGTTTGCTTGAGATTGGAAACCATTGGCTTTGGTGGTAATTATGCTGCAGTCTTAGAGAAACCCAACTTGTTCCCCCCGTCAGGCGAAAATCCGCTTTGAGTGGCCAAAGTCACTTAAAATCAGCTGGTAATCTTCAAATGATGGAAATTCTTGCGCAGAAAAGGCTGTGGAATCTATGGATTTTTGGAAGAAACACCGTCAGAAATTCCAGCCTCCGTCGTTGGATCTAGATCCCGGCGATGCCGAATGCCGAGCCAACCACCAATCAGCGCTTGGTTACCTTCTGGTAATTTAACACGTTGCTATGGAAAATCCCATTTTTTATAGGCTCATCTATGAATGGGCCATGTTCATTCCATTGCTATGCAAAAATTACTAGACGGTAGCTACTTAATTTCATGTGATTTCCCCGTTTTATGTCAGTTGCAAATGGATCATGTCATAACAAAAATCGTACGTCGTCATTGTGCCGGAACCCTACTTACTAAGAGGGATGAACCACGAAGTGTGCATCATACCTCCCGTAATTGAAGAATATTTAAGATATCTAGACAGTTAAATCATCTATAAATGGGTCAAGTCTGCATAGCTATGTTAAATTACCAGAGGGCAAGCTTGATATCGGTGGCTGAGGGGCTCAACCACCAGCCGTGGCCATATTTTCGAGGCAAGCATGCACCGCATGCGGCGCCGTTGCCGACAGGCACAGCAGATGACAGGTGCGGCCGTGGCTGGGAAATCCCCTACAAATGGATACAAATGGAGGTTTCGTTCGCTGGGAAAATCAACGGAAATCATCTATAAATGATGTAATCTCCAGCCAAGTTTCAAAATTACCAGAGGGCACCCCCTCAATGGCATGTTGTAATCGGAGAAAATGATGCTCAAGAAGCATTTCTGGGTAAACCGGATGGTGAACGGCCGGTTATGTTTGTTGCTCTACGCTATAAATGTATATAAATGTGCAATAGTTCATACCCAGCCTGAAAAAAAAAACTTGTTTGCAGGGTATTAAAGATTACACACCCATGTTTGGGCCATGTTTGAGCCAACATCAATGGACAGGCCAGAGACCTGAGGATTTGAGGAATCACTGGGGATTTGCAGATCGAAGTTGCTTGGAATTTTCCTGTGGCCGGGCATGATGTATGTGTTGCACTTCGACACCTTGCTGGTATCATGCCTGAAGTTCAAGTTAATGTTTTAAAGGTAGCATTGGCACAACCCAATCATAATGTATGAGTAGAATGTTGGATAAAATCCACTTGCTCAAATGTGCTTACCATCATCCAGAACCAGAACCTTCAAGGCGCCCGATAGGTCGATTTGCCGCCACTTCCTGGAAAAGAAGTGTACCTTTGGCGACCTCTGTCGCTTCAGCCATGAAGTGACTGCTTTGACCGCTCCACCAGGCAAGGCAACTGGAAAATGGGGGGGTCAACATGGCCAGGGAAAAACTTGGGAAAAATGACATGGGATTATCCTAACTGAGTTTCGGAATGTTTCGGATGTGTAAACCTCAGTTGTAATATGGTATAATAATTTGTAATGATATATTCACAACATTTCACAACCCACATATGGGGGCAAAGTGTTAGGGACTGTTCGGGCCTGAAGTTCGAATCATGGAACCCTCTGCCTCTGCAGGTTCCAAGCATGAAGATGACAGGCGTGTGGAAATCGTCAACTGGTGGTAGATTTCGAATGATTTCAATCGGTTTGGTGTGGGGGAAACTCATAGGCCTTTCTTGGCTAGCCCTCTAGCTTTGGAAGCATTTTTGGGAGGCAAGTGTTTTACATATTTTTGCTACACTGCTAAAGACGGAAAGTGTCAATGTACCCTGATATACCGTCTATGTGATATGTTTGCAAAAAGATAGTGTCCAGCTGAAATTGATCTCGAAATTGCCAGGCTGTCTACGATTAGCCGTGTATTCTGGGGGGTTAGAATGTAGATTGTCATTTTCCATCGTTGTTGAAACAAGTGACTTGATGAGCCAAATGACCCATGCCTTTTGGCGATCTTAGGCTTGAGGCCCTAAGGTTTCTCAAATGGAAATGGTAACCCAGAGATCCTACCAAAATAGTATTAACTAATGTTGAATGACTTGTCTATCATTTCTATCTTTACAGGGGTTGCTAGTTTTGTGCGCCTTTCCTGAATCGCAAAAGGCTGTCTCAGTTTGTGAAGAAAGAGAGAGAGAGATAGAGAGAGAGAGAGAGACACGCACACACACCACCTTGAGCATCCTGTGACATTCTGCATATACACATTTAAAAAATATATAAAAAAATGTTTAAAAAAAGTTGCGACAAGACTTGCCGGTGATAGTTTTCTGGGCTTTCTGGTGTGCCACAGGTTTTTGTCGCCATGTGCAGGTCCATTTGCCGGCATTTCCTGGAGGGCAAATGCAACTACGGCGATCTGTGTCGCTTCGGCCATGAAGTGCATGAATTGCTGGCCCCCGTCCCCGTCCAGGCTGTCTCACAAGGCAGGGGGAGCACAGTGTTTCAATGTTGGAAGCATGGATAGTGGAGATCATAGCTGCATCCAGCTTCTGAATTGAGCGCGTTCGCGGTCCACTTGAATCAAGGAGTTGCGTATGGTTCTATCATGTCTTATCAGAAGCGTGTCTGTTTGCACTGCAAAGTGTCGATTTGTTATATTTGTTTTGGTGTGTTCTGATGACAGAGGAACTATGCAACCAGCTCCCTCAAATCAGAGTGCTGCACCCTCCACCCCTGATGCTTTGTTTGTGTTCCCCTGCAGACTCCACGATGAGAGGAGATGACAGGCAAGCAAAAGCACAGTGCAACCAGTTGTGGACATCGTTGCCAAACATGTTTCAGATGTATGGGCACTAGATTTGCCGTGCTCAACAGTTGGATATGCCCACATTGGGGATGGTCACATCCTGATCAATAAGGTTTTATGTACCAGGGATGTCCGACAATCAGAATGATGGGATGACCATATCCCGTCCACCATGTTTTTTTTTTTTATAGCAAGCATAGATAGACAAATAAGAGGCGATCAAACATATAAACAAAACATTTATTATAATAATTATACTGTGTACATTAATGTACAATATACAATTGTATCATGTTGCAACTCTTTTTGTTTCGATCTCTATATCTTCACGACCATGACTACCATGACATGCCATGACTATGTTTCAGTTACGACGTTTCTGTGCCAAACCATGAGGACGTCATGTGACTGTTCACCTAAAGAAGCTTTGAGAGCATTTTTGTTCGATGTGCAGGTCCATTTGCCGGCATTTCCTGGCGGGCAAATGCAACTGCGGCGATCTGTGCCGCTTCAGCCATGAAGTGCATGAATTGCCGGCCCCCGTCCCCGTCCAGGCTGTCTCACAAGGCAGGGGGAGCACAGTGTTTCAATGTTGGAAGCATGGATAGTGGAGATCATAGCTGCATCCAGCTTCTGAATTGAGCGCGTTCGCGGTCCACTTGAATCAAGGAGTTGCGTATGGTTCTATCATGTCTTATCAGAAGCGTGTCTGTTTGCACTGCAAAGTGTCGATTTGTTATATTCGTTTTGGTGTGTTCTGACAACAGAGGAACTATGCAACCAGCTCCCTCAAATCAGAGTGCTGCACCCTCCACTCCTGATGCTTTGTGTGTGTTCCCCTGCAGACTCCACGATGAGAGGAGATGGCAGGCAAGCAAAAGCACAGTGCAACCAGTTGTGGACACCGTTGCCAAACATGTTTCAGATGTATGGGCACTAGATTTGCCGTGCTCAACAGTTGGATATGCCCACATTGGGGATGGTCACATCCTGATCAATAAGGTTTTATGTACCAGGGATGTCCGACAATCAGAATGATGGGATGACCATATCCCGTCCACCATGTTTTTGTTTTTTTTAGCAAGCATAGATAGACAGACAAATAAGAGGCGATCAAACATATAAACAAAACATTTATTATAATAATTATACTGTGTACAATAATGTACAATATACAATTGTATCATGTTGCAACTCTTGTTGTTTCGATCTCTATATCTTCTCGACCATGACTACCATGACATGCCATGACTATCTTTCAGTTACAACGTTTCTGTGCCAAACCATGAGGACGTCAAGTGACTGTTCACCTAATGAAGCTTTGAGAGCCTTTTTGTTCGATGTGCAGGTCCATTTGCCGGCATTTCCTGGAGGGTAAATGCAACTACGGCGATCTGTGCCGCTTCAGCCATGAAGTGCATGAATTGCTGGCCCCCGTCCCCGTCCAGGCTGTCTCACAAGGCAGGGGGAGCACATTGTTTCAATGTTGAAAGCAGGAGTGTTGTACCGTTCCAAAATGTTTTATCACCAGTTTGCATGTTTCTACCGAAGGACTGGAAAGTGATGGAAAGTGCAGTGGTGACTTGTTGTTTGTTCCGATGCAAGACAGAGGAACTATGCAACCAGCTCCCTCAATTCGTAAAGCAATCACTGTTTTCCGTCGCTTTCTAGTTGACGTGTTCAGTTTCCAACAACTGCGAGTGCTGCACCCTACACTGCTGATGCTTTGTTTGTGTTCCCCTGCAGACTCCACGATGAGAGGAGATGACAGGCAAGCAAAAGCACAGTCCAACCAGTTGTGGACATCGGTGCCAAACATGTTCCAGATGATGTATAAACACTCTACAGAAACAGACATTCACTGCCGATATGGTGGTGATTACTGTGATATCTACTCGCGCATGTTCAATATCGTAACCACGTTCAAGAAAGAGCAAAGTTCGCCCACCATCACATACCTGTTGTCAGCACATAGGACATGGGACTTGTGTGGGTAATGCAGGTACAGCACTGTAGACGCTTGAATCCAATGAAGATTTGATTTCAGCCTTTCGTTGCAGGTCCATTTGCCGGCATTTCCTGGAGGGGAAGTGCAACTACGGCGATCAGTGCCGCTTCAGCCATGGTGCCATGGCGCTACTGGTTTGTTGTCGTGTTTTGATGCAGCAAGCGTAACTTAGAACAATCACCTGTTGGTCATAGTCCAAGTATATTGGATTTGTTTGGATTACTTGTTCATATTTTTTCTATTTTTCTACTTTTCTCAGACTTTTCCTTGTATCTCTTGTTGGTGTTCGTTTCTGCGTGCGCCACGAAGGTCAAGAATCTTCATTACTTGCAGGCCCCATGACTGTGGATGACAGGCCGGCTTCATGAACTACTTCGACACAGCATAGCTAGCATAAACCCGTTGCTGTTAGGGGAGTTACCCTCTGGCAAACTAACATGGCTATGGAAAATGGCCCACTTATAGATGGTTTACCTATTAAAAATGGTGATTTTCTATAGCTATGTTAAATTACCAGAGGGTATGTTCACCATTTTGTACTGACCATATTGTGATCGTTGTGACCCATAACCAGCTAGGTTCATGACTTGCACAAGTATCCAGGTGGCGAGGGTTTTGATACGTGTCTTCCGGCAAGGTCATTGGCGGGTCATTGGCCCAGCATGAAGATTAGACATATTCGAGTGGTTGGTGGTTTGGAAACTTGTTTTTCCATATATTGGGAATAATCATCCCAACTAACTTTCATATTTTTCAGAGGGGTAGGTATACCACCAACCAGTAGACATGTTAGGTGCATCGCCATGTGCAGGTCCTTTCCTTGCCGGCATCAGACTGTCCCACAAGGCAGGGGCGGCACGACCGGAATGCCCAGCGCCCCGCTAAACCTGATGAGCAGTAAAGGATTCATTCATTTTGGGGCACCAAAAAAGCGGGGTTTCTGTGATTTTGTTGGGAAAGGATTTTTCAGACTACATGGAAAATGGTTGAAAGTAACATGCATCTGTCCCGAAATTTAAAGGTGTGGCTGGCTGATGGCTTCCAAAACCATGGAAAATTGTCATTTTGAATTGGCAAAATAATCTATAAATACAGTAGCTTCCAGAGCAACTCTTAAGTCACCAGAGGGTAATGGGTTGATCATCAATGAATGTTTAGGGGATGTGTTGAAACATGGTGAAGCAGATGATGTTCCAATTTATAGATGCTTGTCCAATAAATATGTTTTTTCCAATTAAAATCTCCATTTGCGGGGATTCCCATTGCCACGTTTGACTAGCAAAGGGTATGAGTTTTTGGCCGTTGTGGTGCAGGCGCACCTTCAAATCTGGATGACAGGTGGGCCGAGACAGGTTGTGCTCCAAAATCCTGTGGTTTCGAACGGCCACATAAATTGTAAGTGGCTACACATTTCTGGACAAAGCCCCATAAAAGGATATAAACATATGTTCAGACATGTTCCCAGATTGCCCAGCATGTTCAAGTTCAAAAATCAGCTATGATATGCATAATTCCCCAATGTTTCGATGATGTGCATGGTTCGATGCTGTCTACGATCATGCAGATTGTCATTGCGACCAGGCCGCAATGTCGCCACTTCCTGGAGGGCCGTTGCACCTACGGTGACATGTGTCGCTTCCGACATGGAGGCCGTTTGTTTTTCGGTGGAAGAATGAAGTTTCGAGCGATGAATATTGGAGTACAACATATTTTAAGATATTCACATATTCACATAACATATTTAAATATGATGTATATAAATATTATGTATATAAAGATGATTCACATTATTCGATATTATATATACATATATATACATATATATACATATATATATACTGGTATGATAAGCAAAGCATGTCCACATACTTCCCCATGTGTGTCATAGAGTCATTTTTCGCGTAGCTCGCTTTTTTGTGATACGCTTGCTGATTCACCCAGGTGCCACCCCCTAGCGGTCATGGTGAAAGCTTCGTTGCGAAACAAAAAAACAGCTTTTTTGTTGGCAATTCTACAAGGTGGTGCCCCATAGTTAGCTAAGTTGGTGAACATAACTCCCATAACTATGGTTTATGGCAGATATAACTATAGTTAATGGGGTTTATAAACCAACTTATAACTGGGGGGCACCATCCTGTAGGATGTTGTAGGATGTTGTTGGATGTCTAGAATCTAGCCATTGGGATCCGGGTATGGATTTTTTTTCATTCTATCCAGCGATTCAACATGGCAATTGTTGGCAACTATGTGTTGGATGTTGTGCGATCTAACCACTAAGCTAGCCAATCATTGCAGGCCCGTGTTCTTTTCCTATTCTGTGGCGTTTTCAAAAACATGCATGATTTGGCATGCAATGGCATGCTATGAAATCAGAATCTAAGGTGGCCATATCATGTTAAGATATGTTTTTAGGATAACCCGGTTCCTTGATGTTCCTTGTGAGTATTGCATTGTTTTTTTTCGTTTAGGCTTGAAGCGTGGTCCCGTTGCCTTGATTCGTGAAGAATACATGAAAATAATCATTAATCGTTAACGATTAGTGTTTGTTCATGTTTGTTCATGATATAGCACATCATGATGTGAAGAGGAAAAATTAGGGCAATCTTAATCATTGCCGAAAAAATGATCTTGAATTATTCACACCTTGAACATATTTATGTTATATCATTGTGATACTTTTAGATTTGATCTTTAAACCCCCGCACGGATTGCCCTTTGGTGCAATCAGACCTGGCAATGTCGATGACGATACCTGAGTAGAAGATTTACCTGGATAATATGGGCTTAAACACGAAGTCATTATCGTAACAAAGCAAACCACATGTTTAATTGGTAATGTAAAAATTGATATCATCAAGAAATCCAGTGATATCCCTACGTATAAACATATCAAAAATCATTGTTTGTATAGATTATATATATCATTCATATTAGAGGGCGTTTTTAATGAAATTATAAATACTGTATGATATATATATATATTCATAAAACGGTGATATGAATCACCATTGTATCTATCATTCATATTCAAAATCACAAATGGAAGGTTGGTTGAATACTAGTATAATATGTGATTTATATCATGTTATATATACGTATATATATTTTCAAATAACAATGATATAATACGTATACGTATATATAGTTTATCCATTGTATCTATCAACTTCTATCATTCATATTCAGCACAACTTTGAAGGTCGGTGGAATACTGAGATCACATGTTTGATTTACTGTACATCATTTTGTATCGTTATATATACATATATATATACATATATATATACATAGATACATATATATATATATACATATTTACATATATATATATATACACATATATATCTATATACATTTGGAAATAACAGTGAGATAGATCTCGATGATATCTATCAACTTCTATCATATTCAAAATGAAAGGTTGGATTTTTAAACTCATGAATTATATCTATGTACTATATCGATGCGTTATATATATATATGATTCATAAATTATTCATGAATCCCCTTTAGGTGAGAGTTGTGCGGCGCCTGCGTTGCCTGCGGCCTTTGCCGCACAACACCGTGCTGCGCCTGCGCCCATGCGGCCGCAGCCGATGGATGATAGGCGCTTCATCAACAAAGACGATGGTGTTTAAGCCAGCAGCAATGTATTTTGTCCAAGCAAAATCTGGATTTGATCAACTGAAACTGTTTTGCTCGTGGTTATTTCACAAGCATTATATTGGAATTAAGAAACAAAATCAGAGGGATATACTGTAAGTGGTCAATAATCGTGATAATATCATAAGTCCAACATTCACGGGAGAATCCCAATGTATAAACGGGTCAAACACTATGATTCCTAACGACTTACTAAGTGTGAGGGCCTTCAATAATACGGCCTTCTATAATGCGGAAACAACAACAAAATTGTCAACCATTGAATGGAAAGAGGTTCCAAATTTTGGTGTGTCCAGATATGGTTGGGATTTAACCAACGAAAGTATACAAAAGTGTTGGTAAACCAACCAGATTCGGTAGTTTTGCCCTTAATCTATGGTTAGTGGATTGGGGAACATGAGGTTTGAAACCACGGAATTCTAGGTAGCCTGTTTTCAGCAAGAGCCACATGACTGTAGAAAATTGATTCCGAAACTGGAATTGTCAATGAACATATCCCTGTTTATGAATGAAGCACATTGCGTTTTGCTTTGTGTGTGTGTTTGGTGTGTTGGTGTTGGTGTTGTCCAGCTTCTCAGGGACTGAAACACTCACTGCGCCTGGATGATATGATGCTCCCTGATAACCGGCTGGCCGGTGGGGGAATAGAGATGAATAGAATATGTTCCGGGGGAACAGCATGTACAGCATGTGCCGAGTTCATCCGAGTTCAAGAATATCCCAACCTGCCACTTTTCCTTGAATATCAAGCGCGTATCTCCACCCAGCCACCATGTTGATATTCAGAAAGGAGCATTCGGACGCCTACCAGGTTGTATGTCCCAAATCCCTCAAATTTTGCCTTATCCACATATCGTAAAGGGTAACCGGTCCTGGCTCATATGGCACCCCAGTCGGTAAAAAACCCATTCAATCATAAGAAGTTTGTTGCTGATCATTTGTCACTGCGCTTATATCCCCAAGTTTGTTGGTCAAAAACCGATGGTGTGTTTCAAGGAGATTCGTTTTCATGTTACCACAGAATCCAGTAGCCAGGCCGATTTGCCGGCATTTCCTGGAGAGCAAATGCACCTATGGAGACCATTGCCGCTTCTCCCATAGTAAGGGATGCTCAGCTTAGAGAGATGTCTGTTGTGGGGCTTGGTTCATCAATAAATTTTGAAAGAAGAACTGGATGGCTGCGAGCCGTCTCCGATGAAATCAGCCAGGGCTCAGCCATGTCTTGCAGCTTCGAGTCGCAGGTAGAGAATTTGGGATCAAGACTAAAAACAGAATCCGTGCACAACTGTGTGCATTTGAAATGAACTTGGACAAGGCTTTGCAAAATGATCTTCAGCTGCAGCAGCTGCACTTGATTGATTCCCACTGATTCTCCCTTAACTCTTCGCCAGAGAAGAGCTGGCCCCCAAGTCTGGATGACGCAGCTTCGATGCACTGCTTAGTCAACACTCAGACGTTAGCGTTCAACCTCAATTTGAGAGACGTTTACCAAAAGCCATATGGGTATGGGTCAATACCTATAGATACATTTTAGTGGGATGAACATCCATTTACCAGCTATTTTGGGGTTCACTAGGTACCAGGGTTTGACCCATCCCCATATGTGGAAAATTGTTCTGTTGATTGTGCTGACTCTTGCCGCTGCAAGTTCGGATAGCGGCACAGCTCGTTCGTTGCTAGGGGCCAGCTGGACTTGTTTTGCTTGCGGCTAATTGTTACGGGTAATTCTGGAAAGGATGAATGTAAACCAACAAGGTTTGACAAGACAAAGATGGCTATACCCTCCACTAAGCTAAGGTGTAGATATGGAAAATCCACCGTTTGTAGATCATTTTCCTTGGGAAACAATTGTTTTTGTTGTCCATATGTTAGTTTACCGGAAGGTGGCCAAAAACCTTGATTTTGAATACTTGTATTGCCAAATACATGATTAAGCGGGTCCGAAAGGTTTGGTGGGGAGTACGGATATGATCTGTGATTTGTTAGTGATGTTTGTCCATACAAGAAATATCTACCTGAACGCATCTCCCACCAAAATGGTCAAGAAATGCAGTTGTGCACAGCGGACGCCCTCTGGTAATTTAACATATGCTATGAAAAATCACCATTTTCACTGGGTAAATCAACTATAAATGGCAATTTTGCTCTTGTTCCTTAAGTCATCTAGAAATCGGCTGGCTACAAAAAAGATTACCAGAGGTGTTTTTGGAGAACTCCCGAATCGCGGAGGTTCTCCGCCCTGGTTTGGGATCATCGAAATGATCCAAGGACGTTAAAAGAGAGTTTTTCAACAACTATGGCTGGTTGGTGGTTTCAAACATTTTTTATTTTCCATTTCATATATGGGATAATCGGATAATCATTTCCATTGACTTTCATATTTTTCAGAGGGGTAGGTCAACCACCAACCAGATGGTTAAGGGGAAACTCCAGGTCAAGATGGAGCTGAGGAGGCGAGTTGGGTACGTTAGGTGGTGCCCCAGTGAGGCAAATCGCTAAGTTGGGGTTCACATAACTCCCATAAAACCTATGGTTTATGGCAGATAGAACTATAGTATTCATGGGATTTATAAACCAACAAACATCACTGGGGGGCACCATCCTGTATGGTTTACATGTAATTGGGTGAGAGATCAATTTTATCATGTGGAACATGAACATATGGGACCTAGCAATTTCCTATGCAATGTGGTATCACCAAGATGAGTCAGTCGGATTACTGTAACAACTGCAACAACTGTTGGATTTGTGGTGGCCATATGTACATTATGTACGCAGCAACAAACATAAATGGGTGGCTGCTTTGTATGGTTCAATTTGCTGTTAGCCATTATGTATATAATTAGTTATATATATGTACATACACATACACATACACAGATATATATATAATTATATATATATATATTAGTGAGGGTGCAAACAAGAATGGTTGGAATTATGAAAACCAATTATACGGGAAGCCTTGGGTGGGTACTCCAATACTTTGATATTTGGTTATTTTGATGGTGATATCAAAGATTGGCCATGCCAGTTTGCGACTTCTTAGAATTATCTCACTATCCTATTGGCCCATAACTATCTCACTATTCTCCCATAGCCTCCAGTAACCAAACATGGACATGGACAACCTTCCACTTATATATGGAGCTGATTTCCGATGATTCCAATGCAGGTGCCTCACTATGGGCCGATCAGAGCCAAAGCACGAGTCTAAGTAGAGGTGACGCGTTTTTCAGGGGACAGGGACCGACCAAAAATGTGACTTTTGATAGGGAATTTGAATAATTCTTGAATTATAATGTTTTTTTGTTGTTATATGAGATGGTTTCTTGTTGTTTGCTTCGTTTGTTTTTTGTTGGAGGTGAATCGTCCCATTTGCTCATTAAAACTAAAGCCGATAGAGATTGCTTTGGAATCTTGGGGGATACCCATGGAAACCTATGGTGTTGTTGGGACTACACCCCACCAACCCAAACCATCAATCAAATAATCAACCAATGGCTTTTTGCAGCCGGAAGGAGAGAGCCAAATGACACATGGGACTTAGAAATATTTCTTATCAACAAGATGCAACTTCAAATCAACACAGATCGATAGGGACTGATTGGGATAGTCTGTAAACGGCAAGGACGTGATACTTGGAACCTAGCGAAAATATAACAACCCATGAATTTTATGAGGCATGGGGAAATCAGGCAAGCGATTAAGAATTTACAAGACCCTCAAAAACCTGAGCCAGGTACATGTCTCGAGACGGGGAAGCCTATGTTTCCTAGGATTCAAACAATTGATAAATGTCAGTGAAAGGGATGTAAAATCAGTCAATGCAAGGAAAATGTGGGAAGAATACATGCGACTCTGAAACCATACCTCAAAGACTAGTGACTCAAATCTTCGTTAGATACATACTATTCCTGGTTTATCTCTTGCTGTAAACGGGGATTTTTCTACTAGCTAGCAAAAAAAAAGCAGGTTATCCAAGATTGGCAATGCCAGCATGCCGAGGACCTGCCCCAAAAACATTCGCAAATGCTGTTTTTATGCTGTGGGAGTGCCTAAAAATTGTGTATACGCCCTACTGATTCCCCTAAATAGCAATTTTGACAGACATTAAGACATAACACTCGCGGATTTTGGGGTACCCTATTACCAGGCCCGTCAGTTATAAGTTCGTTTTAACTATAGTTGTATTCCCAATAAACCCAACCCTTAACCAAGTCAAAAAAGACAACTTAGCTATCGTAAACGGGGTGCATAGATATAATATATACTGGGGTGTGGGACAAAATCCTCCTGTTGTAATGCTAGTATGATAGAATTACTTTTTGATCACATCCTCCTTTGGTGTCTCATGATATCAATTTATTATGAAAACACATGAAATCACCATGATGCAGAAAAGCAAACTCCAATCGGATTCCTTGAGCGGTAACAATTTTATGACCTGTTGTGCATCTTTTTTGGTGTTTTACCACTCAGAAATGGATATCTATGATTACCGCATAGATGTTCTGCATCAGAACCAACAGTGATATGTTGCCTTCGCACCGAACGAAGCACCACGGACACCGCAGGATGACGAGGATGACGCTTCGTCGATCTGGGGTTTGTGGTTTTACAAAACTTGGAGAAAAATGGGTTGCAGAAAGCAACTCACCAATTCTCAACTTAAACAATGGCTAATCCCAACTTAACCAATGAATACCAATGGTAACAAAAGCCACCAATGGTTAATCCATTGGTGCATCTGTTGTTGACCATCGTTTCCATGATCAAATTGGTGATGATTTTCAGACTTACCTGGTTAAAGATGGGGATGGGCTCACCTCTCGGTAAAACGGTTGGTGAATGATGGTGAATGTTTGATGGATTGATGTGAACTGATGTCTTCAAAGTCAAAATATGTCAAGATGGATTGGGTGGAAAATGTGTATCTAGATGTATATATGTATTTTACTTGTCTTCATCTTGTTCCAAAATGATACACAGATACTGGGGATATGTGTTTGCAGAAGGCAGCCAAGACAATTGGTAAGAATGTATGTATCTCCGTTCTCATCCCCCTTTTGCTTACCAGCTTCTCAGGGAAAGATTTCAGAAAAACATGGAAAGAAAAGGTGAAAAAACATAGTAAAGCTATGTTGTGGTAGATTAGGAAGGAAGCCTCGTGGGACTGGGAAAATGGGATAGGTACAAGTTAAAGCCTTTTCCGGATCAGCATGTTTATCATTTTTTCTGGCTTGACTTGGGACCTGGGAAATGAGGTTTAGGGCATGATGTAGTTGTTCTATTATGAAATTTACTAGAATCAAGTAAATCTAAATAATGTATGATAATTTCTTTGGATTTTGATATGTTTTTTTTAACGGAATAATTTTGATTTCATAAAGGATTTGTAATTGGGAGGGTTGTATATTTCAGAAAATATAAACATAGATGCGATTGGACATTGTTTTTTTGTTCGGCCATTGAATGGTTAATTAATTTTTCATATATATAAAGAAACTGTTTAGCAAACTAATAATATATATATATTTAAAAAAAGATAAATAATATTAAGGCCAGGCGCTGTGTGTTGCCCGGAAGGTTCAAATGGCGTTTAAACATGTTCCCTCCAACCCGGACGTTGCTCCACACCTCAAGAGAATCATCATCATCATCATCATCATCATCATCTTTCTGGTGCTTGATAGGGAATGGGAATGATCCAAAGGATCCAATCCATATCCCCAACTTATCTTCATAAAGGGATCAAACTTTTCCACCCCCTCTGGCTTATATGTTGCTGATAATAAGAACATGAACTTATCTTGTTGAGGGATCAAAATCCACCACTCCCTCTGACTACTACGTTGACAGGGATCATAACATCAACTTATCTTCATAAAGGGATCAAAATTTGCCACCCTCTCTGACCTATATGTTGATGATAATAAGAACATGAACTTATCTTGTTGAGGGATCAAAATCCGCCACCCCCTCTGACTACTACATTGATAGGGATCATAACATCAACTTATCTTCAGAATGGGATCAAAATGTGCCACCCCCTCTGACTTATATGTTGATGATAATAAGAACATGAACTTATCTTGTTGAGGGATCAAAATCCACCACCCCCTCTGACTACTACATTGGCAGGGATCATAACATCAATTTATCTTCATAAAGGGATCAAAATTTGCCACCCTCTCTGACTTATATGTTGATGATAATAAGAACATGAACTTATCTTGTTGAGGGATCAAAATCCGCCACCCCCTCTGACTACTACGTTGACAGGGATCATTACATCAACTTTTCTTCTTAAGGGATCAAAAATTGGGACCCCCTCTGACTTATATGTGATGTAATATATGATATATGTGGTATGTATTATTATATACTTCGGCCACTTCTGATTCTGACGCGGAGCAACGTAGGGGTTGCAGCGAACATGTTTAAGCTAACGGGTGCAAAACCGTACGTGTAGTGACACACATTTTCAACATTCCCAATTTCACATCATGTTTTTGAGCTTACACACCATGTTGCACTCTTATGTTCACGTAACTGGCAACGCGGGATGGGCTGGGGTGGGGTGGGGTGGGGATGTTAACGTTCGGTTGAAGTTGAACACCCCATTGATGCGACGCTGAGCATGCGGTGGGGTGGGGATGTTAACGTTCGTTTGAAGTTGAACACGCCATTGATGCGACGCTGAGCATGGGGTGGGGTGGGGATGTGAACGTTCCTTTGAAGTTGAACACGCCATTGATGCGACGCTGAGCATGGGGTGGGGGGGTTGGGGATTTTAACGTTGGGTTGCAGTTGAACCAGCCATGATTGCTAGGCGCTGACATGGTTGGGGTAGGGATGTGAACGTTCGTTTGAAGTTGAACACGCCATTGATGCGACGCTGAGCAGCGGTGGTGGGGTGGGGTGGGGATGTTGAACGTTCGTTTGAAGTTGAACTCGCCAGTGAATGCTACGCTGATCATGGGGTGGGGGGGGGATGTGAACTTTCGTTTGAGATGAATTTGAACACGCCATTGATGCGACGCTGAGCAGGGGTGGGGTGGGGATGTTAAGGTTCGTTTGAAGTTGAACACGCCATTGATGCGACGCTGAGCATGGGGTGGGGTGGGGATGTTAACGTTCGTTTGAAGTTGAACACGCCATTGATGCGACGCTGAGCATGGGGTGGGATGGGGATGTCAACGTTCGTTTGAAGTTGAACACGCCATTGATGCGACGCTGAGCATGGGGTGGGGTGGGGATGTGAACGTTCCTTTGAAGTTGAACACGCCATTGATGCGACGCTGAGCATGGGGTGGGGTGGGTGGGGATGTTAAGGTCGTTTGGAAGTTGAAACACATCATTGATGCTACGCTGAGCATGGGGTGGGGTAGGGATGTGAACGTTCGTTTGAAGTTGAACACGCCATTGATGCGACGCTGAGCATGGGGTGGGGTGCGGATGTGAACGTTCGTTTGAAGTTGAACACGCCACTGATGCTACGCTGAGCATGGGGAAATCCTGATCAATACATTCGATCCTGGCAATGGAGATGGGAAAACGCGTTGTGTCCTAACCTGTTGAAAAAAACAGCACAGGTCTACATGCACAATGATTATTGAAATTGGCAAGGCAAAAAAAGGTCCGGATTTCGTGTGGAAGGGTTGCCAAACGCAAGAAAAATGACCTTTTTTAAAAAAAAAGCTTTGAGACGGATACGAAACACTGAAAGGGCTGTTATTTTTTGACAATGGTGATGCGCCTACACGCGCGATTCCGCACCCGGCGGGATGTTTAAACATTATCCTTCAACATGCTCACACACTGCGGAGGGCCAGTGTTTTGAGATTTCCCAGATGACGAACCCTAAACCCTAAAACCCTAAACCATCCTAAACCCTAAAAAAACCAAATCCTAAAATCCCAAACCCTAAAACCCTAAACCCTAAAACCTAGGCTCTGAAAACTTTGAATCCCAAACTGGAAAACACTACGTATACGCAGTATTTTCTGCAATCTCTCCGATCATATATTCGACAGCACGACATTCTCAATATTAATGTCTGGGCA